GTGTCACCCGGTGCCCGCCCATTGAGAATGACAACCTCTGAAACCCGGCACAACTCGAGCAGTTTACGTCCAAACGCATTATGCTCCTGATCTAGCGACCGGCGGGGCACACCCAGCAGTGCTCTGTATGCCTCGCCGTCCACAAAAGGGGCACCCGACCTCCTCTCCTAAATCGTCAAGATAGTCTAGGTCCGGGATGTCGGAGAGGTGGTTGGGCAGCCCCCCCACGCGCGCGTTCCAATCCCCCAGAAGCAGGATCCTCTCACCCGACTGGCGGAGGGCGCCCACGACGGTGGCCAGATGATCAAACACTTCGTCTGCTGCTTGTCCGTCAGACTCGTGTGCCCTCAGGGACGCGTGGTGTACTACCGACGCCCTGGGGGAGACGTAGCATGCACCCACCAGGGTGCTATCCTGACCTGTTTGCTTGCCGCCCAAACGCAACCAAATAGACTCGCAGCCCGCAATATCCGTGTCAACCCTCAACAAAGTGACATCCCGGGCAATCGCGTCCCGGATATAAACAGACACACCCCCGTGCAGCCGGCCCGTCTGGGGCCCGGCTCCGCCTCTACAGGCTCGCTCAGCTACATGCAGTTGAAACCCTGGCAGGGCCAGGGCCTTGGCCGGCTTCCCGGCCTGCGCCGAACAGTGTGTTTCCGTAAATACTAGCACATCGTGGTCCTGGGCAATGCGGAGGAAAGATGGGTCGGTGAGCTTAGCTACCGACAAACCCCACACGTTCCAAAGCAAGACCCTGATGTCTTTAGCCTCACGACTCATAGCACTCTAGGCGGCGCTCCCCTCGCCAGCACCCTCTGTGGTCACGCGTCCATCGCTTGTGCCCGCTGCAGCCCCGTTCCCGGCCGGGGGCTGGGGCGGGGGGGGCGGAACGTCGGACACGTCGTACTTGGAGACCATGTAGTACATGCCGTCGGTGCGCTGGTACTCGATGTACGGGCCCAGCCACTTGGGTTTGCGGCCCTCGTCACGCAGCCGCAGGAACTGCGCGTTCCGAGCCTGCTTGAGCTGACGACCTGCCGGGGTGAGGTCATCCCGGAAGGTGATGCCGATGGCCTTAAGGGCCTGGCTGTGTCGGAAAAGCATACCACGGACACGGGGGGTGACGCCGATGGTGATGTTGTATGTTGGGGCCGCCTGGTTGGGTCGTGGCTTCTCAGTGCGTACTTCGACGCTGAGGAAGGAGGCCTGGAGGCTTCCTCCACTGGCATCGGAGACGACTTGGGTGATGGCTTCCGCTGCTTGCTTAGCGGTCGCGAGAGCCGGGACGCCAAACGCGATCAGGGAGCCGGAATCGTAGTAGGCAGATTTGCCGGTCAAGTTCCTACGCTGTTTAGACCCGGTGCGGTCGGTCGCAAACGTAGGGGCCCCCGCGAGCTGAGACTGCACAGTTTCGATGATGAACTGCGCGGCCCGAACTTCGAACTGCTTCATTTCGGTCTCCACCTTTTTGGTAATTATTTCCGGAATATTCTTTTCCAGCGAGTCAACACGAGCAGCCAGCGATGTGTCCTAATCGGGTACAGGAAAATATAGCAGCAGCACTGGGGGGTCAGGGCGGGGCTGCAATATGGGCTGTTGGGTTGTCGTGCTGTCGTACTGTCCTGCAAGGCGGGTTGGGAAGCCCGGATTCTAAAGCCGCTAATTTGTGTTGTGCATGTGTGTGCATCTCCTGGCCTAGCCTGCCTGTACATACCTTTGCTCCGTAGCGAACAACGACTCCTTAGGCGCTCAATACAGCTGACGATATCTTATGATTTGCTGTGTGTACGGTATACTAGTCCACGTTGTCCTTTCACAGCGAACATTCACTACACGAAACGACAAAATGCGAAATTCAGGGGATGTGAATCGTGAAACGTTCTGCTGCTTCACGCGCATTCAAAAGGGCTCGTTAGGAAGAGAGTCGCAGTGCGAGTAAAGCTTGAGTAGGTGAGGTGTCTACTGTAGCCGGGTGTGGCCGGGAGTGTGCAGCCTTGTGCAGCGTCCTGGTGCGGGTTGACCTGGAGGGAGGGAAGGTTGTGAAGATGTGGTGAAGCCCATCCGTGAATAGATATCTGATGTCCAGTTCGTGCCCAGTCCTTGGCCATGTAAGCTCAGCACTAGATGATGTTGTATTTCTCATCCAGTCACCCTAGCCGACTTCTCCAAATTCAATGGATCGCTCAGGTTCAGGACCCACAACCGGCATCCAACGCAATCTGCCGGATCAACGGCGGCTCAACTCCATTCCTGGTCAGCTCGCAGATCCACTTTATCCCAGGTCACCATCGTCCATAAAAAGTCCGAGTTCCATTCCCGAAGTCGACGGTTTGAGACCAAAGTAGATTTATTAGATGGCGCTAAGGATTGGCAACAGCGCTTGGATTTCAGCAACTGTGAGCCAGCAGCCTGTATGCCAGAGCAACGGCACGCAATCCACCTCGGAAAGGTAAAACCACCGCAAGCCATCATTCACACCTTACCGCACTACCTCCTCTTACCCTCTTACCCTACACGCACACATATGCAGATCTACTACCGCATGAATCCTCACCACACACTCCCCGTCCTCCTCCTCCTTACAAGTATCCCCCCTGTACGGGCTACATGCATCATATGCGTCACACAGGATCCGCTTCTGCTTAACGAGGGGCTGCGTAACCAACGGACCGGAATGCAACGCTGGCCAACGGACTCAACCGTGGAATCACGGACGGTCTTAGTGAAGGCAGAGGTCCACATGGAATATAACAAACGTGACGTTCTACACCACCATTACAATCTCAACAGTACCACTACTGAACATTGCTGCACAAGTAACCTGAACCGAAAGGTCGGAAGGCACAAGTTGTTGCAGTGCTGCCTAGACTACTGGTACGGACAATCCTTTTCATCATCCTTGCATGTCGACAGCCCTGCCTCAACAGCCCTTATTTCAATCTCAGTTTTCAGGATTTCCGCTTCTATCGCATCCATGAGATCGAAAGAACTCCCCCTGCATCAATGCCCATGTACGTTATGGTAAACAGCTTTACGGCAATAACTTTATGGCTAGGACTTATACCTTCCGGCTCATGTGTGAAGCTTTCCTGGAGCGGTCCAACCGACTTTTCCATGATCGCGTTATTCACCACCACCACACAACCAAAATTTCAGGAAGCAGTTTGCTGTTCAAGTTAACTTTTGTGGGGCGAGGTGACCTAATTTGTTTGGAAACAGGCTCCGAGCAGCACCTGCCATGTGCTGCGCAGCACATGACTCAGGGAACAAAGCAGCCGCAGCCATCGCAGAGCACTGTCTCCATAAAATTTCGGGGTCAAAAGGTTGTCGTGCCCCGCGCAACGAAGCTGCGTACAGCTCTTCTCAAAAGTGGCTTGACACCTCACAGTGAGGGGGCGGTATATATCAACTGCCGCGGGATCGGTTCCTGCGGTACTTGCGCGGTCGAGATCAGGTGGGCTAGTCCGGAGTCCAGAACACCTAAAAGCTGCGGAAAGGGGTGTTCGCCACACGGGTTGTTTCAAAATCACCCGTGTGACATGCCAAAGCTGTTACATAAGTATTATGTCCTGCGAGGAAATGCGGTCATGCGAATCGATGGGGGTAAAGCGTCTTACAAGAAGGAAACACCACAGTCTCCATGCAAGCCCGAGGGAGGTCGTTTGGCATTCGAAGTCGACAGTCATACACCGGATATACCCCTTAATACGGCCCCATCGCCCACGCAAGCTCCTTCCCAAACTTTGAGATTCCTTCCCACGCCAATCGGATCCGCTCCACGCTGCCTGGCCTCTTCCCCGGCCTTCCTTCCATAGGGGCGTTGTGGAGCCCTCCAGCTGGACGGTCGCCGAACGGTTGAGACTCAACTTCCCGCCACATTCCGTCCCAAACAACAGCCGGTTGCGGCTGGCATGTCAGGTAATAGATGCTGGGTGCGTTTTGGTCACGGCCTTGGGGACGCGGCGCGTTGGTGCAATCCGCGCGTGCAATGCAGCCGCAATCCTCTACACGCTGATCATGCGCCTAAACTGCTCTGGACAGACTACACCAATCAACCCGTTAAATAAAAAACGCAAATCAGAAGAGAATCCAAGTTTCGAAAAAGCTGTCAGGCTAGGCTTGAAAATCTTTCAAAAGCTTTCACGCCGATAATAGATTGATCATAGTCCTAGGCTACGGGTAGCATTCCAGGGCGGGCAAACAACCCTAATTAACAGCGTTCGCCCTCACCTCCATTCTAGCCGCCCTAGTTAGCCCCAGTTCGGGCCAGCCCTCGGCCAAGACTCATGTGCACCCAACAAATTCATCCGCAATCCTCAGCAATTGTCCTGTTTTTTTGTAGGTTGCTTACAGGAAAAAGGTCCGCAACGTTGGATGCGTGTAGAGCGAAGGCAGTCCACGCGTTGAATCTGAGATATCCTTCTGCCTGCATGTCACGCGTCACCGCCATCCGTCGCTGCGCAGTTCCCTGGAGCGTCTGGTGCCTCCCGTTAGCTAAGGAATAACACTGACGTGGATTTCCCCTGCTGTCCCAGCTTGATGTCTGTTCAACTCCTGCCGGACCGTCCGTGAACCCGGTCAGGTGTCCTGCATGGGCGACTTGGAGGTGGTCAAGTACGACAAATTCTGGGGGGAAGGGAATGACCCGCTTCCAGATTTACAGGCCAGACCGGAATCGGTAACGCCGCTGGGTGCATTGGAGTTTATTCTTGATGGCGGCGCTGCAAGTGATGCGAGCTCAGCCAGCAGCGGCAGCAGCATTGAGGATGCCAAGAGAGACATTGATACAACGGGCCCTCCTTAATTGAAGCTGTCTTTGTTGCCCATCAAGTTGATGTGTGCTTTGGATGCGGAGGTTGATGATGGGGGTTTAGAGGGCTTAGAAGGCCCTAATTAGCAGCAGGTGGCAACTGTATCGCGACTTGGTGCCGTTGTGGCACCTTCGGCGTAGAGCTGTTCGATTGCTGATTGGAATGCGCCCGTATTTTTTGCTGGGTACAGCTGCTACAGTTGTGCAATTCTTGCGGAGTCATAGTGTCTTTAGGGGCCCCGGGGGCTTCCACGAATTTGCTGAATCAGCAGCGCAGATACTGTATTTGGAGGCAGCGTATTAGCTCGTCGACACACGGAATCGACCCGTTACGGTCCCAAGTGCTCACGGTGAAGAGTTAGTTGTGAGAACGCTCTGACCAATATCTTATACGATTACTAAAATTTAATTTCAATGCATGTCATTAGGGCTTCAGGAGTTCATGGCAGTCGTAGTGTCATCCCTGTTCGTTGGTTCAGTTTTTCCGGTTTACCCAAAGGCCCTAGCTGTGCCAGGGATGAAACCAGGGATCCTATCCTGAGAAACGCTTGTCCAAAAGACTTCGCACGCATTCTGTAACCAATGTAAATTGCGTTAAGCTTGTCGGATGTATCCTCTGTGGCCCGGTGCAAACGTCCTGCCATGCTAACGCCTGTAAGGATGGGCAGCAATCGGCGCGTTGGCTCGCATGCTGTATAATAGTTTTTTTTACCTCTACACGAGATGATTTGTTCGGGACAAGAATGTAAAAAGCCTCTGCCGTACCGTGTAGGAGGAAGTGCTTGAAATAGGGTCTGAGGAAAAGATGTTGCGGACAATTGTCTGGCGACTGTAAACTGAACAGAACTGTGGGTCGTTGCATACAATACGAGCGCTCCCAGAACAAGGGTTAGGTCAGGCTTGCATCCCCAGTCACAAAGCGCCTGTGTGAATAATGCTTCGCGAAGTTTCTCAGAAGCGTGTGCTTCCTTTCCTAGGACAGATTACTCGCAATTTGAGCGCGAGCGCTTTGCCGGAGCAGGTGCGACCGATCTCCCTCGACTTTACAGTTGTTGAACGAGACTCTGACATCAGCTTGCGCTGCGCATACCTGCAGGTCCAATATGACCCACAAACAAGCTCAACTCCCAGTCCCCAGCCCGCGCCCTTCTCCTACGTCCCGCCGGGCCGGAACCATCTCTTCGTGCCAGGTGATGGCCATCTATACGCCCATACGGCTGACGTCAGCGCCCTTAATTCTCCACTTCGCGCATCACCTTTCCCCTGGTACGCTCTTCCTCCTTTCCTGATTTCTCTTCTTCTCCTTTCCTTCCCCGTCCTCCCTACTGCGCTCTCCCGCAGGCCCTGTCAACATCCACGAACGGGTGCTGCGAGCTATGCACGTGCCTGGTCAAAACCACCGTGACCCATGGTTCGCGCAGTTTTTCAAGGACTGTCTCGAGGACACCAAGCTGATTTACGGCACCAAGGAAGCGACACCCTTCATCTTCTCCGGCACCGGCACGGGCGGCTGGGAAGCCGCGCTTACCAACACCCTCTCTCCCGGCGACAAGGTTGTGTGCTTCCGCTACGGCCTCTTCTCACACCTTTGGATCGACATGATGCAGCGCCTGGGCCTGGACGTCCAAGTGGTGGATCGGCCTTGGGGCGAGGGCGCGAATGAGGATATTTTGGAGGAAATACTGCGCAAGGATACGGAGAAGAAGATCAAGGCAGTAGCTGTCGTACACAACGAGACGACTACGGGCGTCACCAGCGATATCGCCGGCGTCCGCAAGGCCATGGACGCGGCCAACCACCCTGCGCTGCTGCTGGTGGATGGCGTATCGTCGATTGGCGCTCTTGAATTCCGGATGGATGACTGGCGTGTGGATGTGGCAGTGACGGGCTCTCAGAAGGCGCTGTCGCTGCCGACCGGTCTCGCGTTTGTGGCTGCGTCGCCCAAGGTGAGCACGCAGAACGGGGTGGTGCTGTTGGCGATAATGCTTTCACTTGGAGGTTGGACCCGGGTAAGGGTTGTGGGATGAACGGGGATGAAGTGATGTCCATGAGAGCCAACAGACCCACTCGAACCGACCCGAACTCGACTGACTCCACTTCGCCTTGCTGACCCAGATGCGGTATCCGTCATACCGCAGCCCTCGTTGGCAGAACCCCAGGATGACCTCATCCCCATTTTCCCGCCATTCCTCTCGTCCCCCCCAACCCATCGGGTCAGGCTCTGGAGGCGATGAAGAGCGCCAAGTTGAAGCGCGTGTACTACGACTTCGCAGACATGCTCCGTACAAACCCGTCCGGCAATGTGCCGTATACGCCCTCGCTGGCAATGCTGTATGGCATGCGGGAGTCCATCAAGATGTTGCGGGAGGAGGGCATGGAAAATGTGTTTGCCCGGCACCACCGGCTGGGCGAGGGAGCGCGTCGCGCGGTGGAGGGCTGGGGCCTCAAATTGCTCTGCAAGAACCCCCGGTAAGCTTTTTTCCTTTACTTGCCGATACGTGAATGTATTTAAAAAACATGTTTTTGTTTGTGCTCACTTTTGGCAGTCCATGGCTGTTGTTACGGGATATTAACTGGAAGAAAACCAAAACTCAAAGGCTTCCAGGTCTCTATCGAGATGGGTACACGCTTCAGTCGGTACCTCCGAACATTGGGGTCGCGGATACGTGCGTTTCAAAGTGTGAGAGTAGCGGCGGAACTCAAATTGGTCGGTTAAGTGACATCTTTGCCAGTAGCGCTACCTGAGAACTTAAGGGCCATCGTTTGGTGCCCTTATGGTTGGTGCATTCATGGTCTGGCTACTAATGAAAATAATGAAATTCCATTATCATTTTCTCCAAGGTATGTCTTGTTGTTTCTTCCTGAGCTTACTTCCCGTAACCTTGGTGGTTGATGTGGTGGTTGGTGGCTGGTGTTTTCCCGTATGCAGGTGGCGCAGTGATTCGTTGACAGTGGTGGAGGTGCCGGAGGGCATCGACAGCAACAAGATCGTCAAGGTCGCGTACGCCAAGTACGACCTGTCGCTGGGCATTGGGCTGGCGCAGATCAACGGCAAGGTGTGTGTGCGTGTGTGAAGCGGCCTGGCACTGGCACGGCGACCGAGTAAGAGCATTTGTAGCCCATTTGAAGAGCATCTTCACCCTTCCTAGTTGGGAGAATGTGGCCCAGGTGCCCCAGCAAGGTTTCCTTTCTCTCCTGGCTTGGCAAAATCTGAACGTTTTTGCTGCCGCAGTGGCGCTTGTATCGCGCTGCCGCAGGCGCCTACTTTTTTCTTTTCCTCGCCCCGTACATTCTCCCATTTCATCCTCCACCCCACCCGCTCCCTCACTCTTACTTCCTTAAGCCCCATTTGCGCTCTCTGTACAGGTGTTCCGTATCGGCCACCTTGGTAACATGAACGAGCTGATGCTGGTGAGCGCTTTGGCAGGTGCGGAGATGGCCATGATCGACGCAGGTGTGCCCATCCGCCCCGGCAGCGGAGTGGGCAAGGCGATCGAGTACTGGCAGCAAACGTCCAGCGTCATCAAGACGCGAGAGAGCCTCATGCAATGAGACAGTCTGGAGGTCGCCATGCGTGCACCTGGCAGCTCTACCACAGCAATGCGCGGGAGCTGCGCGCTGCACAACTGGGAGGCAGCACCGTCGTGCGCCGTTTTGGAAGGTCGGCGCTCTTGATAGGCAGGAGGTTACTGGTTGGGCAATGTCTGCAGGCAACTCGGAAGGAAGGAAGTGCCAGATCCGGAGTGACAGACTGCTGCTGCTGTTGCGGCTACTGTTGCTATTGCTATCGCTTGCGCTTCTCCCTCACCTCCTCTCCGATGGGAGGGCGTCCAGGAGGGTTAAGTGACCCCTCATCCTCGGGTAGGGAGGAAGAGGAGGCGAAGGAGCGGCTGGGCACTTCCTCTAGATTGAAGTTGACGGTAAAAGTGCAATATCCGTACATAATGTTTGTTTTAAGTCCAGGTTTCGGGCACGCGCCAGAATGGGGCCGCGGCCTCAACCGGGTTGTGCAGTCGGGTTGTGTAGGAAAGTGAGACGACGTGTTGGTGGTGTTGAGTTGGTTTGAAAGTGTAGCAACTGCCCTGCCCCCGGGGTCTACTCTGGTCTGACTTGCTTTGTTCAGCTGGGGGCTATCGGGCACACAACCACGCCGCGCCCCGCTTCCTGGTCCCTGCCGCGCCTAGCGGCCGCGTGTGTGAAGAAGCACGATGGGTTGGGCAGATTCCGGGGTTTTCCTGGGCTATTAATTGTTAATTGGGCAGGGGCGGGACGAAATGTTGGGCAGAGAAGAAGATTAGGTAGAGTTACAAGAGATGAGATGAACAGATACAAACATGTGTGCCGAGGATGGCGCTGCATGATGGCGCATTGCGTGATGCTTGTACGTGTGTGGCTACGTGATAAAGAGCGGTTCAGGCGAGGTGAGGTTGGCTTGGGTGGCTGGAATTGCTGGCTGTCGCTGCTGCTACTGCCTCTGCATGGCGCAGCAGCAGCAGCTGGGAGCTTGCGGGTTTGCTGCCAACACGGCATCCCCGGATCGATCCCTCCCGAAACCCCGGTGGGGACACCAGATGGTCTTATTCTGCCCTGGAGAATTCGTCTGACAGGAGCGCTGATCCAGTCATGAAGCGTTGACTACGTTATGGCTTGGCTATTAGAAAGGGGGAACGACTTGTCAGGTTCTTATCCTTGTGGTGCAACTGGTGCGAAGAGAGCGATGAAGAAAGAGCGGTCGAGTAGCTCCTGTCTGTCTTGCCCCACAACTCGAGGTCCAATAACACAAGGTGAGGTGCTATGTATGGCGATGTCTTGTATAAAAGCTTGCATGCGTTAGGAGGGGCTGTTTGGTTGGTGAGCGTGGTTTGCAGGAGCGCCACTATATACCTATTGCGCCGGTTATGATGCACGGCATTGGCCTCGAGGCCCAACAGTTTGCTCATGTACCGAAACCGCGATGTGTACGCTTGCTTGCATGTATATTTTATACCGGCAAGGACCGTCTCGTGCGGGCTATGCCGCGGCGTTTTTGAGCAACTTCATAAAGTTTTACTACGGGCGCCTCTTTTTGAGTTCGAAAAATAGCTGCGTAGGAAGGGGCGTTGCTTATCCGTTTTTAGCACCGTCCTTATTCGGAGAGCTGCTTTGGCGCGTCCTGGGTTCCGCCAGTTGGAATGGCACATGGAATGAACGGTGCAGGTCGCATGGTAGCGTTGTCACTCCGCTGCGAGCGTACGACGTCTGCAAAAAATTTTAATTCCAAAAGCGCATAATGCTCAGCGGCGACCCGGTATTTTTGGCCTACTGTACGTATTGAGAGAGGTGGTGGTGTAGTATACGATGAGGCGCAGTGGGGAAAACGGACGATGTTGAACTTCGGCCTATGCATTGACAGGCAGCTTCGGGGCGTTGCAGATGTCGGTGGATAGCCCTTGCCAGCGCTGCGAATCATTTCCTAAGGAAAATTTGCTTCCTAAATGGCTCATCAACTCCCTGCCCTGGCCAATTGGCAGGCGGTTTTGCGGAGGGCCGCGCTGCATCTTACAGCTGGCCGCGGCTCTCACCATGTAAATTGTATTAATGAAACAAATTCTAACCAACTCACATGGGCGATGCATGAGCTTTCCACTTTCCTCTTCCCCCCACCATCACCTCCTCATTACATCATTTCATCAACAGTTCTCTGACAGAGAAGCCTTCGAAACCTGCACACCACCATCATATGCTGCAAACCGCAAGTCCCCTGCTGCCCATCACCTGCCTCCACAGCACAAACCGCGGCCGAACAACCAAAGTTCACATAGCACGCAATGACCATACGCCAGGGTGTATTATCAACACACACGCCCTATTATAACAGCATGTCGCCAGGAACATAGTCAACAGAACAATTAAGGAAAACAACAACAAAAAGAAGTAACAGACTTCTGGCGCGCTGGGCTTCTAGACACCGCAATATGCTGCTGGCCTTCCATCCTCGACCAAACAGTGGACCTTCCACCCCGCACCGCCCCCACCCGGCGCCACTTCCCGGTACCACGTCAACGTCCTCCCCCTCCAACCCCACCCCAACCCCTTCCACACAGCCCCCGAAATACAGCAACAAGGGCTTGCCTCGCATGCTGAGGTGCATACAGGAGCTTCATTCCCCTTCTTTATTATCCGCCTCTCATGTCTTTCGTGTCCGTGCTTGCCCTCCTCCGCCTACCCACCTATCCTGCCCTCCCCCTCCAACCCCACCGACTACGCAGACCAAGCACCTCTCCTTTCCTACGATCCTCCTCCTCCTGCACACATCACCTTCGCACATCATCATCATCAACAGCAGCAGCAGCAGCAACTCGCACCCTCAACCCAGCAACTCCCGCTCTACAACCTGACAGCACTCAAGGCAAACCCCACCCACCCCCGCCCCGCCTCTCTTCCCCCCAGCCGCTCAGGAGCTCTTCTTGTAGATCACCTCCGGTACTCCGTCGCTATGGGCCTGAGGGACGGCGCGGAGTGCGGGTGTGTGTAGTGATTTGAGGGGCCCGGGGCTTGACTCACACGCTCGACTAGGGTAGAGGCTCAACACTACTTGCTGAGACGTTGGCGATTGCGCGGTGGGGAGGGGACCTAGCAGCGGCGGCGGGTTATTCGGCCGGTTGAGATGCGGAGGGCGATGGGGGGCCTGGAGGGGGCCCCTCACGGGGTCCAGTCCCCTGGCTGTGCCTCGCCGCACCCCCGACACCGGTTCACCCCTCACCACCCACGCCCCGACCCCTCACCGTGAATCTCGCTGCAGTGAAGAGGAAATCACTGAGGCGGTTCAGGTAGGTGTTGACCTGCTGACGCCCCGCCAGGAGGGCGGGGGGAGGGGGTAACGTGGTGGCGGCGGTGGTGGTGAGGCGAGGTGACAATCCATGAGGTGACAAGGGCGGGGGAGAGGCGGGAGCAGCTAAGTCCAGCTATCCCATGCCGGGCATCGCGCCCCATGTCCATACCCCCAACCCAATACCCGGCACGGCATAGCTTTTCCGTAAAACACACTTCCAAACACACACGCACATATTCACACACGCACGCACGCGCGGCTCTTCCCCCTCTTTCCCCTGCTCCCCTCTTCCCCGTGCTCCCCTCTTTCCCCTGCTCCCCTCCTCCACACCTCCAGGCTGATAGTCTGACGTCGGGACAGCACCACCACGCTGCGCTCGGCCCGCCGACACACCGACCGGGCGTGGTGTAGAGCCGAAGAGCCGCGACCACCCGACGGCAAGATGAAGTTCTTCAGCGGTGGAAGGTGCTCGTCCATGGCATCAATCCATCCCTGCGTACGGCAAGGTTCAGAGGTCTTTTCAGCCGAAACAATACTGGATATCTGACTTACATCTCCCCAAGCGGATACGGCAATACCCAAGCAATAACGCATCAGTCCCTCCACCCTCCCTTCCCCTCCCCTCTCCCCCTGTCCTATCCTAACAGGCCCCAGAGACCTCTTCCCACAGACTAAGTCCCCCCTCACCACCCCCATCCGCCGACCCAGGTTGGCACACCACCATCCTCTTGGCCGGGACCTGTGTGTGCATGTGTGTGTATTGACGTACGCACAACTAGGTGGTGGAGAACACGTTCTTTTCCTTTTCAACCCAGTCACCCACCCAGCTAGGACCCATCGACCCATCCACCCCTCCCCCCCACACCTCACACCTCCAGTTGCTGTGCGTGTACGACACCCGGGAAGTGAGTCCGCTGAAGCTTGTTCTCTGGGGAAGTGGGTAATGGAGTGGCCACCGCCGAACCCACATCGATCAGTCGGGATTGGATGATCTCCAGCTGCCGACAAGAGAAGGGGGAGAGGGGGAGAGAAAGGGAGGGGTCGAGGAGAGGGGGGTGATGTCGAACGCAGTACACGAGGCACGATGTGACAGGAGACTTGAGATGATATGCCAGCAGTGCCAGTTTGGTCAATCCCATGCTAGCATATGCGTCTGTCTGTGTAGGTTCGTTGTGTTTGGTTTTTGTATCCAGCGTGTTTTTAAGATGACAGGGATTAGGTGCCACAGAGCTGCGCGCCCGTGCGAGGGTAGGACGGAGTGGCCGCAGGACCGCGGCTCACCTGCTCAAGTAGCGTCTTGTTGGTCAGGAAGGATGCGGCCACGCCAAGAGCCGAATTGAGCTCGTCCACGTCCCCGAGTGCCTGAAACACTGCGTCGTCCTTATACAGCCTATCGCCATTGTACAGTGACGCCTGCCCGGTATCGCCAGAACGGGTGTATATCTTCATGGTGCCCGTGTTTGGGACGCAATCCTCTTACTGCGCGGATGACCCCAGAGCTCGCTCAAGGGCGATTCTTAAAGTGGACTAAACAGTGCGCGCAATGGAGAGAGCGGCACGATATCTTGGCGCTGCAATATGCCCGGAATCCTCGTCAATTTGTAAATGTTTGTATCCGGTACGCTTCGTGGGCGACGTTCTTTGCAGCCGTGAATGAAGCTGAACAAAAGCTCCAGCCGCCGACGATGAAGCCGTTATCACAATGTAAGCCTTATAGGTCAAAACGTATAACAATTGTTTAAGTAGAGTATGAAGTTGAATTGTGCCATCGAGCTCGTCCACTAAAGCTATGCACGCATGACAGGAAATTACTAAAAATAATTTTCCGTGCACATACAGACAGGAAGCATAAGTGGCGCGCAAAGCTAGGGTCTGTAGGACAGTTAGAACGAGGTTTGTGCTTATACGCGGCCTGCTGTGAAACGCAGTAGCCCAACGCCGTGTACGGCGGTCGCAGTAGCTCCTTGCCCAATACCATCAACGCATTTGGGACATCATTTCATATCGTTCATGCTCTATGCGTACTAGGTTGAGATCACATTTCACTTAGGCCGTTGAGAGCAATTGAGTCAACTGGCGGTCAAAGGAGTGAGTGCCTCGGAACTTCTTCTGTTGAAGAAGAGTTTCGAGGTGCGGAGACATAAACTTGCTACGATAATGCCATCAACAAGTCGGTTAAACGATTTTATGCGGTGCAGAGGTTGGACAAGCAGTACCGAGGAGCGGAAGAGAAGATAGTTGAGTTCCGAGATAAGCTCAGAGAGGCGCGACTGGAGTTAGCAGCAAAAGATAGACAGCTCGATGCCGCTCGAAAGCTTCTTGCGAGGTTGGGGAGCGAAAAGTCGGAGCTGGCGGTGAGGTGGCGGGCGGCACTTGGGTCGGTTTCCCTCGTTCAAACAACGCATAAGTTAAAGGATGCCGCGCCATTTTCGTCTATCGTCCGAACAATGCTTCGTAGCTCTTGGCGCGCCAGTAACTATCCTTACGCCCACCCGCTTGTCCGCATCGTTTCAGATGGTTGCGGAGCAGAACCGGGAGCTGTCGCGCTCCTTGGAGGCTAAGCTTTCCCTGAGCCATGATGCTCCGGACCTCCAAGCTATGATCCACCGATCTAAGCGCAAGGTATAACAGCTTCACCGGCCTTTCGTTTTCGGACCCACAGCGCCCGCCTCTCGTCTCCAAAAGATACATAGTAGATACGCCCGCCCATAACTACGTATGTTTGTATGTCGGCTGTGGCCAACCCAACACCCGAACACAATACATCATCACCTAGATTTCAGATATGCAGAGCCGCTTTCAGGAACACATCAGGGTTACGGACATCTGTCCTTCCTTGTGCACTTTCCATTACTTTCATTTCACTTATATTTACGACCAAAAACCCCTCACGCATCGTAACAACAAGTACCCCTCGGGTAAACTAGCCCGCGCTCAACCCAACAGCCACGCAGCTAAACCCAAACGCCTGGATCATATTGCCGTACACTGTCCCCCGCTTCCCCTTCCTTCTTTCCTCCCCTTCCCCTTTCCCCCCCTCTTCCCCTCCTTTTCCCCCCTCGTCACTTCCAGGTTGCTGACCTCACGGAGCAGCTCCACGAGGCTCAGACCCGGTTGCTGATGGCTGAGGAGGTCGGTCGGCAACAGGCCGCCGAGGTGGCAGTACTGAAGAGGGCGCTGGGGCTGCGGGCGGAGCTGCCGGAGGGGGCGGTGGGGGTGCACGACGGACAGGCGCAGCTGCTGCAGGCACTAACGAAAGTGAGCGGCAGGGGGGAAATGTGGGCAAGGGAGGGGAGGAGGTACTGGAGGTACTGGGTGTGAAGGGAAAAGGGGCCCAGTATCTTTATAAGTGGCCGGCTGGTGATTTCCATGCCATAACGTGAGACTCCTGCCCCCTCTCGTCCCTTTTCCCCCATCCCCTTTTTACCCCGTCCTCCCCTTCGCAGAGCCAGGATGAGAGTGCTAGTCTAGCAGCCCAGTTGGCGGATAGTTGTCGTAAGGTGGCATCCCTGGAGCACCAGGTGTGTGTGTGTATGTGTGGGGGGGGGAATAGCGGGGAGGGAGGAGCTCGTGGGGGGAAGGACGCGACATGCGGTTGGTGATGGGGTGGGAGGGGTTGGAGGGGTACGGCGATGGGGAGGAAGAAATGTGAGGCCGACTGTGTTTCTGTGTTTCGGAATCCCTGAGGAAGCGAAGGATCTGGCGTGGAGTGGGGGATGTGACAGCGGGGCGTAGTGGGCCGTGTCTGGAGCCGGCCACTCCGGAGCCGCTCTCTTCCCACCCCTCTTCACCCCCGCTCTCCCCTTTTCTCTTTCCCTACTCCCCAAGGTCACTCGGCTCCACAGCGATATGGACCGGCTGGTGGGTGCGAGGGTGGCGGCGGAGGAAGTCCTGCAGTCAGCGAGGAAGGAGGCTGCTGATGGGCAGAACAGGGCGGCAGCATTGCAGGTGCGTGTGTGTGTGTGTGAGAAAGAGAGGGTGTGTGTTTTTCGAAGGTGACGTCATGCCCAGGAAAACCAGGGGCAGGGCTGCAAGGATACAGACTGCGTGAGCTCCAGGGTGGGGGAAAACGAACCACGAACGCGTGAAGCTGATGCCAAGGAAAGCCTGATACGCCAGAAGTGCGTAAAACGCGGCACTAATTAGTCGCGACTTGTGAAGGAGGAGTCTGGCCGGGGGGAGGGGGACCAACGGGTGTACGGCGGAGGCGAGTGGAGAGGGAAGTGCACGGAGCGGTTCTAGGGAGGGGGAAGTGTGTGTGTGTGTGTGTGTGTGTGAATGTGAATGTGAATGTGAATGTGAATGTGTGTGAATGTGTGTGAATGTGTGAAGTGTGTTGTCGTTCTCTGGCCATTGGGTCTTGTATATCCTTTTGCCTGAGGAGGCGATTTCCCATTGCCGCTGTCGCCGCCGACGACTCGGCCACCTCTGTCCACAACCTTTCTTCCTCCCCATTATCATCACCACCACCATCACCACTACCACTTGCCAGCTAAACCTTTTATAACACCGCCAAGTCGTCAGGGAAAAACTTAGCTAACACGATAAGCAACAGCTTCAGATGGGGACCCTGGATCCAGCTAGCACGGCTGCACCCACCCATCCATGCACGACAAGAAGAAGAGAGTAAGTAGGAGAGCACGTTACAACATCAATATTCCGATCTGCCTGGATCGAACAGGCGACCTAAGGATTTCGTATGGCAACGATTACAGTCCTTCGCTCTTCCAGCTGAGCTAAGATCGGATACGCGATGCACATAAAAAACCAAAATGACCTTCAACACGATATCTCAAGGTTGTGAGCCCCGCACGCTTCCGCTGCGCCATGTCGATTCTAAAGTGCATGCCATCTTACAACCTCGTCAGAACTCATGGATATACAGTCAAGCAGCTCCAACCAAGTCGAGTAGAACCTGTGGGAAAGGATGAACCTATGCTATCATGTGAAAGTAATAATGTTAATTCCAGGGCCGTGAACCCCGCCCAGCATGCATTAAGGGATGAAAGTGTCGAGGGCCGCTAATTATCATCAGATTTGTGTTGCACCAGCATATGCAGCCCTTATCATCGCCCCCACATCCACCCCTTTGCAGCGGGAGGTCGAGGACCTCAAATCCCAGCTGCGGAGGACCGCAGCGCACTTGCAAGAGGTCAGGGGTGGACGGGGGGAGAGCGTGTCCGTGCGTATGTATGCGCGTGTGTGTTTTCCGCGCTTGGTGCAGCTATTGAAGGAGGTGTCCTGCAAGGATTTTTCCGCTTAATAACAGAAGGCATATCAAAAGTGAAATGTCTGACTGCTATTCCGTTGCGCGCGGAGTACGGGTGGGTGTGGTGGGGTCAAAGTTGTGGCGGTAGATGCTGATAGGCGGTACGGACCACAACGGCAAATGCCGAAAATTGGGAACTGTGTCGGCCTCTTCCTGCCGTTGCTGTTGCTGCTGCAGCCCTCGCTGTTGGGGGAGGCATGGGAACAGCCGGAGGGCGGCCTAACTCCCCTCCTCCGGCCCTCTCCACATCCTCCCCCTCCTCCTCCTCCTCCCCCTCCCTCCTCCAGGTTCAATCCGCCCGGAACAACGCCGAGACAGCTCTGGACTCCCTGGCCTCTAAGAACCGCCTCTTGAAGGGGAAACTGGGGGTTGCGGATCGAGAGGCTAGATCGCAAGTGAGTTGGCTTGAAGGGACAAGATGTGGCACAGCGGGCGAGCGGAGCCGGCCGTACCTTCCCTCATTTGTTGACCCCCCCGTCTCGTTCGCCTCCCCCCTCCCCGCCCACGATACACACACATACAAACATATTCCCACGGGCAGCTGGAGGGTCTTCGCACTGAGTTGCGGTCTCTGGCCCAGGCGGCCGAGTCCGAGGTGCAACAGCTCCACGCGGCTCACAACGCCAGGGAGGGCGAGTGGGAGGCACAAATGACAGTACTGCAGAAACAGCTCGCGGAAATGGAGGTGGGCGGGGACGTCCGCGGGGTGGTAGTGGTGGTGGCGAGCTGGGGTTTGTGGTGGGTGGGGAAGGGGAAGCGAGGGTTTCAAGAAGAGAAGTCCTCACACACACATACAACCACACAGGCACACAGACAGACACACGAGACCGAAACCTACGACACATTTTGGGGGGTTTACGTGCGGGTGCGCGAAGGATAGGCGGGTGGTGTACCGCTTTACCCCTCTTACATCCTCCTTAGCCCCGTCGCCCCCCACCCACACACACACGCGCGCAGGCCCGTCTCTCCCAGTCGGATCGCGACCACGAGGTGGAGGTGTTGCGGCTCCAGAGCCGTACAGGTGCCCTGGAGGCCGCGCTGGAGGGCAGCAGGCTGCGGGAGAGCTCCCTGGAGCGCGAGGCGGAGGTGCTCCAGGGGGAGGTGGCCCGGCTGGGCAGGGTGAATGCGGAGTTGGCGGTGAGAGCGGTTGGGGCTGACGTGGCTTGAGCCGCGCCCTCGTTGCTGCTGCTTTGGGGCTTTGGCCCTATTTGCTCCGAAACCCTTTCTCCATCCTTGCCTCCTCCCTTCTCCACACTTGCTCTCAGGCCACCTTGTCTGCCTCCCGCAATGAGGCTGAGGCGGTTTCGGAGCGAGCTGAGGAGGCCTTCAACATGACGGATGTGGAGAGGAGACTCAGGATGCAGGTACACGTGAGGAAGGGAAGTTGGTTTTTTTAGTTGGGTACGAGATGGGCTGAGATGCAGTTGAGCCTCTCTTCGTATCCAGCCCGCCAGCCAGACCACGTCATGTACACAACCACACACAAACACGCTGGCCACCCTCCTTACCATCCCCCATACCCGCAAAATGTCACCCACCATACACGCATCTCCTCCCCCTCCACGATACACACACGCTCAACCTTATGAACTCCTCTTTCCTATCCCATTTTGGGACTCCCACTTCCGTCCCTCCTTCGTATATGCATGTATGTTTGTTTGTTTGTTTTCTCAGGTTCAGAGCCAGTTGGAGGCCGCCACCACCCGGGCGGCGGTGCGCGAGGAGCAGCTGGCAGCGGATGCGAGCGCGCTGAGGACCGAGGTGGCGACACTGGCACTGGCCAACGAGCGACTCCGGGGGGAGCTCAAGGTGGTTAGGGCCGGGGGGGAGAGGCGGGGGCGGGGGAAAGGGTTTATGAGGTTAGGCCCCCGGGAGGCGGAGGAAAGGGAAGTCGGTAGTCGGACAGGGGATGATGCTGTACAGGCTGTGGCATATCAAGGGACCCTTACTGGTATACACAGCGCACATAGCGCATCCCCTTCACTCTCTCCCCCTTACCGTGCTCCGTCCTCCTCCTCCTCCTCGCCCCGCCTGCCGGCGTGGTGGTTTACCTTCATCTGTGGCACTGATCAGGCCTGTCAAGAGAAGCTTTCCGACGCAACCGCCCGACATACCATCAACGAACGACACATAGAGGAGCTGCACATCACCATCCAGTCATTGACCAAGTCAAAGGTACGGCAACAAAATTCGGCGCGGACGACGGGGATCTAAGAAAAGAAAAGGGAACCTCCGGTGCTGTCAGCCTTACGAATCTTCTCGATTGGCAAAGAATCTTGCGAAAGCTCGCGCGTTTATATTGTAAGCACCCATTCCAAAAATCTGAAGAGCCAGATCAGCAAGACCATACCAGATTCGGCAAATTCCGATTCCAGATTCGGCAAATCCCCATACATACATACATATACTTGTCTTCTCCCGCAGACCAAGCTCCAGAACACCATGCTGGAGCAGTTGTCCCTTTTCAAGACCAAGCTGCATCAGGTGGAGCAGGAAAACCTGGCGCTGCGTACGGCACTTGCAACGACATCATCCTTGTCGTCGGTGCCGCCGTCCTCCCGCAGCGGACCATCCTCAGCACCAGCAGACCCAAGGGTCGATAGCTCTCGGCACACCACAGGGCCAACAAGTCATGCGACACCAGCGACAAGAGGCCACCACGGCGATGCCGCAACGATGGCGCCCGGCGGCGGTGGCCCCGCCGCCGCCAGCAGCAGCAATAGCAGCTACGATTTGACGTCCAGCAACTTTCCGTCGCTGACATCCGCCGTACGGGCACCCGGTGGTGACAGCGACATCGGCGGCGGCGGTCCCAGCGTAGGCTCCAAGACGCCCACCGCCATTTCGAGCCCAAGTATGTCACTGAGAGACAGTGCCCTTGGTCCCGGTGTTGGCGGCGGCGCCGCCGCTGGAGGCAGCACTGCCGTGCGCGGCAGCGGCGGCGGCGGTGGATCTTCCCGCTCCAGAACCCGCTCCTTAGGCTTGGACGACAATCGTTCGTCGGAGGGGCTGCTGGGCCACTACGACACGTAAACGAGCGTTACTGAGTTGCGGCCAGTTGTGGCTTGTCGAGGCGCCGACTTGCAGGCGCCGGGCTGGAGCGGGAATGGAGGACAGCGGCTCCGCCCTGTGCTGTACGGTAGCTCTAGTGGTTGGAGGCTGTGAGGGGCCAGCGCGTGTTGCTGGCTGGCTGGTGGTGCTCCTCCATATTGTTTAAATGCCCTTCTTTAATGAGGCTGACGACGAGGGGGATCTAAATTAGGCAACAAGGGGACGCGCCGATTTCCCAGAGTGTCGCACCACCTGCCATACATCGCTAGCATGTATCATCAACCGGTACAACGATCCCCAAATGTAAAGCCTGTCCGCAACCTTCCTGGACGTTTGAGCGTCCAAGGTTCCGTATAGTATACATTCGAGCATGATCATGGCGGTGTGGGTACATGCGACGCGTATTCCTTGTGGGATTCGAACCCACATAAGCCAGGTCGCGGGAGCCCATGCCTGTCCCAATATGGCTCTTCTAAACTTGCCGTGTAATTCCCTCAACTCCCGCAGTTTATAGCGCTTCCAAGCCCTGCCACACGTCTCTCCGACGCCCTGCACCTAGGGCTCTTCCATCACTTTCCAACCCGTGCAGCTGCTTGCAACAACAAGCTTACCCCGCGACCGCCAGCACCTACTCTTCACCGACGACCTGGGAAAGGGGGAAAAGGAAGAAGGGAAAACGCAACCGCGTCAGACACAGTCCAGCTGCATGGAAGAACAGAAGGGTCGCCTTACCCTCCCCCGCGCCCTTTCCCCCAGCTTTCACCCCCGGTGTACACCTCTTCCTGAAAGAACCCCAACCCAACGGATGATTGTCCCTGCAAACAACCATCCCACACGTGATCCCAAAAGTCCTTCCCAACGCATGAAGTCCTGACACGCGAATAACCCAATGCTTTCTTCCTAATCCCGCGTATTTCCCCCTCCCCCTCCGCTCGCGACCCACATCGGGGTCGGGGCCCCCGGGGCAGATCTCCGCAATCCCAGATCCCGACCGCGCACAGCCAGCATCCCTCCACAACACGTCATTCCTAGCTGGATCGCCTTGACAAATGGCTTCTTGGAGGGTGAGGTAGGACAGCAGCCTAGTTCCGCAAACATGAGTCGTGACGACCTTGATCTTCAGCCTTGAAACGTCACAAACTGCGTTTTGGATATTATCCTTGCAGCCATCCAAAGCGGAAGCTTTCTAAGAAGACTGGGCGAGCCCGCGGATCTTTTTTCATGTCTCGGCTACCTCGGCTGAATGAGCAAAGACTTGCAAGGGCGACATACCTGAAATACAACTTGGAGCATCCTCATATATCTGTGGCAATCTCTGCTACAGCCACGACCTCAGCGAACCCAGCTTGATGGCATCTCGACGCCGCGTAATAAAACGACGGCTTGTGTAATCAAAGGACTATGGTTTCTGCGGTTAAAAAGTATAACGTAACTTTATTAGGATGTTTTAAGTACGTGCTTATGATTTAGGTATGTGCTAAAGTATACGTGGATACGTTTCATGAACGAGCGAAACGGTTTTATCAGTCGGCGCAAGATCAAAGAGAGTAAGAAACGCCGTACCGTGACTCTATATGTCAGTCAACAAGTGTTACTGAGCGCGAAAAATCTGTCTATGCAAATAGGTACACGAAAACTGACGAACGAATTGTGAAACATGACACCCGCAAACTGAGGACATGAACCTCATACCGATTTCCTTGTGAAATGGAAAGGACATATTGAAGAACACGATACGTGGTTTGATGCTACCTAAATTTCTGATTGAGACCTGATTACCGATTACTGGAGGAACCACCCGGAACAGGAGGCAGCTGTTGTAGCGCGATGGCTACACAGAAATGATAAGCTTCTTAAGAATACGCAACTATGACAACGAATATGAAATCTTTTGAAACCGATATGGCTGTCAAGGAATTAGTCGAAAGAACATACTGGGACTGATTGTAAAGAATTTGAACGACAGTCATTCTCAGGCCGGCACTGCCACGGCCACGTGGCGGCCGGCCTTATCATAGTTCATCTTTCAAATCATCACATAAACTATTGGTGACTGGCCTGCCCATGTGGCCCTCCCACATCAGCAGTTGACAGTGTCAACTTGACACTGCTGCACCGCTTAACACTAAGGATCACGACATACGAAGCCCTCTCACAGCACTCACCTGGTCTCCAATCCATTTGTCCGCCAGCGCCGTGTTGGCTGCAGGCCCATCCTCATTTTTAAGTCATCACTCGTACGCCGTACCCGTCCTGTGACCTACCCAGATCGCTTTTTCCTATTCAACGAATGCATGACTATAGTTGTGTAGGTACTTTGCCCTACCTTCTGAAATTTGAACATTCTCGAACCTCACGCGAGGTTGATAACCTGGTCAGTAACGTACCTCCGACGGAAGCGAGCCTGTCCCACAGCTGAAACACCTGTACGCCGCTAGCCAGAAGCGAGGATGTAGCTATGCGCAGCAAGTGCGGAGTGAGTTCTGGAGTGTTTGGCCTCAGGCAAATTTGAATATGTTTTCCTTATAAGGGCCTCTGACAGTTGAAACGCCGTTCAGTAATCAAGCTGCAAACCTTCGTTAGGGGACTTCATACATGAATGGGTACATTTTCATTCATCTACATCAACACCTATACAAAATTTCTGCGCCTTAAAAATGAAAAATACGGCACAGCAACCTTCTGGACGTCAATATAAGTGCAAGAAGAACGCGGATATTCTTGCTTGTGCGATATGACGCTGCGCTGGCTTAGCTACCGATGGCCGCAAGACCAATAGCAGGTCACGGCTGTCACGACTCACCAAGCCTGTTGAAAGCTCAGCATTTCATAATTTTCTTTATTTGACCTCAGCTTAAATGTAAACAGAGTTACTATGTAAAAAGCATTAGGTAGTCACCAAGGATGGAACAGGATTTAGAACCTTTTTCGGCTTTAACAGACAGGGAGCCTGTTGTAGCCCAGGACCTGAATAATACCCTTTCACGGCTTTTGGGACCACCATCTTCAAGGAAGCCACGGCCACCATCGGCTTCTCAGGATGATATGAAACGGAAGGTGTCCAGACCTGCAGGTGTTCTTCCGAGGCTCCTGCGTAGGGCACCCGCGGGCCTCCACGCAAATCTTAGGGGACAACGAGAGTCGGATACAGACGGTGAAGATGGTGAACTAGCCGAGCCAAGTTACGGCACCAGTCCAACCGTCAAGCGAACCGGAGGCTCGTTTCAGGCGCCGCCAACGCTCACTCCTGAACAGCAGGTAACGCGGTGGCAAACGCCTTTTGTGAGCCTGCATAAACAAGCGTTTCAGAAGCGTGACCGGAAGAAAAACCAAAGTGGGCATTGGAATGGAGTCGAACCGTCAAGATGTCCTCATCGGACGCTGCCTATCCACCTATTTGGGAGGCGGCCTCACGCATTGCCTCAAGAAATCTTATCACTTCATTGAAACCAGCGGCTGGTCCTGGCACGGCTTTAGCACGACACACCAACACTTCGCAGTCCATCCGCCCCGAGCAATTTCCCCAATGTACACCTCAACCAATTGCTCTGCGCACATCAGCGTTTGCTGCAATCTCTAAACCCATGAGGTCTATCTTGCACCCTAAGCTGATGTCGACCAGCGCAAGGCACCCCCGGGGTCTCCTACCGTAGTAATGTCGGGCATGCAGGTACACCACCTTGCCCTCACCATCGCTCGTTTGCTCGCCCGCGTCGTCGTCGTCGTGGCCGACTTCCCCCCAAAAGTATCATCCATCGCATCTCTGGTGGTGTGTCTCGCACTCTTGCTGCGTGCTGTTACGACCATGCACCACACATCCACCGGAGCAATCATTTCCTCCGCCGGCCTCAATCAGTCCGGGTGGACGCCCTCTCCGGCTCCTTGCTTCCATGACCCTTGCCTCCAACCGCGAGGTCCGTCCTGCTCCGCGTGTGCGTGGAGGTCTCCTGAGTTCCCCCATCGTTGCGCCCACCATCACGTGGCCCTGGACCTGGACCTGGGTCCTGCACGGTTTCGTGCACCCTCTGTGGCCCTGTGTGTCGCCTCCTCTCTTCACTGCTTCATCGCTGTTTCCGACCCGTTTGTACATGTGTCACATTTTTGCTGCTCTTCTGATTTCCACCACGGTCTCCCTCACTGTGGTTTGTGTCTTATGTATGTGTTTGCGTATGTGCGTATGTATGTGTGTATGCGGCCCCACCACAGGCCCTGATTTTTCGTGTCATGCCTAGACCACGGCGGCAATCCAACCACGATTGGGAGATTCAGATGCGGCCGCCCTCCCCATTCACCGCGCCTGCTAGCACGATTTCCAGCCCCACGACCGCCGGCGCCAATCCCCTGTCCAGGGGCCAGGAGCCGTCGTACGCGGTGTACAGCGTTGTACGGCGCAGGTCGTCGTCATCGTGTCTTTCTGGCGACGGCTCGCCGGTGCCCACCGGAACTGAGTTGCAGCTGCAGCATCAGCAGTCGCGGTCGCCGTCGCCGCCGCAGCAGCCATCGCCGATGCTGCTGCGGCAAGCCTCGACACATCAGCTACAGCAACAGCAACAGGTTTCAATGCTGCAGCGGCAGCCGTCGGCGGCCCAGCAGCAACAGCAGCCATTGTTGCCACAGCCGCAGCCGCCAATGCAACGGAATATGCAACGCCCAACACGGCCGAGCCAGCCAGCCTCCCCGCCCCACCCAGCCATCCCGAATCCGGTTGAGTTTGAACGTGATCGTGGGAGCGACTCGGCCTTTACCGGCCTTAGAGCGACTGCCGTACCGTACGACAGACGCTCGATGCCAAATAGGTCGAGCACTCCAACTGGCCGCAGTATATTCATGTCCAGGTCGCACCGCAGCTCGCACGGCTGGATCGGGGGACCTCCTCCAGCAGCAGCAGCAGCCGGCGGCAGCGGCGGCGGCGGCGGCAGCACGGCAGGTGACGGCGGGGGCAGCATCAGCGGCGGCAGCATTACGCCCTTCACCACCACCAGCGGCATAGCTGCCGCCAACGACGCCTCAACCACCGCCGCCGCCGCCGCCGCCGCGGCCGCGGCCGTCTCCGCGCCTGTCTTTGTCCCTGGCTCACCCGCGGCGAATGTCCTTGGCTCAGTCAGCAGCACCACACCCGGGGTCAGGGGCAGCTGCAGCAGCAACGGCGTCCGCAGCCCACTGGCTACAACGTTGTCGTCGCCGCCGCCCCTGCCCAGCCCTCCTAAGCCCGGGCTCTTCCGCAGCACGTTTATACTTCCGGGCCCGAGCACCAGCGGCCCTGTGGCGGCGCCTGCCTCGCCCAAAAGTCCACTTATGCCAGCACCTCGAAACGCTCCGCCGCCTTCGCTGCAGTACTGCAGCAGCTTTGGCCATGGGCAGGTTGCTGCTGCGGTGGCGTCAGCGGCGCTTGTAGCCGTACCGCATGTGGACTCGGCTGGAGCCATCCACGGCAGCGGTGGCGGTAGCGGTGGCGGTAGCGGTGGCGGCTTCCGGAGCTCGTCACGGCGGTTTGGGGTTCAAGTGGGTCTCGGCAGGCAGGCTTCTGCCGGAGCGGCCCACGGTATGGCGGCCGGGGCAATGGCAACGACAGCGCAGGTGGGGGAACGCGGCAACGACGGCGACGAAGGCAGCAGAAGCGGCCCGGTGCTGCGGCAGCATCTGCCGCCGTCAGCTACCCCCGATTACTCGTGCTTCGGTCCATCGCGACCGGCGACGAGTATGTGGTCGCGGAGTGCCGGGGGCACTGGTGGCGGCAGCATCGGCGGCGGCGGCGGCGGCGATGAGCGTTGCGGCGCATGGACACTTGTACGGCGGTCTTTCAGTGCGGTTGCCAGGATCCCCGCTAGCGGTCCAACTGCTGTCCACGTCAGCACCATCGGGGTCGTTGTGACGGATTTAAACGAATGCGGGTTAGAGGACGGCTCCAACGGCGGCGACGCCGGCACCGGCGGCGACGGCGGCGGGAGCAGCGGCGGTTGTGGAACACCTGCCACTCCTGACTGCGCAGGCGCTGAGATGGACGGCGACGACGACGACGGCGGCGGCGGCGGCGGCGGGAGGAGCCCCAACGGCAGCCCCAGCGAGATGTCGTATTCCCGGGCCACCAGTTTCGGCGACCTGCTCAAGGCGTTCACTGAGGAGGGGTCGCTGAGTGTTGCTGCTAGGCAGCTTGCCGCCCTCCATAGGGCCCATGACAGGGCCCGGGCTCGGAGGAGCCTTATAAGTAAGAGCGTGGAGCAGAGGGGAGCGAGGAAGGAGCTGTTGGACGTGTCTGTGTGTGTGTGTGGGAGCTGTGTTGGACGTGTATGTGGTGGGGGAGGGGAGGTTATGAGGAAGGAGGAGAAAGGCCCGGGCAGGGGGGGATGAGTAACCGGGTCCGGGTTGTCAGCATCAGCCCTCCGCGGAGGCCGTCATGTTGTTGTTTTATGGCCGTCAGGGCCCCCTGCGCGGCGGTATGAGGCCCTGACCTGTCGGATTAGCAACGAAAGCAGCTCACGGTCCGATCTGCTGGGCCCGCATTGCCTCCTGGCCTCCTGGCCCCCATCGCCTTTCCATCCGTGACTCCTCGTGAGGCCCCTTCTTCCTCCCCTTTCCTTGACCTGGTTCCTCCTCCCCTGCTCCCCTGCCCCCCTGCTCCCCTGCCCCTCTGCACAGAGGGACAGTCAGGCGACCAGGACACCCCGCCAGGCAGCCGCTCCAGATCCGCCACATCAGCACACCGCGGATGAAGCACACGCGTGTGCTTCATCCGCACACGGAACCACATACATACATATATACATACATTCATTCATTCATTCATACATATATAAACACATACGCATGCCTTGCTCTGCCTCCACCGGGTGTCGACCTTGTTGTCAGTGTTGGCCTTCCGATAGTTTTCATATACACCCACATACATACATACATACATACATACATACATACATACATACATACATACATACATACATACAAACACACACTCCTGACAGACGCACTGGCTCACGAGGGCACAGCACCTCTACACCGCGGTGGCTCCTGTTGTACGGTAGTAGTCTCGAGCACGTAGTATCTTCACTGCCATGATCCTGCGCCATGCACAGCAGCGGCATATGCACATCAGCCATTGCAGCCCCAGCGGCAGTGGGGGCAGATGGTACACTGCCCGGAGGCAGCCATGTAAGGGTGGAACATACGGGTCCACCTCAACCCAATACGGTATCGCTTGCGGCTGCTTGACCAGAGCCTAGATGTGAACGGGCAGGATAATCCCAAATAGAGGGCATAGAGCCCTATATGAGGCTGCTCCTCAGCGTCTACCGGAGCGCGCGCTGCGCATTGTGAGAGGCGCAAAGGAACGCCGAACACTGCTTGGTGCATATGGGGAGATGGGCTGCAGTACAGCTGCAAGGACTGCAGCACCGAATCACCGATCCAAATATACATAGACCTGTTCCCTGGCGCGTTGGGGCGGGTCTGCGGTGGTTGCGCCCTGTGCGGCGGTGTGATGGTGCTTATTGCTGGGTCGGCGTCTGTGGCATGTGCATGCGCAGGAAAGAGGATGAGAGCAGTTGCTGCGGTCGTATAGTTGTTGTTGTGGATTGCTGTACTGGCAATGGTAACTTTAGCAGTGGTGGCGATGATGACGATGATGATGTGCAGATGAGCTGTGCATTGTGCCCAGTGCAGAGACGCGGAGGCGCGGGTTGCCTAGCATATGCGCATGTGTGGTTCAGCCGCGACGTTGTGCGCGGGCCGGGGACGTTTGTGGAGGTGGCAGGGAGGCGGGGACTTAGGGTTTTAAGAGGGTGTGTGTAGCGGGGCTGCCTCTGCACCTCGCTACTCTACGGCACTGCTCCACCTGCAAACCCGCTCTGCCCCCTTTCCCCCACACATTCCACATTTCGCTGTTGGGCTGCTCCTCTCCCCACGGGTATCATGCAGCGCAGAGTCCACTGGCACAGCCCTGCGCGCCGGCTGATGCATCATTGGCATCATCATCCCCTTCTTGCCTTTCTTAGCATCCAATGTCGTGTCGCGGCTGTGTGCGTCTGTACTGCGTCCTGGAGCAATACACCGCTGTGTACGCACACCGGCATCTTTAGTACTTCCTATGGCGCCTAAGGATAACTAATCAACTAACTCGCTAACGTACTAACTGGGAATGTACGGCACACTGTGCTGAGAGGTATTGAACTTGTCGTCCGGGGGGCTGCTTTTTTACCTTGAATTGCCGAGCTGAGCTCACTTACCTTTCCACTGCTTTCTTTTTCTTGCATGAATTACTTTGTTACATACATACATAGGCAGGCGGCTGGCAGAGGTTAAGGCCTGACTTCTGCTCCCAGTTGACCCAGTCGACCCGGGTTCAAATCCGCCTGCCGGCTCCTCGGGTGTTTGAGGAGTGATGAAATGGGAGGTGGCCCCCCATCTTATGGACGGTGTAGGACGTGATAATATCAACTTGCGAGCTGACCAGGAACTAAGTTGATGCGCCGTTGATCCGCTAGATTTGGTTGGATGCTGGTGGTGAGTTGCCGAACTCAACGAATACATTCTGAAGTCGGATGGGGTGACGGATTAGGGTGCCCCTCTAGCAGGGGAGAGCAGGGACTGCCCCGGGAAAGGGGGCCGCTGGCGAAGTTAACCACCCTGTAACAACATACATACATACAAACCGTTCTATGTACATACATACATACATACATACATACATACATACATACAAACTGTTCTATATACATACTGTCCTACCTTTGCGTATCCTTGAATGCGTGCCAACCTAAATACAGGGGTATCAGGGAACGCACATCACCACATCAGCCATGCATTCATGGCCGCGGATGTGCTATGGACAGTGCCTTGTGTGTGCGTGTGGTGGCTGTAGGGATGGTGGCTAGTGTTGCGGCCGCCAGCCATATGGCCTGTCGGTGATGATCTGTCGTCTATGGAGCTGTTGCATCTGGGTCTGGTGGGCTGGCGGTTATTACCTCCGTGGGCAACATTGATGTTGGTGACATTGAATTAATCAACATTACCATTGAAGTGCTAATTAGCACCAATATTTGTTCTATAAAAGGTCGTGACAGCTGCGGTAATTACTGTATTGGGCTTCCCAGGGTCTCCGGTGTACGTTGCAGGTAAGCTGGCCCACGTGGCGACAGACGGAGGCGCGTAGCAGCCTGAACCGGCCGATGCATAGTAACGAACATGTCAACTCTTAAGCGGCACCCTCCTCCTCGCCTAGCTGCTACCTGGTGGCTGTGTGCCGGTCGCTGCTAGCTGGCAGGCTGCCTTGGGAAGGTCCCTACCTGTCAATGTGTTCATGAGATAATGCAGATGGCGAGACTGGGCCCATATCTACCGGTACCGCTCTAGTTGTGCTACCTACCTAGGAGGTTATGGAGGTTGTGAATGGAGAACCTCCTGACTGGGTGGATAGATGTGTCGGTGTTGGGGTCGAGGACGTCTGGGGCACGAGACGGCATATCGCAGCTGCATGCATGCATCGCATCGCGCGATGCGTGACGTTTTAAATTTGTGACGAAACAGAGGAGATGATGCCGAATCGCTGTGTGTGAAGCGTGTCGGTGTGAGAGAACGGGTCTTCCATTCTATCTCCGTCTTTTTTGTTTCGCTTGGAAGCGGGCGTGTGACCAGGGCAGTTTACTGAAACAAACTCCTGAAAGACAAATAATCCCCTTCCCCAACCGGTGGAGGGTTTTTTCTTCCCGGACCTCCTAGTTCTCTCCGAGGGCACGTATGATCATGGGTCGTTGGAAGCAATGCATTCGGATCAACGCAGGCAAGCCACATATCCGTGCGTGGGCGTGTTTGGGTGCCGGCGGTTTATTTCCATATGAACGGTGAGTGCAGACGTGAGAGTTAAGAGAGACGTGAAGGTTGTGGTGAGGTGCTGGCTCAGGGTGCGGGGAAAGATGTTCACAAGCTCCTGCGCCGCACATTTACAGCGCCAAGCACAACCGTCCTCCAGTTCCTTTTTTGGGGATCTATTTGCCGTAAACTCTTCATACACGTCGCTGACATCATATACAACGAACGACAACTGACACACACGAATGATATGATACGGAAACGCAGCAGCGAATCCCCACAGCCAGGGTTGGCGGGCGCTCGTCCACAGCACGCTTTGAGCACAAAAGCAATCCAACTTGCATGCCACCATGTCTGCACGTATTTTTCACGCAGTTACGCAACTGCGCTTGCCCACCCCTCCACCCTCCACCCCTTCACATTCTGAAGGGCGTGTGATGCGCGAAGGTTAACTAACCTTGCTGCCCAGTCCGAACAGGCGACAACGCGTCATCGTGCCAAAGGTACAGCACTTGCATCTTTCAGCAACCCAAAAGCACCTATGGCATGGTAATACAAAACGTCTATATATACTAACCGTACAGGTGACAGAGCAATGTCAAACGCATCGGGCGAAAGGCTTCTAGAAAGACCTGTATGTGTGTATGTACAACTCGACCTATAATATGCACATGCGCAAAGACACATGTACATGTCGGCGTGCACAGCATGTGACCAACGGCATGCAGGGCCGACGACCGCCGTGCTTTTGAGGCTTAGGCCGCGGAGGTGAAGGCCCACAGCCCCCTGAAGAAGGGCAACCTGCAACTCCAGCGACTCAAGGATCCCTGAAAAACACTGCGCTGCGCCTTTTGCTGATTAAAACCCGTCAATTAATATACCTTTTGGAAACTATACAAAGCGGCGAAAGACAGCACGGCCTTCACGCGGCCGGCAACCACGCAACACCAGGCGCCACCAAGCGCAGATTCCCCCTCGCTGCGTGTGCCAACAGCAGAAGAGGCGTCAACAAACAAACCAACAAGTAACGCGTCTGCCGTGCCAGTCGTCCGTACGAACGGAGCTCTAAACCTCCTCACGGAGAGTACCCGGCTTCCCGCTTTCCAGCGGGTCCGATGATGTCGTACAGCACGATGCCTGTTGCCACGTGTATCAACCGCCAATCACGCAATCCAGCAATTGCCACCCCGGGGGCCCCACCCTGGAGGTCCCGGGTGACAACTCAGTACAACGCACCACCCACCCAACCCCAACAGTATATACAGCGAGCACAGATGATGTGGTGTGGTGTGGTGTGGTGTGGTGTGGTGTGGTGTGGTGTGGTGTGGTGTGGGTGCAGCTGGCCATTGGGGCAGTGTAAAGGCAAGGGGAATGCAATCTCCGACAAACCCCCGACAGTCCCGCCCCCCAAAAAAGTTCTGTTACCACTTCCACCCAACTCCAGCGAGCTTTAATCCCCCGCGCTACGGCCTCACTCCCCTCCTCCACACCCGCCTTGGGGCCGACGAGCTCCGTACACCATCTATACACCCACCCAGCTCCTCCCCAATCGTACCCGGCGATCAGTAGCACAGCTCCTCCACCGCCCAGTCCTTCATCCTGTGTGGATTGGTGTTCAACCGATGCTTGACACCCCACGGCATTCGATACTACATTCATACATTCACCCCTCCATTCAGATTCATCAGCCCCTTTTAAATCCGCTCGTGCCAGAGACATCGGTCCGCGTCGCAACCCGGACCGCCTTTCTCCATGATGATGTCCCAGACCTCGGCCGGCGGGTTGAGCCCGAACTTCTTAGCCCGCTGCCACCTGCGCGCGGGCGCGTGTATGTATGTATGTGTGTGTACGACCACCACCCACCGTCAAGAAATCATGCACCGCGGCGGAAATGGAGAGGACAGGACAGGACAGGACAGGGTAAAAGAGGGCGTGGAGGAAGGCAGCTGCGAGGAAACCATACATGCACACTCCGTGTGTGCGTGTTAAAACGTGTCACATACACAGTTTACACACGCACACATGTGTACAGCATTATGACTCATTGACGGCACCAGTCGTAGTAGCAGCAGCAACAGCAGTCTTATGTGTGACGCACGAAAGCAGCAATAACGAGGTGGTACCGCAACATAGCAAAAGTAGCAATCTGCCGGGTTAGCGTGAAGCTTCAGGAGCCGTAGGCAGCTGGCATGGGCAGATGCGTGGGTGGAGAAGGCGGTTGCCGCGGTTTCCGCGGGTGGCGAACAGGCGCGACTATACAGGTTGAGGGGACCTGCGGCTACCCGGGGGCTACCTGGTTCATTAGGCAATACGGCCACCGCTTTGCCCGGTAGCAAGGAGCTGCGTGCATCGGCTTCAGCGGTTCCGGAACTGGCAAAGGAGGCGGGCGACCCCCCACCCAGATGGCCGGTCCGGGTGGAGAGGCAGTGTAGTCCGGGCTTCGGCCCGGATCGGCATGAACGCAGGCGATGCTGGTACCATAAAAAGACACGGCCGAGGGATGACAGGTAAAAGAGCTGCGTACAGCCCTCGCGCCCAAGCCATCCCTGGTATGGAAGGAGTGACCCACCGTTCAAGCCGGGTCATTCCAACACACGGACCGAACTTGGTTTGAAGGTCGAAGCTCCGCAGCTTCTGCTCGTTCTCGCTGAGGTCAGCTGGATAACAAGCGGGACGCGAAAAGAAGGGCAGAGAACAAATGACGTATGTAACGTGCGTAACATGCAACCCACAAAAGTGGCTTTTACCCCATCTGCTATAATTTAAGTTACAACAATGCCATGGGAAGCATGTTACAACGAAAGGCTGTGCCTACGACGATGCGCCAGCAGATGACCAAGAGCCCCGCACGCACTTCTTGAAACGGCGCCTTCGCCTTGGCTCCTAGCTAATACTTCTAGGTCCGGCGTCTCATTCTCCACACGGCGGCGTTTCCCTTGCCGTGTTTTCGTGCTGGATGCCGAACTGGGTTTCGCCGATCTATAAAGGTTTGAGAGCTTGGCATCTTTCTTACTGCTCATCATGTTTTTCCACCCAGATATTGTAATGTCAAAAAACCAATCTATTAGAGCAGGATAGCACACAAACTTGATACAACGTAAAAGGGTAAAAGATACTTACGTGAATCCAGACTTCCATAACCAAAAAAACGGAAAGCGATGGCGAGGCAGGCACCCAGACACAAATTTCGTCTTGGTAAACCATATGCGCAAGCACTCATACCCAATATGGCGTCTAAGCTTGATGGCGTTAAGGTATCAATACATGAGCTGGGTGTAACACCCAGCTTGATACAGTACCAAGTTGAACGTCCCCATTTCCTCTCTGCGGTTACTTCGGGTGGACCTTTGGTACCGTCCCCGCACCACCTGGCCTGGTCTGGGTGTAATTCCCGGCTAGGGCTTTACTTGTTTTGCCTTACCTTCGACTTTCCTTTTCTACTTTTGTATATCCCTCGCGTTAAGAAAAGGGTGCCGGTACCTAACTGCTTTGTAATTTGCCGATGAGCGGTCGGCCTAGGCCGTCCAGCTCGTGCGTCTGCATACCTCAGGTACGCAAGCCACGAGCAGAGTAGAGTAGTGACCTCTCCTCTGGCCTCACCTGCTCGCGGGCCTATGCAACGGTGTCAGAACATAGCCGACATGAGCATCTGCAGCACACGTCCCTTTACATCTCCCATATCCTGCCCATTACCAGCTCTCCGCCCAACACACTTCCGACATGCAGCTCATGCAGTCGCGAGAGGAAAAAGGCCGCACAAGGACGTGCGGAGATTGTCGTGCAAGTCTTCTGCGTGAACAAAAGAGGCACCGGAGCGTGCTACCCTTACAAAGAACTTGGCAGTACTGTACTGCTACTTGCACAACGACCACATCAGCTCTTACCAGCTCTTACCTGTCGTGAGCTGTAACACAATCTAGCGCGTCCATAATCCAGTCCTGAGGGACAACATCCTTATCCAGAAGGAAATGCGCCAACATCGTAAAAAGCGTTCCCGCTGCAACTGTAATACACAAACCTTCCCTACCACTGCTTGTCCAGCAGTGCGCAACCTAACGTGAAGACGTGTATTTATCTACAGCGCTCGTCGGCATCGGACTTCCATCGAGAACACGAACACATACGACAAAAACACGAGGTTAATCTCTAGATTCTCCTGGCTGGGGACTGCGATGTTGGGTTTAAGGAAAGTGCTTCATCCGAACTTCGTTGCTGCCGCTTAAGGCACACCCATTGGGCAGTGTCTACCCGCCACGTCGCCTCTGCTCCGCCAAACCCAAATATGGCTATGGGCTACCCCCGTAACACCCCTCGCATTCTCCTCTTCGAATCTCCCCTCTCGGCGAGAGGCTCTCGCTCCCCTCCGACATTGGGTGCTGCTGTACAACGTGCCGCAGCAGCAGTGCGAACACAGATGCACACAGTGAGCTGGGAAAGGCAAATCGGAATATGATTGGTACCAAAGAATTCAACGTTCCCATGGCCACGAGGTTCACAGCAATCGACCCTCCTGGCGCTGTCTAGAGGCCACGAAAGAGGCGGCCAATGACGAATGGCGTTACGTCGTTGAGCAGTCTGTTGGAGAAAATCTTGCTCCAGCCCTGCTGCCATATGCGGCTGGCTGTATATGTATGCGTAACGATGTATAGATGTATGTACGTATGTATGTTTATGCCTGGACTACTTCCCGGATCATCATCATCATCATCATCTCGGCTCGGCTCGGTTGTCTGAAGTGCAAAGGCACCCGAGCATTGCCGCCGAGCAAAATGTCAACCCCGCAAAATCTGCTGCTATGGCAACAATAGGCATGCACCGTACAGTAAAGCATGCATGTACGGACATATGCATTCGTATGTACGTCGCTTTTAAAACTCTTTTATCTGCGATATGTACTGGCTGCCAGAGGTAACCTCCCCATCGACCTGTCACCTCAAAAAAAAAAAGAAAAACAGAAACGAGAGACTTTGTTCGTAAGTTGGCCAGATGTGACGCAACCACCCTAAAGGCCCATCGGGCCTCCAACAGCTCAACCACCAACATAATTCATCTTGGATGCTTCATTCAATTGTTTCGCATTCCCGCCCTCACCCACCTTTTTTTGTATCTAAACAACAATCCCCACTCTGCGCTGATGCGCACTTTTCACTTTATGATCGTCTCCAAGGCAGCGTCACGGGGGCCGTCCCGTCTGTCTGTATGTCTATACCTGTCCTCTACAGGTAACTTGGAAAAAAGGAGGCAGGGAGTGGAGGCCTTCTACCTCCCATCCGCACACCCATCCCGTTACACCCCGAACCAGAACGTGCGGACAACCATCTAAACAACCAACCCAGACGCCTCCCATCTCGCCCGCCGACATCCCCCTGCAGTCTTCACCGTCTTTCCAAGCCGGTGCTACCTCCCCAGTTAACTACAGCCGCTCTCCAATCCATTACCAGGAATACGCGAACTTGACTCTCGTAGAGTAGCGGCGCCCCGTCAGCATGTCGCGGGCCGTCACGCGGATCTCCGTACGGCCGAATTCCAGCGAGACCTCGATCAGTCGTTCTTCCGGCTCCTCGCCGTCGCTGCTTCCACTGCCGCCAGTGCCGATTCCATCTCCCCTATCGCCAACTCGTACGGAAGCCGCCGCCGCAGCACCGCTCACCGCCACATGTGTCGCGGTTGGTAGCGGATCATCACGAAGCAGCAGCACCTGCCCCCGTACCAGCGACGTGAAGGTAATGCCGCCGATGACGACAACACGGCACATGCGCACATGGTCTCGATCAGCATGATTCGTATCCATCCTCCTCTATAATGAAGGAGGCGGCCAGTTCTACGGCAGCTGTGAACGCGGGGAGGTATACTGGTCTCCCTACCAACCCTGCCGCCCTCCACACACCCCGTGCTACCCTACCCGTCAAAATATGAATCAAATTGGTTCTATTACCGTGTTACGCTACAGCGGGTAACTGTAGGCGCACCTCCAAATTGCCAACTCGCCGCATGCCGGTCGTGCTGCCGCCGTTGTCACCGTCGTCTCCACTGCCGCCGCCGCCGCCGCCGCCGAGAGCCCCTGCTTCCGCCGCCCCCCGCCGTCCCCTCGCGGACTCCGCTGCGATATCCTCCGCCTCTATCCACCTGACGGTCTGCTGGTCGGTGGCCCACAGCTCCACGGAGGCGATCTGGACACCGGCGGAGGGGGAAGGGGGAGGGGGTTGCGGGGGATTGGGGGAAGGGGGAGGGGGTTGCGGGGGATTGGGGGAAGGGGGAGGGGGTTGCGGGGGATTGGGGGAAGGGGGAGGGGGTTGCGGGGGATTGGGGGAAGGGGGAGGGGGTTGCGGGGGATTGGGGGAAGGGGGAGGGGGGAAAGAGGCGTGTGGCGCAGCGAAGGTTGGAACGAGAGGGCTGGGATGGACACCGCATGGTGGCGGTGGTGGTGGCTAGGGAGGGGGGGTGGAAGGAAGGGCGAGAGGGGGGAGAAAGACAGGGATGGCGAAAGGGAGGGAAGGGAAGGATGACAGTGAAGCTGCTGGCGGCGGAGAATGAGCCCAACAATGGAGCCCTACCCCCACCTCCAGCAACTCCCGCATAACCCCGGGTCCCCCCCCCCCCCCACCTGTTGATCCGGGCTCAGCGGGGTGAACACGTGCGTAACCACCTCGTCCACCTCCACCAGCTGGCCCCAGGTCACGAAGGGGGAGAAACCCGCGGCGCTGTAGTAACAGAACTCCGCGGGATGCCAAAACTTGGCTGTGTAACAACAGCAGTAGCAACAGGAGCAATAACAGTAGCAGTAGCAGTGGCAACACAGCACCAGGAGCAACAGCACCAGCAGAAATCGTGCCGACCTTGAGGAGGGGCGAATCACAGCATGGCACAGGACAACAGCCGGAGGAAAGCAACAGCCGGCAATCAGCTCTTAACATCGACACGACACGACACGACACGGCACGACACGGCACGACACGGCGCCATGAAGGCTGTAAGATTGCGCCCGCAAAGCCCCACCTGGCATCCCATCCTCGTACGGCACAGCCGTACGCACCCCATACGTCAGGCGGCTCGAGCGCGCCCGAACAAGCTCAGGCTTCATGCCGTACAATGCAGCACCTGTCATGCGGCGAATGGTGGAATGCCAGGAGATCATTGCCAGGTGCGTTGCATTCGCGTCTTTGAGCAGCTACACATCTGCACAAGTGTAATGTGAACGGAGCACTTAACAGTGTTGCTATCTTTGTATGGGGTTTTAGTTGATGCATCTGGCTGCGACGCAGAAGCGACGTCGACTTAAAAAAGAAGCGTTGGTTTTCGAGGCCCCTGTTCTCCAGGGCCAGCCCAGGAACCGCAGTCCCGTGTGTTCTGGATGTTGGCGTTCGCCAGGTGGAGAAGACTAGCAGCACAGCACAGCACAGCACAACGCAGCACAGCACAGCGCAGCACAGCGCAGCACAGCACAGCGCAGCACAGCGCAGCACAGCACAGCACAGCACAGCACAGCACAGCACAGCACAGCACGGCACGGCACGGCACGTCACAGCGCGTATTATATGCAACGTATTATTAAAGATATGTACACCAGCGCGTGCGCGTACACAGGTACCGTACCTTGCAGTACAGCCGCTGCAGCGCGCTCCGGAACCAGTACCCCGCCCCCCGGGGCCAGGCGGCCGCCTACCGCCGCCGCTAGCTGCGACTCCAGGTAACGCGAGCAACCAAAGCCGCCAGCCAAAATCACCTGCACAAAGCATACACAACACGCACACACAGGCGCACATGCCTAAATCTGGAGCTAGTAGTAAAGACGCCCGTCTTTCCAGCGCGAGGGGGGGGCACCGCAGGGGTTGAGCTGAGGGGTTCCCTCACCAGCCAATCTTTTATGATGCTTTTTCGGGCTCATCCTTATTCGGGTTTCATCAATCTTATTTCCTTCGGATCGCCCATGCCTCGCAGACACCCCATGCCTCTGAAACCAAAGCGGATTTAGGACCCGTTCTAAAGCCCTAAACCCCGGCCTAATCGCACCGCACGCACCGCACCTTGCTGCATCTCGCCGCGGGGGCGTTGGGCGCCGCCGCCAGGACGTCCAGCTGCCGGTTGGCAGCCTGGGTAACGCCGTACACCGGATCGCGGAACAACCTCGCGAGGGTCTGGCGGTCCAGAACCACCGAATCGTCCAGGCCGTACTCCATCTGGTTACATATGGACATATGGACATACAGACAGACACACGCAGAAGTGGCAGAAGTTACCTCGAGGTTCCGGATGGAATTGTGGCTCCAACAAAGTATTCACGCGAGGACGGACGGGACGGGACGTGAGCCGTAAGAGAATGTTTTCAGGCGTCAATGCGGAGCTTTTGAGCTTTCTACAAAAGCTGGCAGCTGTCCATGTCGGTCTGTCCCACCGTCAGATCAAGCACGCGGCGACACCAACACCAACATCCTCTCAAGAAGACTTCAACTACCCAACCAACAACCAACCCACCAACAAATCTGCTTTAACGCCCGCATCCATCGCCGCGTGCAGGGTGGGGGGAATCGGCACCCGCCAGGTGTCCCGACCCCCCCAACGACCCAGACCGCCGCCACCGCCCTCCCAGTCGTCCACCTCCTCGCCGCCGTCCTCGTTACCGTCTCCCTCAGCGCGCACACCAGCTGGCGCCAGGTCCTCTGTGCTATCGAAGCAGCACTTGATCTGGTTTTTTAACGGTTTTAAACGGTTTCAAACGGTTTCCAGGGGGGTAGAAACATCCAGGGAGGGGTCCATCGTAAAGAGGGTGGAGCAGGAGGGGGGCAGAGGGACTAAAGAGGGCCTGATCCTCATGATGAGTGAGGAGGCTTTCTCTGTCAGTCCCGTGTGCTTGGGTGTCCGGTTCGAATAGCATGTAAGAATGTTGACCTTTTAAAACAAAGGTCAAAGATGCATCTATTTTTGTGTACTATATTTTCTCTCCCGGATTTCTCGTCCCCATCCCTCTATGAACTACTGAACCCGGCGTAAAAACACGACATGTGAAGGCGTCTATATGTGGGAGAGAATGTGCGTACATATGTATGTATGTAGGGTTGTGTGTGGGGGGGTGGGGGGGTGGGTGGGTGTTGTATCCTAGGAATATCACGGGATCCGCCGATAGGTACTTTTCTGAAGAAGTCGTCATATGTTGTTACAGGGGTGGGAGAATTCTGGGCCACTTGGAAGTCGTGTTGTAACAGCGGGCACATCCCACGTCGGCCTCCAGTCCACCGCGCACAAAGGGAATCCTTTTCGCCCTCAGCTATCCTAGGGCCGCACTAGAGAACTCGTATCCCCGAGCTCCACCGGGGGGTCAGCCACGACACGATTTCAGACCCCCAAACGTCGACAGCGTCGTCGGCTACCGCTCGCAAACGCGCGACGCGCCAGGAAGACCCATAATACGGCATTTTGTTGTACAACGTACATCATTTACTGTACGCCAGTACACACACAGGTCATTAGTTCCCGGCACACTTACCTGCTCCCAGTGCTCCTCCATCAGCACCATCCCCTCGCCCGGGTGGGCAGCCCACCAAGTGTCGAACACGTCCTCCCCCGCCTCCACATTTTTCAAAGGAAGGAATTAAAAAAGGGAGGTTCAAATGGTTCGCATGTTTTTGTGTGGAGGATGCTAGGGAGGGGGGAGAGGAGGGGAAAGACGAACCACGACCGAATGAAGAGGGAGAGGGGGGTGGGAAAGGCGGCAGTCAAAGATGTGGCATTGTCAACATCATCGTCCGCATCATGATCGCAATCGTTGGCGGTACTTGCCTTGCTCCGAAAGTGCGCTTTGAACGCCTCATCTAGCGCCGTGGCCCCCCACATGGCCCCCCAGCCAGGAACCGCCTGTGCCTCGGAAAGGACTGCCGTACCGCCCCGCTCTATCACCTGATGGCGCCAGAACCAGGAAGAGGAGGATGGGGGAGAGGGGGGCAGGCGGAAAACACGAACCACGAACGAGTGAAGCTGATGCCAAGGATAGCCCGATGCGCCAGAAGTAAGGAAGGAGGGGCAGTGGGGGGGATATTCCGCATACAAAAGAGGGAGCTGGGGCGTTGGGAACCGAGCCGTGCTAACAACGTGAAATACAGCGGGCCCCCCCCTTCCCCCCGGGCGGCTGCTTCCGCGGGTATGTAGGATCTGGTCTGGTTCCAACCCATAGTAGGTGGCGTCCTGTGTGTGTGCATGCATACGAAGGCAGGTAGGTGCAGCCAAGTTAGGCAACCCAAGGTCAACCCGCATCGGTCTCACGGTAGATATCAATCGCACCCTCGCACAAGCGCACCCTCGCTGAAGTTGTTCAACCAACTACCTGCAACCACCTGCAACCGCCTGCAACTGCTCACCTCGTGAACGGTGATGTCTACCGTACCGCCGCCCGCATCCACCACCATGAAGATCTCGCCGGCACGTAGAGCCCCCGTAGCCGCACTACCAACACCAACACCAACACCAACACTGCCGTCGGCACCTTTGGCGCCGTATCCGGTGGCAGCACTGGTTCCGGAGCCCCCCGAGCCCACGGCAATGCTGGCGGTGACGAGGGTGGTGGGTAGGGGTGCGGCCCGCGCCGACGCGGCCGCTGCCAGCGGTGATGTGATGGCTGCGGGGAAGAGGAGCGGACGGTCGGCTCCAATGGACAGCTGCAGGGCCGCGGCCTCGGGCTCCAGAACCACCGTCAGCTGCCGGGTGGGTAGGGGGCAGGAGGAATGGAATGGCGGCTAAGTGGGGACAACAGAAGCAGTGGTGGTGGTGGTGGTTGAGAGGCGCGGGAGGGGCCGGAGAGGTGCCCGGGGTCTACAAGTGTGTGTGGGGGTGGGGGTGAAGAACATGCCACACGACGTCCCATTCTGTACGGGAATAGAAAAGCGAATCCGAATGCAAAGCGATTAGGAAGGGGGGAAAGGGAGGGATTCATAAGCAAGAAAAACAACAATGCACTGCTCCGAGCGTCCGAAACTTCTGGAATTCTAAGCGTTGGAGACATCGACCCGAGGGAAGGAAGGGGGGAAAGGGAGGGAGGGGGATGCCAACGGATGGTCGAGCAGCAGCTGGGTACGGAGGAGACATACATACATACATACATGCCTGGGTACCCCAGGCCCCGCACTGCCGCCCCGCGTCCCCACCTCATCCGAGTCCAGGGAGGTGATGAGCGCCGCCCGGTGAGCAGCTCGCCGTACAGCCGCCTTGGCCCCGTCGCTCCACATGGCCGGTACGGTGAGGCACCAGCGGACCATGCCGCGAGCGGCGGAGGCGGCGGAGGCGGAGGCGGAGGCGGAGGCGGAGCCCAGACTGCCCTTGGTTGCCTGCTGTTGCAGGTGCTGCGCCAGGGGCGGGTGGGCGAGGGAAAGCGATGAGAGAAGGGGTGCGGGTGCGGGTGCGGGTGCGGGTGCCGGTGAAGGGAACAGAAGACTAGTATTCACAGGCGAATGTCATGGACTCAATAGGGCCCATCTGGATGCAAACTGCTTCCGAACCTCTTAACACCCACGTCCCCCAAATCACGAGCACACCCATCGGCAGGTCAGCAGGGTTCGACACCCCGTACGGGGCCCGTAAGTTTTTGGCCTTTTTTCGGTATCCCCGTCAGGGCCCGTAGGACTTTACAGTGGCCCCCGTAAGGATTTTGGGGCGCGAAGCGCCCCCGTACGGGGCCGCCCCCGGACCGGCCGAAGGCCGGTTACGGGTGCACCCGTAAGGATTTTAAGGATTTATAAGAGGCCGTACAGTACATATTCCCATTCTTAAGCTGCCGAGCATGCTTCTAATGCTAACGGCGGCTGGGCTTCCGGGCATTCACTTCAAGTACCAGTACCGCTATTTCGTCACGGCTATGCGCGCTCTGAGCGAAGTCATCCTTGCCGCCCAGCTTGTTCGAATCCGTGAAAGCCCATTCTTTAGTATTATGTCAGATAGCAGTACGGACGTATCGGGTGAAGATCATGTTAAGGAGCAGAAGGGATGGGCGGCCGTGGCGGCCAAGGCGCTTGGCTTTCACTGAGTGTGCCGTGTGTCCCCGAGTGTAATGGTTCACGAGAAAATAACGAAAATAACGATTTACAGGCCAAAAAAATGCAAAGCGTCACTTTCCACAGCGTTTCAGCCGCGTCACTTTCCACAGCGTTTCAGCCAAGGACAGTGCCCCCGTAAAGGTTTTGGGGGGTTACGGGGGCCCCCGTAAGGTTTTCGGCCGGTACAGGAGCCTGGCACGGGGGCCCCTCCGTAAGGAAAATTTGGGAGGTACGGGGGAGCCCGCAAGTTTCAGGAAGGTCAGTGTCGAACCCTGCAGGTCAGGTAGGCGCTGGTGCGTCCCCCCCTTTTTTTATAGCAGAGGGTCTGATGGGAATGCTTCTCCCTTGTTTCGATTGCACAGCAATGCTGCCGGGCTGGAGAGCTTGCCGGACTTGTCGGACCTAGCTGCAGAAGCAGCAGCAGCAGCAGCAGTAGTAGTGCTACTGCTAGTAGCAGCAGCAGCAGCAGCAGCAGTAGCAGTAGCAGCAGTAGCAGTAGCAGTAGTAGTAGCAGTAACAGTCGCAGTAGCAGAAGCAGCAGTAGCAGCAGAAGCTGCAGAAGCAGCAGTAGCAGTCGCAGTAGCAGTAGCAGCAGTAGCAGCCACACTCACAAGCAGGATGTACATCTTCATGAGGCGCAGGAACTCGGAGAAGGCGACTTCCGCACTCACGCCCGCCGGGAGGGCGGCGGCACGCGACCGGTCCTCCAAACCCAATTTGAACTCCGTGCCGTAGACGAGGTGGTACCTGAGACGATGGTGGGGGGTCGGGCAAACAGCGGCAGTGCTTTTCGTTGTGATTTTGCTGCCTTTCCTGGCACATCGGAAATCAAGGCAGTGGAAATCAAGGCAGTGTGTGTTTCGGGCTTTTCCGGGGTGAAGGTGGGGAGGCGGGGTAGCGGGGGGAGAGGGGGGAGGGGGGAGGGGAGGGGAAAGACGAACCACAAAAGTGAAGCTGCTGCCAGGGCAAGAGTGTACCAGACGTAGAACTGACCGAAAGGCGTCCGTGAAGACCGCGACCTCGGGAGGGGGGGGGGGAGAGACGTTGCACCATTCCACCCGGTCGCAAGGAAAGGGTGTACCGGGCAGTGTCTCAGCATAGTTAGTGTTCCCCCCCCATCGTGGGAGCCGCCTGGCCCCCGGTAGGATCATCCAACTGCAGCTCAGCGACCCAACACCACCCGGCTCAAATAAGGGCATGAGGACGAGCATACATACCTACAAACAGACAGATACCACTCCCCTTCACCTTCACGACCTTCAAAGGAACCTTTCCGTTACCCTTCCGTTATTTCGTCTGCCCTCGGATGACACTGTTTAACTTCGAACTTCCAACGACCAACGACCAACGACCAACAACAAACTGACAGCAAGCTCACCCGGGGGCCCTCACCAACCCCTCCTACCTGCCTTCCGTACGTTCCTGCTCGTCCATATCGCAGTACTTGCGTACGGCAGTCCATCCAAATGCAGACCCCTTGCCCGCTCTCAACAGCAATGCGGACCGGGTCTTGGGGTAACGATCCTGCACCACCGCGCCTGTCGCTGTCGCAGACCTATCGGATCCACCTGCCGTACCGCCGGTTGCGGCGGCCGCGGCACCGTTGGGCCGATCAGGCCAGTCGGTATGTACGACTGTACGAGAACTCTCTCCCGGGCGACTGATGACGTAGGCGAAGCCGCTGCGGGCAGATTGGGGGTTCGGGCGTTGGGACAGCGACGGGGGGGAACACGACACGGGGCGGCCGTGCAGTGTGGTCCCGAAAGGGGGGTCCAGAGTCACCGCAACCAGGGGGGGGGAGGGCGTCTGTGTAAACGAAGTTGGGAGCAGCTGCAGCATGTTCAGCATAGTGACGAGCATATAACGACACGATGCCGTACCTGCCGTACGTCCCCACATCAATAGCGACAACAGTAGTCGCCCGGGCATGCTGCAGAAGGGGGGAGGTTGAATGTACGGCAACTTAGGACTTAGGGGCGATATTAAACGAGGTGACCGGGGCAGCGGAGTGTACAGGGAGGGAGGAAGGGGGGGCTGCGGCAAGCAGATTACGCAGCCGGGCTAATCACATTCGAAGACACTCATGACATGCCATTGGTATGTGTAAGCTCCTTTTGTCGGATCACAAAAACCCCCTAGGATGTCTTCATCACATTCTCCCCTGTACCGCCCCGCCCCCCGGCAGGGTAGGGCAGGGCAGGGCAGGGGGTGCCCCCCGGCACCCCCTATACACAACCCCGGCAATAAGGCTTCCGAAGGTACAACAGCATCCAGCCAAGGTATACCATTCGTGAGCACATATACCCAAATGCCATGTCGTACTACTCCCCAAAAGTAGGATATAGGATCGTACTTCCCAAACATCATGTCGTACACCCATCGCGCGCTTTGTTGCACATTACCTGCACCAATGTCGAGTTGTTGTTGTCGGTCGCACCACTCGTACGAGCCAACGAGCCGCGGCGACCGGAGGACCGACTCGCGCCGCCGCTAATGCCGCCAGTGCCGCTACTGGCCGCAGGTGTCGCCATGCTGCTCGGCCTCGATATCTTTATTCGATTGGTCGAGGGAGGGAATTAAGCACGTGGGTGCGCAACGGGTGCGTAGTTCTCCTATAGCGGTTAAGCGTATGCAATTGCTGCGGTACTGACGCGTATCAGTCGCCTTACGTAATATACGTAAGGCCCGCCCATAGGCGCGACAATAGGAGGGAAGTAGTGAAGGAAAACAGCGGTCCATGTAACATCAATAAAGAGAAATTATGTTCAGCAATTATATTATGTAAATAATTCTAAAACTTCAAGTGTAGAATGGGTCGTGACGACCCGTGGGTTCATGGCAAGCAGGCAGCAGCTTTCTTAAGAGAAAGCCGCCTACTAGGAAGGCATCTCGTGCTGAAAAAATAAAACTCTAAAATTACGCAGCCATACTGTTTGAATACTGAATGAGGATTACAAAGCGGCGGGGGACTGATTGACAGCAGCATACCCCGGCCAACCGGGCTCCCTCCCAGAAAGCTCAGGAAGGCCAACGCATAAACGAAAGCCCTGCTGTATCATCCAACAATTCTTTCTCAGGACTTGCAAGCAAGAAATTCCTGCTCACCTAACGCCTTGGCAAGGAGAGATGCCTTGATCAGGGCTGTAGTGGTGCAAGGGCGCAGCGCAAGTCCAAGGAGAGGGAGGACAATAAACTTCTTTGCTGCTGTTTGTTGTTCTCGTCCGCGCTCGTCTCTTTCTCAACTACTTCGACACGCTCACGATCAAAGAAGGTATCGACCTAGGAAGTGTGCATCCTTTGGCGTCAGAGGCACAGCCTGGACTTCTCGTTTGGTTTTCTTTAGTTCAGTAGATGAGATGGAGGGGCTTCAAAGTAATCGAGCTTCCTTTATATTTAAGTGAGATTTGCATCCCAAGGTTCCAAGGTGACCGTTGGCCGATTTGGCGCTTTCAAAAGCGAATCAGAGATGGAGCAGTCCCTTAGCTAGCCCACCTCGGTGACCTGGATTATTCACGGGTGTCACGGGAGTTCACGGTGAGGCCCGACAGTCAACCGTCACGCAAGGTCATGACATGACGCAAATTTCCTGCTGAGAAGAACCCTTCTGGCCCCTGCAGAGCTGATAATTACGGCGGTCGGTACTGACTCCGCTGTGACTAATAATAAAATGTTGTTCATGTTCCTGCTGTTGCTGCAGCTTCTTGGGGTTCCTCGCATGTAATGAATCGTAGCTGCTGGCTGGCCTTCCTCTTGGCTGTCCTCTCCATGCCCATCGACGCGTAAAAGCGGTCATAAGTTGGCGATAAGAAAACTGATTCGCTTTCAGCTTAAGGAAACGCACCACACAGAAAGTAAACGAAATGGACCCGCACTACTTCCGCTGCGTCGAAGCGGAAGGCGCGGCGGCGCAGCCGCGCAGCGGCGGCGACGGCTGTGAACCTCCTGAGCCGCGTGAGAGCGTCACATCAGCCGCAGCAACAACCACGGCCCCGCCAGCTACCGCGCATCAAACCCCGCCCGCACAGGTTCCCATAATCAACACCAACACCTACAGCAACGCCTCTGGCAGTGGTGCCGCCGCGCTGCGACGCCGCCGGACGCCAGCCGTCATACCTCCCCCCAGCCTCCTCCGCGTCACCCCCGGCGAGCGCGGCTCGGGTTGTACGGCATCAGCTGAGCTCCGGGCGGTCTTCCCCGTCCCCCCCGCGGTAGTGTTCGGGTTGCTCACTCATCCGGGTGCGTCTAGAAGGGGGGAGGGGGAGGGACGGAGGCAGGGAGGGAGGGAGGGGGGGTCTTGGGGGCGGGAGAAGTACGGGAAGCACTGGATGTACGGGATATAGTACGGGGTGTTTTCCATGAATAGGTTAAAAATATGGCTTGGTTTTGCCTTTTTATAGCAGGAATGTTTGAAATATTGTGGGCAGTAGGAATAGAATACTGCGATGGATTTAAAGTTGACAATTTATATGATTTTAATAAAATATTTCCATGGCTCTCAGTGTAATGCTTTGGGGGATTAGCCACTAAAACCACCAGCCAATGATTATAGCTTACGCAGGTTGGACTGGTAGTGGAGTAATAGCAGTTTTTGCTTACGGTCTATAAGTACTTTAAAGATCCGAATTCGGTTAAGAACAAATTTTTGTTGGGATGATCGATATAGGAATAGGTGGCGTGGGGTAGCGTGGGGCGAGGAGATGCGGGCGAAGGGAGCAGAGGAGATGCGGTCCCGTTGAGTTGCTGTTGATGTTGTTACAGCGGGCTTCTATGCCTGAACGCAACGAATCCGAAGAGCCAAAGGGCACATCGCCCGACGCTGCAAGAAACACAAACCAGAAAGGTAACTCCTGTTGAGTTGTGTGTTTTGTCACGCCGCGTGTCATATCCAGCGGAAGCGCTGACGGCGGAATCCATTGCGGCCGAACCCCCGCTGTGCCCGCGCGCTTGTATGTGTGTATGTTTCGGGGTGTCTATGATTGTATGTGTGTATATATGTATGTTCCAACAGACAAGAGCGGGGCCTTTAGCAACATCCTGGAGGTGTACGACAGGGTGGAGGTGACGCCGCCGCCGCCGCCAGGTAGGCCGGCGGTGGAATCCTCGCCTGGAGAGGCCGCCGCCGCCGCCGCCGCCGCCGCTGCCGCCAACAGCCCCCGGTTTCGAGTGTTCGAGGAGACACAGGTACCCCCTTTTGGCGGCCCCTCTCCCTTTGGCGGCGTGTCCCTGTAGTGGGGGGGGGCCGGCAACAGGTTCGCCGAGCGTCTTGCGTTTCGCGCCCAGCGCCAATACGGTTTCCGTACGCGCGCTTGAAGACTTGGGGGTTTTCGTTATTAATTTGTCGTCCTTCCTGCTTCACCAAACACACACACACACTTTTTGGAGCCCGGAGCCCTGTATTCGAATTACAGTCGCCACGTTGCTTTCATGAAGGTTACTGTCATGAAGGTTACTGGCATCTAAGGGACTCTGATGGGCCCTGCGGCTCTCCATGTCCCGCCTCGCGACATCTCTACCCCCCCCACACACACACCCTCAAGAACGCCTTTTCGTCAGTTCTACGTCTGGTACACTCTTGCCCTGGCAGCAGCTTCACTCGTTCACGTGGTTCGTCTTTCCCCCGTCTCCGGCCAACAAGGGCCCCCACCCCACGGCCCTCCCCCCGTCTTTATCCGTTTGGTCCGAATGCGCTATTGGTGGGACAGGTGGGTGAGACCGCTCTCCTGTGGCGCCACTCGAAGTTCCGAAACCGTGTACGGCTGGAGGAGGACGCGAGGGACCCGGGGCTCATGGTGCAAAGGTTCAAGCTGCTTCACGGGGTGCGTGGGACCACCGTGCATGCGGCCAAATGCAACAGGAATGGGAATGTTGTGATGCAATAACTTTTGGTCTTGTGGAATGGCTGAGGCACACATCCGTACGACCGTGTCGACCGTGCCTTCCACGCAGGCAGACAGGGGAAGCGATCCACAGGTGCATCGGTTGGGTCGACTTCGAATAGTTCTCTGATTACCGGTTTTCTTTCAGAGCTACGAAGTCATATCGTAATGATCCTTCATATCTGTTGTCAGCTGTTGTCAACACTATTGCCTGTTACGGACAAATTCACCTTGTTGTACGAACATCATGTCATCTTTTTTTATCTAAAAGAACGTCCTTTCTCGGCTTTGCAGGACAACCTAGAGCGCTTCGAGGGAAGCTGGTTCGTCAGTTCAGTGCAAGGGCCAGAACTGGAGCCGGAAGTAGACGAGCTGGAGAAGGTGGTGGTAGGGGAGGTGCAGGTGCAGGTGGAGGTGGAGGTGGAGGTGGAGGAACCCCAGTTTGTCGAGGTAGGCATCCGCGATGACGCCGATGCTGCTGGCGGAGCAGAAGATGACGGGGTGCAGGTGGAGAACCTTGTGTCCGTGGCCAGAGGCGAGGGTGGCGGCGACGGTGACATATCGTCCTGCACAGAAGACACGCATTCGCCGCATCCTGAGAGTGTCGAGGACGGCTGGGAGGACGTGGGCGAGTCGCCCGTGCTTGTGACGGCCAACACGGTAGCCGCAGTCGGAGTCGCAGTCACCGGCGCCAACGGATGTGGAGTCTCAGAGCTATCTGTAGTGGACACAGCCGCAGGAGCCGCAACGGCGCCAGACGGCCCCGCTGCGGCTCCTGCTGCTGCAGGCGATGCGGCCCCCGAGATCGGCAGCAGTGGCTCTGACGATGCAGCTGCTACAACCGCCCAGATCGGCAGCAGCAGCAGCGGCAACGGCAGCGGTGCTGCAGCTGACAGTCCCGCAGTAGCGATTGGGTTGGGACGGGATGTGCAGACGCCGCCCCCGTCACTGCCACCGCGGCTGTTGACGCCGACAACGATGTCCGCACAGGCGGCGAGGGCTGCTGGCGCTGCGTCCTCCTCCTCGTCCTATGGGGGCGCTGGCGGCTGGTGTCTTGTTGTTCTCAAGCACGGCCTGACACCCAAAGGTGAGCGCAACTCGAGAGAGGCACCTCCTCCTCCGTGTATATAACCTTTTCAGCCAGAGCCTCCAACAGCTGCTACTACTGCTGCTGCTGTTTCTGCTGCTACAGGTACTGCTGCTGCTGCTGCTGCTTGCTGCTGGTGACAGTCTTTTTCAGTGCAGTTCAAGGGGGGCCTTACCGTGGTATCCTCCTACGGGGAGCCGTACGACTGATCCCCAAAGCCATCGCACGAAAGTTTTTTCCCGTTATTATTCCGCTTTGGATATCCCTCAATTGTGTTTCCTTGTAGATTCACTGTTTCGTCAGCGCGGTGTTTTTTGTCGCACAGGTGTTCCTCTGCTGGTCCGAGCCGCGGTGAGTGGACTGGTTCGGTCCGCCACCCAGGCGGCAGTGAGTCGACTACACCAGGATCTAAAGAAGATGGTGGAGAAGGTACGGAGATAGCCCTCGTATACCTTGGTACCAATAACCTGGTTTGCCAACTTTGCATATCAGCCCTCGGCGAGCTGTGCGAAGCCGCACTCGGTATTCCAATACCAGGTGATTGGTACCAAGGTATACGAGGTGGACAGATATTTCCTTCATCTATGCTACAATATAGAGAGTAGTGATTAGGATAATCCTTATATGCTTTTATGAATTGTTGAGGAAAAGTTTTGCGCCACCGGGGAGTCGAACCCCGCTCTTTTGCTTGGAAGGCAAATATCCTACCGATGGACTAGTGGCGCTCTTGATTTCAAGATAATTCACAGACTAATAAGGAAGAGTCTGCAACTAACATTATTTTGTTACCGTGTCTCTGTCTCTGAATGACGTCGCTGTCATGAAACGTGGATTGGATTGCCGTTAAAAATTCGGACAACACTAATTTAGCGAGTCGGTGAATAGATAGCCTGATTCAGGACCATTGCTTACATCAAATGTATCTGAGCACATTCTTGTCGGAGCCCCTTACGAACCGGCTGCTCGCACAATTGTTCCTCTGCGCAACCCTAAATTCCACCATTTGAGAAGTAATACGTAATAAGTAACAAGCCATAAGTAAAGATGTGTTCAAGGGTCGGCTGGTGACGACCGCTTATGGAGTGCTAGCCCACAAACATATATTCCTCCGGATCTATCGGCACCATAACCAGCAGCCAGCAAAGCAAAAGGGCATTTCCTCGAAGCACCGCGTTGAATTTCACTCCGCAAGCAGCACAGCTCATCCGCCGCTCCTCCTCACCGACCAGGTCCTCCAAGGCGCCACAGTGGACGAGGCCGTAGCTGCTGTACGAGGCGAGCACAGCGCTCACCACCGCGCGCATAAGCAGTTACACCAGCAGCACCACCGCCACCAAAACCGGCATCAGGAGAAGGGACGGCCAGAGGTGAAGCACCACGACCGTCCACTGCCGCCGCAGGACACAGCCGTAGCCGCCAGCGGCAGCAGTGTCGGTGATAGCAGCAGCGGCGGCGGGGGGCCTTCAATGCAACGAACTCCAGCGGTGGCAGCGGAGCCCTGGGTACCCGAGCCTGTTTGACCACCAGTGCCGGCGGCAGTGAACAGCGAGGCATTTCCGGTGTTGCGAGGTGCAGACTAGCGCGACACTGCCGCTGCCAGGGATGGTCCGAACCCGCAGACGGGCGGGTTAGTACATCGCTGGGTACCTTAGACAATCAGTCAGGCAATCGTGCAGTTAGGCGGCAGGCGGTAGCGGTAGTACGGAGCAGCGGACCGAGGAGCAGCGAGGTGCAGCGGCCGAACATTGATACGGGGATACATCAGACCTGCGCGAGAGGAGGGTGTAGCAGTAGTGGTAGTAAACGGTAGTAGTAATAATAGTAGTAGTAGTAGTGGCAATGGTGGTGGTGGTGCGGCTCCCTCCAGGGCAGAGGGGCGCTTCGCTTTTTGAGGAGCAGCGGTAACGGAGAAGAATGCATGAAGAATTTTACACGCACGCATGCGCGCACTTCAGCAGCGGTGGTGATGATGGTGGTGGTGATGGTGGTGGTCATGGTGGAGGCAAGGTGTCTACTTTCGCACCTGTTGGGTTTGCTGGTAATGGGGACTGGGAATGCTGCACGAAGGCGGAAGGCGATGTTTGGGGGCCCGGATGTGTTGCGTGTTGGGGGAACGTGGTTCGCTGGGGGCCCATGGGGGACCGGGGGGGGCCTGAGGTGCTTTTCAGTGCAGTGCTGCGGTTGCAGTTGTCGTTGCAGCTAGGTCGATTAGGAGTCGGTGGAGTTGGTTGGGGTTGTTTCCTTTTTACTGTTAAGACCGTACGTCACCTGACAGGTGGTTAACCCGCTTGGTAAACCAACGGGGCCGCCGTACACTCATGTCCGCACGCTTTTGTCTAATGCGAGTTAATCCCTCTCACGGTGAAGAGAGCACGCCGATGGACTGACTTCCTGCTGCTGTGTCCACAGGAACCCCCCACAGCGTCCGGTGCTGTCTTACCTCACGGCCAAGGACTCCGTTGCAACAGCGGCAGCGGCAGTAGCAGCAACAGAGAATTTCGTAGACGCACAGTAGAAATACGAACGCGCAGCAGTGACACCCAAGCCATACTGCAGGAGCTCCCTGACTGCTTTTGCCGTCCATCCCCTCTTCTCGCCCACGCGATATTGCCGCCGCCACACAGCAAAGCGCAGCACAGTACGATTGGGCTATCCGAAGTCGCGCGTTAGCTTAAAAGACATCCTTATCATCCATCTATCCTGCATAAAACATTCGTTCTCTAGCAAATGTAATACCTACTGCTCTATGATGATGTGCAAGGAGCAATACGCGATGTCCTGGCTCATCGCTTCGCACGCGGCCAAGAAAGGGTTGAAGCCTCCGCAAGCCAGGTGCTGCGGCGCGCGCGTGCCAAGCACACAAGATGCATAAATGTGTGTGCTCCAAAAAGCTCTTTCAAGCTATCCCGAAGGAGACGTCCTGGTGGCTCAGAAAATGTCTTAACAGTAACGAATTCCAAGGAGAATAGCAGCGAGCACCTGTCTCGCACTCACTTCCTGCTCCAAAACGACGAGGCCAAAGTGCTGCTGTTGCCCGCCTCTACCGTCCGCTTGTCTGCCCCCGCCTGCGCCGCCCTTCTGGCGACGCCGATCTGTCGTATACATGCCTACCTACCTGCGCACGTACCACCTGTTTTCTACACTCAGGTCAAAGGACAGCTACCCTTCCGCACTCCCCCACCCCCACCCGTTCCACTGAGATCATTATATCACCGTGCGTTCATGGGCCCCGCATGCAGCTCCTCATCTCCACAACAGCCCTGACCCGGGATGAGGTCTGACCCCTCTTCACCACTAACACCTCAGACCCGGCTCGTCCAGGAGGCGGGCCAACCGACACCCAACATCGGCCCCGCCCCAGGGGCCCTGCCCTTCCAACCTCGCCACCACACCCAGACCCCTTAGCCCCTTAACCATTCGCCTCCCTGTCCTCACACAGCGCACATACATACATACATACATACATACATACATACATACATACACAGACAAGCAATCGGGCCCACATCCTTCCCATCAGATCGCATCGCGACGGCTACACCCCCAGTCCCGTTGTAAGCCTCGTTGCTTGGTGATCGCGGAGGATAGGATTCGTGTTCAGCAGCATGAGCCCTTGTTCTGCTGTTCTTTTGGCAGTGACATCATTGTAGCGGTGATACAGAGATAGCATGTAGTGGTTGCGGTTGTGGTTGTGGTGATGATGGTGGCAATGGTGTGGAAGCCTCCCAAGCTAGGGGGCTGTTTAGGGCTGATGTCCCTCAGACATCGAGATGGCGCGTGTGGCGCGGAGGTGCTCACAGCCGCAGCGGCGGTTTCTGTTGCAGGGGGGCGTAAGCAGAAAACACCGTGCGGTCCGCGTCCCCCGTGCTGCGTGCGCCAACACCGATACCCACGCCGTGCATGATCCCCCCTCCTCCTCCGCCTCCTCCTCCTCCTCCTCCCCCAATCCCTTCACGACCCGTCCCGTAGTCCCCAATCTTGTACCGGTTGCCCCAGGTGAACACCGTGGTGGCGGTCACGGAGGCCCGCTCCTTACTGAAGTAGTCCTGCGGGGGCGGCGGGGACAGGGGCAGTAGAAAAAGGGGGGGTGTCGCACAGTGAGGGGCGTGAGAATGTGGGAGAGTGCGAAGGTAAATAGGCAGGATGGCTGGGTGTGAGAGAAGGGTTTTGAGGTGAGGAGAGTTGACACATGATGCCACTTCAGCACATCGCGCCCCAACCCAACGCCCATTGATTACTTTGGATTTGTTGATTTATGCACTCCTTCCTTTATTCATTCGGCTCTTACGACGCTTCCCCGCCACGGACGGCTTCCCATCGCTTTCCACCCTTCCAGAGGCTTCAACCCCTTCCTCTCTTTTTGGCCGCTTGCATTCGCGTCATCACCGGGAGTCTTAAAGAGCCCTTCACTCGGCCTCTGAGCCCCTGGCCCCTGCTTTGCTACCTTCAGAAGGCCATCTTCCGGGTATAGGGGCTTCCGCTTGAAGTGGGTGGTAGACCCGGAAGTGGGTAAAGCTCTCCCTGCCGAGAAATTGCGTGTGCTGTGATGGTGGTGAACGGCATCGCTTCCGGTTTCGTGACCTGATGAAGAGGCTGCGGCCGAGACCCCGGGGGCGCTCCGGCCGTCTGAACCCACAGGGGCGCCGTAAGAGGGACCTGAATGGGATCGCTCTGCGGAGTTGCGTCGGATGGCGCTGCTGCTGGAGCTGGGTCGGCGATTCGCGCTCCTGGGACGGGAATCTGGCGAAGAAGAGCTGCTGGAGGCAGCACCGTGTGATCCGCTGCCCTTCCCGCCTTTGCGAATATTGGGAGTTGGGTGGTAGTACTGTGGGAAAAGGATAGGCACGGGAAAAGGAGCGCTGGGAGATTAGTCCGACTTGGGGATGTCACGCCGCGGCAGGCGCAAGCTAGGGACCGCGCACCTTGGGTTTGGTCAATTTGTCCAGCAAGTGATGCTCTGCCTTTGTTGAGATAACGCGCTCGTATAAGACTGCAGAAATGCAATATTTGTAAAAGGACAAGCTGGATGTCCACGGCCATGCCGCGTTAGGCCAACTTACTGAGACCGTTATCCGGGGAGATAAGCATGGGAGCTGGAGGTACATTGTGTTTAAAGATCGCTTCTGTTCTCCGTCCTGCAATTTATCGCCGTCGCCATTTCGTTCAGACATGTCTGTCGCCCGGTGTTTCCATCGACCTTGCAATGCCATACCGTAAGCGCTGGTGTAATGAGGTGGGTCTAATTCAAAAAGCTGTGCAGCAGGGGCAAGCGTCAAGTTCTCGAGCAATGGCTCCATTACAATACAAAAGTAACCAGTGTAGCTGAGCGACGATGAATTGATACTAGGCAAATCTTATAGCAACGTATCTGTAATGTAGTAAAGCAGATTGCTGATAGCCTGCATGATGTACGAACGGTTACAACGACGACTCTACAGAGCTGGATCCCTTGTCGGTTGCAAAGGGGCAATTTATCCATTTTGTCATACGGAGTGCAGGTGTGGGGTCCGACCAAGGTTCTAGATGTGCTGGAAAGAGGATATCCTCGTAACCAGGAACCGCGCTCGTGTTACTTCGATAACTCGCTACAGGACAGGATGGTCGAATTGCAGAAGGCCTTCCTAAAGCAACTGGGTGGTGCGGGGCTTCCCACGAATCGACTGTTGTTTAGGGAGTTTGGACAATATCCCTTGCAAGTTCACTGGGCGAATCTGATATTCCGTTTTTGGAATAAGCTGGTTAAGGCGAAGGGCACCGTGTACCATCATTGCTTCAGAGAGGAGATACGTTTGGCTTTAATTTCATCCATGGCGTACGATGGTTGGGGTTCGAAGGTTCTGAAGATACTCGAGATTCTTGGTCATGACATGGCGGGAGATGAGGATGTTGAGGCTAGAGTTGATGCGCTCACGTCATGTTCGTTGGATATAGGCCAGTTGATGCAGGAGTTACGCGGGCGATTTGATGACGATTGGGAGAGTGAGCGACTAGAAATGGATCCTAGGACATTTGTTTCCGACAACAAACAACCAGGGGTGAAAATGTGCCGGTACAAGCAGTGGATGGGGTTGCCTAAGCACTGCACTGGATATATTTCGCCGAAGCAACATGTCACGCTGATGCGTTTTAGGATGTGTGTGTGGCCGCTTGCAGTGAATCGTCCTCATGGCAGGGAAAGAGCAGCGCGGTGGTGTCGTGTATGTGGGAACCGTCAAGCAGTTGAGGACGAGCGTCATGTTTTGCTTGAGTGCCCTGCGTACGCGGATATTCGCACCAAGCTATTTGAGCTTGGAGTGTCTCCTGAGAATCGCATGATAGACGTTATGGGCGTTGAGAACCAACGCGGACTAGCACATGTTTTGGATCATATCAGAAGATGCAGGTTACAATTTATTGATGATTAAATATGTTTTTGCAGTAAGGTTAATTTACTACCTTTATATGTTCTTGTTTCCAGTTCGGCGGTTCATGAGCCTCTTGGCTCGTTTGGACCGTACAAGCTCGAAAGCTTGTAACACAAACGTCTAACGTCTAAAAGGGGCAATGACCACTTTCCAGAGCAGTTTGCTCTCTTGGGCACATCAATTTCACTGTAATCTATACTTTTATATATTGGTGCTAAGCCTAAATCAAGGAAAGCGCCGTACACGTGACCATCGGATATGGAACATGAGTTCAAATGATCCATCAAGCACACTAAGACCTTGCAGGGTACAAAGGAGGCTTCTTAAAAGTAAAATGCACCAATGAGGCTGGAGCACACCTAGATATCGTCTGCTCTAAAGGAGTGCTCCGCCGGTGAGCCCCAAAGTCACGCAAGAATGGCCATTTTATCACGGTAATGATATCCGGGAAAGATCGGGGTCGTTTGGGGTTTCCTCTTAGTCCAAATTTGACCGCCAGCGGCATCGCTGCCATCCTCCGCACGATAAGCGTCAATGATGCAGAGCCCGACCATTAACAATCGTCCAGGATGAAACTAAGGAGCTCTTGGGCCAATCCGGTTAAAGGAAATAACAACCGCGTTTTAATGCGCAGCTACCTCTAATTGAAACACGCGATTGTAGCGGCGCGAAATGGCGTATTACCAAGCATGAGGGGATGTTTGGGCTTCTATTTATTGGGCTTCTATGTCATACACAAGGTGCTTTCTTCCTCAATGCTCATTTCAATACCTCTGCCAGTTAGTGAGGTCGGGGGTTGCGGCGGCGGTTCAAGTGGGGTTCGAGGTGGTGGTGGGGCGGAAGGTGCGATGATGTGGAGAAGTGATGGTGTAGGTGAGGGGCGGGGGGGCCGGGTTGGTCCAGTGGTGCGAAGGGTTTCGCGCGGCGTCCGGCGTAGTCTGCGGCGTCTCCGGACTGCGAACGGGAGGGCTCGCGCTGGCTGAGGTCGGTGGACGCGGAAAGGGACGAGGGCCATGGTAACGAAGACGAAGACGATGCCGAAGAAGAGGATGAGGTAACGACGACGTAACGAGGACTATGGCGGAGAAGAAGACGAACAGCGAGAAACGTGTAGGCAGGATCGCCTACTCGATACCAACTGAAACGGAACTCCGAACCAAGGGATGCCTAATAATTAAACTCTGAGTGGAGCGACTTGAGCCGATTAGTACACAACAGAAGCGCAATGAAGTCGACATAACAAACCAAACACCATTATCGTCTCATATACCCCGCCGGCGGACCGGGCGCCGTACACGCTCGTCCAGCTGGGCGACCTAAAGGGGACGCGCGCGCGGACGCGACCTGTTCGACCTGGCAACTCGCAGATTTTGGTCGGCTCGCGCGACATTTCATCAGAGGACCTTTGTATGGAACTTTTTCGGGTCGCTCGAGCGTCGCAGGAGCAGTGGCGACGCACTTTGTGGAGTGATGCACGTCCATGGAGTCCAGGAATTAACTTTGCGCGAGCAGCCACTCTGTATGGCCAAGTAGCAATCCATTTTCCATTCTTCGTAAAGAATCGGGAGAGTAACGCTACAGGAGCGTCCATATAATAATAGGACAAGGGGCTCCGCTCGTCAAAGTAGACTTTGACGTGGCGGCGTTAGTAGAACCAAAACTAACTCCAGAAAAGCTTTACGAAATTCATCAAGAATACGGTGAACCCAAAGATAAGAACAAGCGGAACCTTGCGGAACCGAACGCAATCGATCAACGCAGCGATCACTCATGAAAACACCAAGAGATGCAATGGAGGCTCACTCTAGGAACCAGGATTCCAAGGACAAAGAGGTTCGGCAGGTCAACTCGTCGGGTCAAGTCAAGTCGCATGTCGCACGAAGAGCATTTTAAATTTTGCACTATAGATCCGAAATGGCGCTCAATTATCGTACATTGAGGCGCGCTCATCGTGGCGTAGCGCGCATACTGATTAACAACTAACTTGCAACGCAAGTAAGCCCTTCACAACACATTCCGTAATAATTTGTACCCAGTGCCTTTGACCTTGGCTCGTCTTCTCCTTTTCAACTTTGGATATCAGTGTGAATCAACGTATTGCATGCCCACTATCTGAGGGCAGCTTTGAATTATGGCATCAAGGCTGGCCGTGGCACAGGCCATTCGCGCAGAGACCACCGGAGACGAGCTAATTGACTTGCTTGTTTTCGCGGTGCGCATGCCCGAGACCCAGCTGGCTGTTCTTCAGGAAGCTGATACCAACAAGTTCATCGTGGACTTTGTGCGCCAGCTAAAGGCTGCAGGTGCGTTGCCCAGGGTTGGACAGGACCTTCCTGAAATGGTCGGGTTGCCGGTTTTCCCCTTCCCATGCCCGTCGGCCCCACCCGATAGCGTTTTTGCATATCTTTCAATGTCTGTCGGGTGCCCCGATAGCCCATCCCAAAACCTGTCGGGTGACGCAAGAACGAAATTTCGCTGTGTGCCGCTTGAAATTACATATATTCGTATTTTATATGCGCGGTTTCCAGTTCTCAGTTTGCAGTTCACAGTTCTGATATGCACGATCTGGCTGGGGCTGGTGCTGGGGCCGGCCTGCCCAGATGAGCGCTTGAAAATAGCTGTAATAATGAAAAAACCACCCATTAGTTTTATTTCTTTAAGAAAGACGTAAATAACAAATAATGAGCCCCGAGCTATTGGTCACCGGTCAAATCCATGAAGGTGCCACCTGAACTGCGCGGATTCTTCTGAGCAGGACCGTCTTGCGCGTCAACACTGCGCTTCTTCATGCTGATTGACGGTCGAGCAGGTTCAGCTTGAGAAAGCTGTTTTGGTAAAGCCCACAGACTTACAGGACGAGGCAGCAAACGTTCGAAAGGGTAATGTAAAGCTGCATATGGTCTTTGTATTAATTGTCAATAAGGTCGAGATAAGGTAGTGTGCCCTTCGCTTATGTATCGAAGCATGGATCCCTGTACAGCAGAGTCAAAGGATAAAGAAGAAGAGGCAACGAAGTGAACGAATGCTACCACTACATTACATATTTCCATCCAGTTATATTTTTATGAATGCCATTATGTATCGCTGTAGCTGTCCGTCGCCGAAGGGCCCACCGACGACCCACGGCACCCGATCGGGCGGTCCTAGCGCCTAACCCTGTCGGGTCCCCCGACGGGAGCCTTCCGGGTCCCGTCGGGGGCTCCCGATGGCCGTTTGGCATTTTCCCCCTTTTTCGTCGGGTCCGCCCGAAAGCATTTTCAAAGCCTGTCGGGATTTTCAGCACAAGTGCCATTCCTGTCGGGACCCGATCGGACTGTCGCACCCTGGCGTTGCCCGAGGGGCCCTCGGCGAGGGCCCCAGGTTGTTTTCTTTTTTGGAGGTGGTAAGTCTAGCGCCGAGCGCGCCAGTCTGAACACAACACCTCCTGCTTATTAAAGAGACTAAGCGCTGTTATATTCATTATGACGTTTGACGGATTTTTGTTACAAGCTTCAAGCTTGTACGGTCCAGACGAGCCAAAAGGCTCATGAACCGCCGAACTGGAAACAAGAACTTATTCATTATGCTCGTCTGGGATCTGCCGATTCTGTTGGCGATAACGGCCGTGGTGCGTTCACCTCGCCCACACTTGTGCCTACAACCCTGAACCCTGCATGACGAGTGCCGCAATCTGCAGCCGCTCCCTATCAAGCCCCCGCATGAAAGCACTACCCACACCCAACCCAATCACATATTACACACATCCCTTTGAGCGAGGCTATCTGGGTAATGCTTGTCCTGGATATGTGAGGACGGAAATGTGTTACATAGGTACCCAAAATTTTGGTAATGCCCAAAACCCTCGGAATAGCCTATCCCTGTCAGCTTGACAGTTTTTTAAGCAGCCCCTCGCAAAAACGTGACACATGTACGAGCGAGCTGAATAAACTGTTTGTTTAAAGACGAAATGCAAAGGCCACAGCGGGCCGTGCAAAGGCCAGCCCCCCAAAGTCTGGAGTGTGGGCTTTAGTGTACGTGCGTAAAATTCGGGAGTGGAAGCGGCTTCAGCGGCTTGGCATGCAGAAATCCACATAACAAACAAGCAGCAGAAATGAAGTAGACAAAAACAAAAAGACGGTTAAGACATACACCAACATAAAAGAAAGCTCGTGGTGACACAGGAAGATAGTGGCAAAATTTCAATAAAGGAATCTTTCAATGAATAAATGAGACACTTCACTAGCTTGGCTTGCTGAGAGGGCCGGTGACTAGGTCGCAAAGGGCAGGCTTCAAAAGCATGGAGGTCGCAACATACACCGGGAATGGGCAACTTACACTGCATTGCCGGCAAAGAGCGGTGCTGACATCCATCTGACCGAGGGGAGCCCTGCAAGGTCACGCGGCTTCTTGTATGATTAAACCTGGGCACATGCAGCTTCGGTTGGCATAGCAGGCTGATGGCAGCAGTGTGCTATTATCAAGACATGCAACGGTTGCTGCATGTTGCTGGCATGTCAGGTGTGTTTTGCAGTGTTCTCATGCAACGTGTGTTGCATTTCTTTAAGGAAAGACTGGTCTCAACTTGCATTCACCACAGCCGCCTGCTTGTTTTGGTGCCTAAAGACACACCTACTAGGCTACTAGGATGTAGTACATTCCCACTGCTCACTGCACAACCGTGCCCTAAAGTGCACTGCAGCTCCACATACTTTGTGTTGGGGACAGTGCCGGGGCACAATACATTTTTGGGCGGGGCCCCAGCGTGAAGCGCCCAGGGGGCCCCCGACCTGGGCCCCCGATTGCCCATGTCCGTGTGTGTGTGTGTTCGTGTGTGTGTAACGGACCAAACATAATATCTCGCCCGGCTGAAACGCGTTATAGGTACTATACAGCATCCTCTATTGCAAGGTATCTCGCATGTAGCCAACAAAAATCGTATGAGCACAAACAAGTTTGGCTGCCTCCATTCACCGACCTCAAAAGTCACATCAACGCCTCTCACACTAAATTTCATCCCGAAAGCTGCCGTGTATCTCATAATGGAATTCTGAGATGACGGCGTATGATAACTCGAACACCCAGCTTGTGTACCATTTGCCGGCATGGGCAATCCGACTTGCCACCAGCAGGCCAACATAATTTGCTTTCATTTCTCTATGAAATACACAAGCTGCTTGTTTGTACATTTACTTTGGCCAATGCACGGGGCCTCCAAAGAGTTGCGGGGGCACACCACATGTGACCCGATGAAGCCCGCGGCCGTGGGGCGGATTGCTGAGGCCGCTGGCGCTTCGGGGATAAACATCACAGACAGCACCGAAATTCACCCAGCTATCGTTACCATTTGCCTGCACGGGCATTCCGACTTGTGGTCTGCCGCACTGTCCATGCAGCATGCACCCGGGATGGATGCGATTCGTGTGAAGCCCGCAGGCGGTGCTGACGATTCCGCCGGTGCAAGCTTAGCTCTCACACCATCAGCACTGCTGCAACAAAGCACATCTCCCACCGCGTTGACACTACCCATCAATTGTCACACGTGCCACGCTAGCTACTGGCCTGTACGGATGCAGGGGGGGCCCGCCCTTTTTCCGGCTTCGAGGAAGCTGAAACCTGACTTGTCCCTTCTCCAATGAACATGTAAACAGATGCATTGTGCATCTGGCCAAGTGCAGTTTACACAGCCATGTTGGTAGCAACTGTGCTTATCAGCCTGGCCCTGGTAGTCTAAGAATCATACACAATTTGCTTGTTTATTGTGTTTCCAATGCTGCATTCACAGGCTCTGCTGAGTCCACTCTCCTAGACGCATTTCACAAGCTTGGAGCTTTGTTTGAGGAGGTCGTGGAGGACAACAAAAAAACGGTGAAACTGCTTGTGAAGCAGAACAAAAAGATGATGGAGGAGATCTTCGCCTTGGAGTTCAGGGGTGCAAGCTCATCACAACCCAAAACAACTGTGAGTGCACAGCTGCTAGTCTTTAGTAATTGTATGAAAGGATGGTGAGGGTTTCACAAATCCAAACACAGCTCTGTCATTGTATGTAGGTGTACTGTGAGCCATGCATGGCTGCATACAATGGGGCAGACTACACACAGAAGCAGCATCTTAAATGTCTGCTGACTGGCAGGGAGTTCCCAGTCGAAAAGGTGATGGCAGGACATATTTTCCGTCTTGAGTGGAGGAATCGGCAGTTGCTGGTGGGTGGACCTTAGCGGGGTCTCATGGGTATAAACATCCATGTGGGTATGAAGTCATGTATATATGCTGATGTATATCCATGTTGTATCTGGCTGTGCAGGTGAAAGCAGGGTTGGACATCAATGGCCCAGAGAATGTGATTCCAGTCTATGACACAGTGGGGAAGATGCTGGACCAGCAGCGCATCACTATTGAGCCCACTGCACCAGGACCCCCCATCTTCACGGTGAGTCTTTAATATGGCTGGCATAGCAGGAGAGCCATCACCAATCATCACAGTCATCACCTGTAGTAGCTGGCTGCTGAAAAAGTGTTTAAGATGCTGGAGAAGCACTTCATGTGTACTTCTAGTTGTTCAAGGTTCTGTGCTGTGTACCAGCTACTTTGTCATCCATATCCACTTCATTATGTTTTCATGATGCCCTTTGCTATACAGGTGCGTGTGCTGGACAAGTCACTGCTCCAGCCAGGCCAGTGGATTGTACACACTGATGATGTGTGCATGCTGTGGTCAGAACTAGATGGCCGGGTCCTTGACTTCGGGGGCATGGACTTTGGTGACAAAGGCCCTCCACTATCAGCATTGCTGTGTGCAATCCATATGCGTGCAGCATTGCTCACGGCTGAGAACTATGAATGGATTGAGAAGGTGGGTATGATGAACACTTGTCATGCATGTACTTGCAGTTTGGGGCACTAAGACAAAAGCTGCACAATATGCTCTGCAGGGTAGCCTCAAGGTACCCAGCTGGGCGCAGCAGCTGGCCAACTTTCCTACAGCAGGCTTTATAGAAAGCTTCCTGCGGTCTGCTGCCCAGTCCGCCCTGGCTCCCCCAGCTACCACACCACCTGATGATGAGCCTGTTTTGAGCAGCAGCAGTGTTTAGCACTTTGGCTGGACACAAGCATGGATATTGTCCTCTTTGCCACCCAAGCTCTCCAATGCTGGCTCCAGACCCAGGAGTTGGGAATTAAGCTGCAACTGTCCGACCCAAATCCTGTCACTGCCTGCCCGTATACAGATGACAGATTAGGCATGTCTTCTCTGCAGGACTGAGTTGCTTGGCAAGGGACTAGGGTGAGAACGGTGCAGTATGATGCAGGTTGAGTAGGTTCTGGAGGACCAGCCGTTCTGGGTTTGTGACAGTAAATGGAAGGCACTGCACAGGCTACTGTCCTCCCCCTGCGGTTTTGTAGAAGCCCTAGGAGCTGTGTGTTGTGGCAGTGTTATCCGCCAGCCTATCCTGGGCACCTGCAGTGTTGATGGGGCTTGTGTGTGGTCCTTTTTCTTTGGGTGGCTACTTCTCCCCTGGACCAGCCCAGGAAGGGACAGGTAGAGAAGGTCAGTTGTTGTGAGGTGGCTGCAAGACATCTTGTGGTTTCAAGCTCTCTAAGCCTTTCTTTCTTGGAGGTGTTTTTTTATTGGCTTGTTAGGTGTATCAGTAGCCCTCTCCTGTCTGGGCTCCCCCAGCCATCTTTTGTTTTTTGGGGCGGGGCCCCAGCAGGGTTCGACACCCTGTATGGGGCCCGTAAGTTTTTGGCCTTTTTTCGGTATCCCCGTCAGGGCCCTAGGACTTTGAAGGATTTATAAGAGGCCGTACAGGGCCCTGTAGGGGAGAGGACGGACCATATAAAGGATAAGGCCACACACTTGGCAGACATAATTCCATATTGCAATATTTAACTACACTTTTCATAATACTTTTATAGCTTCTGGTCTTAACATCCGGCGATAGCAGACAATGAGTCGTCAGGAGGTAAAGCAAAATAAATTTGAATCCATACGGAGAGGATGATAACGAGGAGGTTGCAACTGACCCAGAGATTGAAGTACTGGTACAAGCAACATACCCCGCTAGTAACGATGAGGCTTTTAGTGACAGTGACTACGAGACCGATGTAGAACGAGATACCGATGAGTCGTGCATGGATGAGGATTTTGATGAGGAGGACGAGAAAGAGGAGCAGAAAGGATGGGCGGCCAAGGCGCTTTGCTTTCGCTGAGTGTGCCGTGTCCTCGAGTGTAATGGTTCACAAGAAAATAACGAAAATAACGATTTACAGGGCAAAAAAATGCAAAGCGTCACTTTCCACAGCGTTTCAGCCAAGGACAGTGCCCCCCTAAAGGTTTTGCGGGGGTTACGGGGGCCCCCGTAAGGTTTTCGGCCGGTACAGGAGCCTGGTACGGGGGCCCCTCCGTAAGGAAAATTTGGGAGGTACGGGGGAGCCCGAGAGCTTCAGGAAGGTCAGTGTCGAACCCTGGGCCCCAGCGTGAAGCGCCCAGGGGGGCCCCAACCTATCGGATTGCTCATGTCCGTGTGGCCGTGGGTAACGGACCGAACATAATATCTCGCCCGGTTGAAAGGCGTTATTGGTAATATATTGCATTCTATATTGCAAGGTATCTCGCCTGTAGCCAACAAAAATCGTATGAGCACAAACAAGTTTGGCTGCCTCCATTGACCGAGGTGAAAGTCACATGAATGCCTCCTGGCTAAATTTCATCTCAAAAGGTGCATAATTGAATTCTGAGATGACAGCATATGATAACTCGAACATGCAGCTTGTGTTATCATTTGCCTGCACGGGCATTCCGACTTGCGGTCTGCTGCACTGTCCATGCGGCATGCACCAGGGATGTGATTCGCATGGAGCCTGCAGCAGGCGGTGCTGACAATTCGGCTGGTGCAAGCTTAGCTCCCACACCATCAGCACTGCTGCAACAAGCACATCTCCCACCACATTGACACTACCCATCAATTGTCACACATGCCACACTAGCTAGCTACTGGCATGTATGGATGCAGGGAGGCCCCGCCCTTTCTCCAGCTTCAAGGAAGCCGACACCTGACTTGTCGGTTTTTTCTTCCCTTAGGTTCCGTTTGTCATTGGTTGTGTTATGGGGGATTGTTTCAGAGAACTTTTGCCCCAGCTGAAACTTGTGGACTTGCTCTAGTGGGACCTGACAGCCCGTTGTGTTTTCACTGCAGCACCATCCCCGGATGGAGGTGCTGTGTAGTGACTGCGTCATTTGTTGGCAGTCTGAGTTGGGGCTGGGAGCACACAAGACTAACTGACTTGTGCTGTGTGCTCCTGACCCTTGTGCAGTGTTTTGGCTTTGGCCCCTGGCTCTTGTGGCCCACAGTGTAATCTAAGTCATACATACACACATACATACATAACCTGGCAGCTGGCAGAGGTTAAGGCCTGACTTCTGCTCCCGAAGTGTCTGGGTTCTAATCCGCCTGCCGACTTCTCGGGTGTTTGAGAAGTGTTGAATTGGGAGGTGGCCCCCCATCTTATGGACGGTGTAGGACGTGATAATATCAACTTGCACGCTGACCAGGAACTAAGTTGAGGCGTCGTTGATCCGCTAGATTTGGTTGGATGCTGGTGGTGAGTTGCTGAACCCAACGAATACATTCTGAAGTCGGATGGGGTGAATGGATTAGGGTGCCCCTCTAGCAGGGGAGAGCAGGGAACTGCCTCGGGAAAGGGGGCCGCTGGTGAAGCTTAACCACCCTGTAACGACATACATACATAACCGCAGCCGACAAATGATCCAGCTCTCTGCTCTAGAGTGAACAGTCGACAACTTGTTGCTTGAAAGTTGTCGACGTTGCAAGCAACAAGTTGTCTGTCACGGCCACTATGCGCCAACGAGAACTGCCAAACGCTGATCCATCCTTCCTCCAACTCCCAGAGTATTCTATTCCTTCTTGCAGCATCCTGTCACCTTGTGGAATGCCGTATGAATGGCACATGGACATACCATGGCGAAGGGCCCCAGCTGCGACAATGCACCACCGATCCTGACCTCAAGCCCATTACACTGCCCAAATACACACACGCATTAACACCCGCCCATCATCCTGGGCCGCACGTTTCCTGTGCAACGTTCTTCAAGCCCTGCTGCGCCTCTTCTTTAAACCTCCTGTAAAACTCTTCACCATTGAGATTCCAACCCAGAGCACTTAGACTCAAGCCCAGTCGCATTCACAGAAGCAAGGACCCGTGCGAACCCAAAGGAAATGCTCACCGCATGTGCATCCATCCAGCCTGCAGCAAATGTGTATGTGCCTGAGGTGGCGACGTGTTGCCGCAGCAGCGAGGCTAGAAACCCGCAGAGAGCCGGGAGGCCACCACGCCCTCCCTGAAAACCGTGGCCATCAGCAAGAGAGTTCGTGAGCAAGGGACTGACACGCCCCGATCAGTCTCACAGCTCCACCTCGCGCATCTCACCGTCGAATGCCGAAACCCCGCCGCCTGCTGGATATCCATCCGGTGCACCCACCGCAGACCCCATGCCGTAAATTCCTCCATACACATTCGAGTACGTGCTGTCGTACGAGCTGTGCGCGGCGAACGGATCGTACGGCTTGGGTTCGCCACCACCTACGCCGCTGCTCATGGACGTGTAGTTGTACACCGCTGCAACAGCACCACCCGCTTGCCCCAACAACATGCTGGGATACCCCGGCACCTGCAGACCCGCCTGACCCGAACCGCTGCCGTACAACCCAACGCTGCCGTACCCAAGAAGATCGTCCACAACAGCGGCCGCCGCCTGCCCCGTTCCTGCCGACTGTTGGACCTGGGACACGCCGCCCGCTGAGGCGCCCCGCAAGCCGCGAGAAACCGGATGTTTCGTCTGCTCCGTATTTACCTGCTGCGGCTGCTGTTGTGGCTGCTGTGACGGTTGCTGCTGCATCGTGCTTGGGCTTGGCGCCCTGAACGCCTGCATATTCGTTTGCTGATTACCCGGTTGCGGAGAACCCGTGCTGTATGACCCAAAGGTTGCTTGATTTGAAGCTGGATAAACGGGGTGCTGCGGAGGCGGCGGGGCCTGTGCAGGCGGCATTAGTTGCTGATGTTGCTGCTGGGGGATGGCAGCCTGCTGGTTGTGACTTTGCCGGCTGTCGGCCTGCGATTGGTAGTAGGACATCGGGGCATACGGCTGCTGCTGCTGCTGCTGCTGCTGTTGGTGATGCGGGGAGGGCTGCTGCTGAGTCGCTGCCGAGGATGCCAGAGGCGGCATCTGCTGCTGCTGTTGCTGTGGTGGTGGCAGTAGCGACGGCGGCGGCGTTCCTGAGATGCTGTCCTCTGGCTGCTGTGGAGTGCTGGCTGCTGGTTGCTGCACATCATGCAGCGGCCTAGCGCCTAGGCCTAGCGGCTGCTGCCCCTGTGGCTGTGCCGCTGGGGCCACCCGCTGGGAGCAGTGGGCCTGTGGCTGTTGCATCTGCTGCGGTTGCGAATGAAGCCATGGCTGCTGATCGGGTCCCCAGGCAGTGTAGCTCTGCAGCGGCACAGGTGAATGCGACTGAGGGGCCTGGTCCGACTGTCCTGTGCTGACGCCGTACGACACGCTATGCGACACACGGAAGGAAGCGTTGTCGCTGCCGCCATCTTGGCCCTGAACCGCGCGGAATTGGGTCGCCATGACGACGCCTGTGCTTGCCGCTGATGCACCCGGGGGCGCACCCCCGCTGATGCCGAAGCTGTAGCTGCCATCGACGGCAGGGACGCCTAAGGAAGAGAGGTGGGACGCCGGTGGCGGCTGCTGCAGCTGCTGCTGCTGCTGTTGCTGACTAGAGGCGATGAGCTGCATCTGCTGCCCAGGGTACGACGACTGAGGCGGAGCTCGTGCCCATGCTGCCGTGATGGCTGCCTGATCCTGGCCTTGATCCGCGAGCGGCTGTTGCTGGTGTTCTTGTTGTTGCTGCTCCTGTTGGTGTTGATGATCCGTTGGCGCTTTCGCCAGAGGCAGTGGGTGGAACTGCTGCTGCTGCAACGCCTGCTGGGGCTGCTGCTGCTGCGGCTGCTCGGGCGCTGTTCCATACAGGCTGCCAGTGCTGCCGCCTACAGCTGCATACACATCCGCTTCCCCGGGCTGCAGCGGCTGTGGCGGCGGCGGGATGAAGAACGAAGACGGTGGCGACGCGGTGGCTGGCGACTGCGGCACGGAGCCAGAGGCGGCTCCCGCAAACGAGCCACCGACGCCACCAGCGCTTCCCCCTCCACCGGGTCCGGCTCCAAAGGTATTGACGTACCTGGCGTGGATTCCCTTGCCCCGCTGCGAAGATGGCCAGGGGGTTGGAAACCACATACAGGCGGGGTCATAAGTTATCACCAGAAACCCCGAAAAGAAGCACTGTAGAGACCCACACGGCGACAGTCCCGCAGAGGAGCCTGGAAGCGGCCGGTGGGGCCGGGTGGGTGGATGGTTGCACGGAAACTCCCCAGCCGGGTCAGACACGACCGCCACATCAGCAGGGCTCCCCCAGCCACCCCTTTCCTTCGGCCCCCCCACCTTCGGCCATGCGCGCCCCCCCAATCCGCCACGAGTTGGACCGAACATGCCCTGGCTGTACCCGCACATGCGCCAGTCTCATTATCCCGAGGCCCCTGGTACCAACACGCACACACATACATCTGCGCTGCAGCTTTAGCCAGCACACGCGATGATGGCTCCCGGGCCCCGTCCTCCCCCGGAACCCCCGGAGACCCGACCCCAGCCCACCTGGAAATACTGCGACGTCATCGGAGGCGTGGCGGTAGAGGCAAGCGAGCTGGAGGCACTTGGCGGCCCACCCGCACTCCCCGGCCCCGCAGAGGACCCCAGGTCACCGGGGGGACCTCCCTTGGCGCTGCTTGGCGGAGTGGTGAGCGGGGACTGACTCGAGCTTTGCATACCACCTACGACACACGGACATTAGTCGGTCAGCCGGTCAGTCGGTCAGACCGGAGGGGGGAACCAAATGAGAGGAGCTCTTAGAAATAACTGCTGGCGGAGAGGGCCGGTAGCGAAGGGGGTGGAACCCGCCAATCCGTGACGATGCCAAAAAGGGGATAAGACGAACTGGCGAATGGAGCAGATACTAAAGACGGGTATTCCAGGAGGGAAAGGGACGTATGCCACGAGTTGGATGACCCAAGCGGCATCAGCAGGAAACCTTCGCGAGGTGTATCCCCCATACATACACGTACCTCACGGACGCAGGGCTCTTTCCTTCCATCGGGCTATTATAGTCTAAATCTGCGTCCCAGCCAAACAGGCCGCCGGCGGGCCCTCCGTCACGACCACCCACCGAGGTCCAATACCTCCGCGTGTCGCCACCTCATCCACCCACCCACCCACCCACAACGCCACCACGCCAAACGCAGCATAGAAAACTTAGAAAACTCAAGAGGCTGCTCACCCTGGGCACCGGGAAAGGCAGTGCTCTCCACCCCAGTCGCCACAGCAGCGGCGGCAGCAGCGGCCGCCCAGCCGCCCCCGAGCATCTTGGGCGGCTCTGGGGGCTTGTCTTCTTCCACCACCGCGTCCTCCTGTCCGCGCATCACCCAGCGCTTCCGTGTCTCGTCGTAGTAGAACTGGTTTTCCTCGCCCAGGCTGCCTTGCTTGGGACCGGTCCCCCCGCCGCCGCCGCCGCCGCCCTTGCGGCCACCGAGCAACTTGAGCGGGTTGATCAGCCACCTACTGCTGCGGGACAGGAAACACACAAGCACACCTATATGTGGGACATACGCTATGCTTTGCGGGTCCTCTTTCAGCTTCAGGCGGCTCAATCCCACGGACACCAGCACAGATACTGTAGCTCGTAGCAGTGTCGATGGGCCTTACTCTCCTTAGATTTGCTGAGGCCGGCACGCGTGAAGCGGCGCGCTCAGTTCGACCCAAGTACCGCAAGCCAGGCACGAGCATAAGCACAATAGACACGCGCGCACGGTCCATGATAACCGACAGACGGCGCGTGAGCCCGGTCGGCACAGCCAGGCCAAACACGCCAAATGTACCGACAGAAGTGGACCGACGGCCGGGTAGGAGCTGCGCAGGAGGACGCTAAGCATTCGTCCCAGTAGACGGCTACTCCTCCGTTAACGTGGACCAAGGGGGGCAGCTTGTCCAGTGCGGGGGAGTAAGGGTATTATTATATATAGTGCTTTGTAGTGTGTAATACGCAGCATAGCTCCTCCGAAGCGTACCTGCCGCTGCTGCTAACGGCCCTGGTGGGAGGGGAGCCTTGCTTGCCGCCACCGCCCTTGCCGCCACCTGCAGCACCAGCAGCAACGGCACCCACAGCATTTGCGCCTCCAATTTGCACTACTAGAAAAACGACAGCGAGCCGGACAGCTGATGGTGCGGTTTTCCATCACTCGTGGAAGTGACGCGGCGCAGCAACGCAAAGGCAGAAAGGCGGTAAACACCGGCATTGCCATTCTGTCCTTACTTCTAAACCCCAAAACACAAAGCCCCACAACCTGCCGCCTGCCATTCTCCTCACCTTTGCCCTGGTCGCCGCCGCCGCCCCCGCCACCTGGCACCGCAGTGGAGCCTTCCGCCGGAACACCGCGAGCCGGTACCGACATTGAAGGCGACTGTATTAGCCCCTGCGGGGGCAGATCCATGGCACTGACGATGCGGCGGTGGCCCAAAGGCTGCGGCTGCTGCTGCTGCTGTTGCAGGGGCTGCGACCGGGGATCCTCCACGCCCGGCGTACTGACGCTACCCCCGATGCCGCTAGCCGTAGACCCAGACCCGGCCCCGTTGGCTCCGAAGCCGCCACCGACACCTGCGTCGAAGCCGTATCCGGGCAGCAGAGAGCCGCCGGGAACTGACCTGGGAGCAGGTGGCACTACCGTACCCGAAAAAGACGTTCGTGGCGGCTGCTGCTGCACCACCGACGCGGACGCCACCGGCGCCGTCACAGGGCCGGCGGAGGTGTTGCCCGGAAGCCAGGAGGTGCCCACAACGCCATCGGCAGCAGCCGCCAGCGCCGCGGTGGAAGCCGAATGCTGCATCCGACCACCGTTCGCACCCACGCTGCCACCGCCGGTCGTGTTTTGATACCCGGGCTCGATCGGCTGCATCCCCGGTGCTCCGGAGGACCCCGGCACGTGCGGATGCGGATGAAGGTCGAGCAGCCACGGTGACACAGGACCCATGTCCGTCGGTCGGACGGACGGACCGCCAAGGACGACCTGCGGCCCCGTCGGCCTCGCGGCCGTGGCGGCGGCACCGTCTGTGCCGCCAGCTGCGCCACTGGCCGGTGTGCTGGCTCCTGCGACCGCGGCAGTGGCGCTGGCCTGGGCGCCGGCGTCGATTTGCTCTCCGCCCCACAGCAGCTTGTTAATGGTGCCGTCCAGAAAGCGGCCCACCTGCGGTGCAAGGCGGGGATATTAGGAAGAGGTGAGGTGAGGTGAGGTGAGGTGAGGTGAGGTGAGGTGAGGTGAGGTGAGGTGTGAGGTGAGGTGAGGTGAGGTGAGGTGAGGTGAGGTGAGGTGAGGTGAGGTGAGGTGAGGTGAGGTGAGGTGAGGTGAGGTGAGGTGAGGTGAGGTGAGGTGAGGTGAGGTGAGGTGAGGTGAGGTGAGGTGAGGTGAGGTGAGGTGAGGTGAGGTGAGGTGAGGTGAGGTGAGGTGAGGTGAGGTGAGGTGAGGTGAGGTGAGGTGAGGTGAGGTGAGGTGAGGTGAGGTGAGGTGAGGTGAGGTGAGGTGAGGTGAGGTGAGGTGAGGTGAGGTGAGGTGAGGTGTGAGGTGAGGTGAGGCGTGGGATTCAGAGCAGAGCCGCAAAGGCGACGCAGGGCGTGACCGCCTGAGATATTATCTGTGGAACGGATAGGAAGAGGACGGGATGACATACATACATACATACATACATGACTCATGCCGTCATGTGTGACCTGCACGTGAGCCCCTTGGCGTGGTCCAGGCGTTTAGTGGTGGTGGAGGAGGAGGAGGAGTGGAGGTGCGTGGAGGAAGTGGAGGTGTGTGCCACGAATATCGGTGGGAACACACTTGGAAAGCATTTCGACTTTCAAAAGGGATTTGGCCGGGCAGGGCGTCTTGAGCTTTGTGGACACGTTTGTCGTCTGTTCGATAATTCTGCCCACACTTGCCCTACGACCTTTCGCTGCACTCACACGCACACTGACCGAACCGACAAAGCACTCCCCGTACCTTTGTGATCGTGGACTCAGTCCGGCTTTGCAAGTTGATCGAGTTGGCCTGCGTGTGGAGGGAACACGGTAGGGAACGTAATCGACCGCCGAGGGGAAGGGCAGCTGGCCTATCGGCAGACATGGAGATGGCCAGGGGGCCTCCACACGAGGGTCTGGTCGCTTCGCGTTTGGTAGTATACGGCACCATAGTACGGCACTTTAGGACCAGGATCTTCCCTGGACATTGTTCTAGGCATGTGCCGTACCTACCTGCGCAAAATGCATTAGCCGGTCCTGCAGCCGCCGCAACTGCGTTTCGGTGGTATTCAGCCAAGCGCCGGCAGGGAGGCGACCCGCCGCTGTGGGGGCTGCCGGCTGGGCTGGCTGGCCCTGTCCTGGCGACATCGCCACACCACCGGCTCGCAGTACAGACTCCACCGCCGCACAGTACTGCAGCGCTTCAGAGATCTTGCCGTACTCGACCAGCTCCCAGGCATGTATTAGCTTAAACGGCAGCAGCGCCCACATCTGCAGCAGCAATGCATCGGCGGCGGCCGCAATAGATGCCGCCGTGGCGCTCGCGGCGGCGGCGGTGCTGACGCTTCCACCGGCTCCGCCAGCAGCCGCCGCGGCCTGGCGCAGCAGCAGCCATTCCAGGACCTCGGTACGCTGTAGCGCCAGCGCACCGTCAGCCAGCGGGTGCTGCAGCACAGCGGCTGTAGTGGCACCGAGGAGGCTGTAGCGGAAGTCTACGGTGTCTGGCAACGATGGTGGGCAGTTGGACAGGCAGTAGCAAACATGCGCGGGCAGCACCTGCGTAGTACGGCGGTATACACGGTGCACAAAAGGCATACCTCATGACGCATGAGACGAGACGTCCTGGCGCCAAGGTCACATGCGGTACCACATGAATAGGAGACGGGTGCACGGCTAAGAAGTCTACAGGCGCCGGTTGCCAAACCATGTCCCTACACATCATCTCATCCTACGCCAACACTCTTCTTTTTCACGGCACTCTCCGGCATGTCCTGCTACCTGAGAGGCCTCCGTTCGCAGCCTATCGCCCAGCCGTACGACAGCCTCCGAGCAGTCCACGGGCCCCCGAGTGGTTAACAAAACCACCAAATGCTCCCTCCATGCTGCCAGCATGCCGCCGCCACCGCCGTCAGCAGCGGCGGCGACTGCTGCAGCACTGCCGCCGCCGCTGTGGGCTTTACCCGCGCCATCGCCACTGGTGGAGGCGACAGCCGCCATTGGGTTGTAGAAGCCCGCCGGCGGCATCTGAGGTGCTGGCGAAGGGGCAGCGGCGCCAAACGACGGCGATGTCAGCGAAACGCCGCCGCTGCTAACAGACCGGGTCGGGCTTGGACCCGTCGCCGTCATCACCGCCGCCGCCGCAGGTACCGCAGCGTCCGCTGCGTCATCGGGTGTCGCGTGCACCAGATCCGGTCGGCCAGCCAGCACCAGTGCCAGCGTGCGCGCGGGCGTGCCCGGCAGTAGCAGCGACTGCGACATGGCTACAACTGCCTCTTGGAAGGCACGACCGTCGGGGCTGACAGCAGTAGCCAGCAGCAGCGCAGGACCCCACAAACCGGCCTCCGTCGCCACCTTGAGCGCGTCGGCCTTCCTGCCCAATACCAGCAGCCGCTGCATGCGCTTGGCGGCTGCTTGCTGCAACGCCTCAGATGGGCCGGCAGCCAACACGGGCGGACCTCCCATCGCGTGGTTGCCATCCAGAGCATCATCGTCGTCGACGGCGTCATCGCCATCGGCTTGGTGTTCATTATGTCCCTGATCGCCGCTGACGGCAGTGGTGGCGTTGCCGCCGGCTGTGCTGCTGCTGGCAGCGCCAGTGGCAGCCGCCGCGGCTGCAGCTGCGGCGGCTGCAGCGGACTGGAAGAACCCGCCAGCCGCGGCCGCGAGGCCGCTGGCCGTGGAGGTGTTCTGCTGCTGCTGCTGGTTGTGGTGCTGGCTATGGTGGTGACGCGGGGGGTTGTGTCGCCGCTTCAGCAGCAGCTTCACCAAGTCGGACTCCATGGACTGGTCCTCTTTGCTCTGAGGGGCGGGGCCATAAGAGGGTGGGTAGATGTGTAGACCCATGTAAACCCGTCTCCATTTGAGGACATGGCAACATGAAAGGACATGTTTTGTGAGGGAAGATTAGCCAGTGAATAAAGCCAAACAGCAGTAGCAGTAGTAGCAGTAGTAGCAGCAGAAATTGGCTAATAGTCAACTGCAGCACACATCGATAGCTGGGACAGACAGAAGCCCCACCGCTCCGCACACCAGACGCCACCTCCAAGGTGACCACCACCGCGACTGTTGAGCTGCCGGCCCCACCTCCTTCCCCTGAACGCGCACTCGCCGTCTGTCCCCCCTTACCTGCCCCATAAGCCACCCTCTGGCCTGCTTGGTCTTCCCGGCCTCCGAGTGCTTCACCATCAGCTGCAGCACCTCCCACAGCAACTGCCTCTGAGCCGCTGTAGCTGCTGCCGCCGCAGCTGTGGGGCCCCCTGCGTCGCCCGCGTTGGTCTGCTGCTCCCAGGGCGCGTCGTCGGCGCCACACGCTGCTGCGTGGTCACTCAGCCACTTAAGCACCTGCACCACGACATGTCGGGTGAAAGCTTGGACGTGCGGATGCGGTTCGGGTGGGGTAGATGAGAAGTGAAACACTAGGCGAGGACTGGCGGACTGGACGCGCATAAGCGCATAAACAACTAAACAGCAATTTTCAAGGCAGTTTTCACGGAATCTTGTCAAGGTTGGATTCGTGGCATTTTCGAAATCCAACTTAAATTTCCCCAGACTCATGTGTAAGGACACAGCCACGCACCTTGTCCTTGCTTGTTGCGGGACCCAAGGGCCCAGGGAAAGCCGCCAGCTGTCGCAGCAACGGCTCCAGCACGGGCGTGGAAGCGGCAGCCTGCGCGAGGTCGGCAGGACCAGCAACGGCGGTGGCCCAGGGCTGTGTAACCATTCACTCCATCCGCATGACCACCACTGACAACAACAACGACAAAAAGAATAACAACAAGAACAACAAAAAGAGTTTTGCGAGCACCTTGACGTCATAAAAGCTGCTTTCTTCCTCAATGCTCATTTCAATACCTCTTTGCCGGGTGGCGGGCGGCGGCCACTGCCTTCTTTTAGAGCCCTTCCCCACGCCGCGCCACCTGTCCCCCCCCCCACCTGCCCTCCGCGGGGTATCCGCTTGTCGGCCTTGGTGGGGCCTCCGCTCGAGCCTGAGGTAGAGGAAGGCTGCTGCTGCGACGGCGGCTGTCGGGGGTTCCCCCCTGCCAGGTGCGTTTGGGTGAGGGCCGCTAGCGGCAGCAGCTGTAGGGGACCCGGGCCGCCAAACACCGCCATGGTGCCTGCAGCTGGATGGTGCGGTGCGATGTGAGCGGGGCCTCACCAAAGGGACCAGCGGGGCTTAGGTATATATACGAGCGAGGCGGCGAGATCGCCGGAGGGATTTGGTTGGACAGCAAGAACCCCAGACGCATTCAAGCTTTCAGCAGCAACGTCAACCTTTTTTTCGTTGATAGTTGTATGGGTTTCGTTTTGTCATGTTGGGTAACAAGACAAACAGATTAGGGTTTTATTGTCAGTTGCGACACACAGCGCCACAGCGGAGGGAGAGAAGAGAGGGACCGATCAGTCCCACACACAGCAGGCAAAACATGCGCACGCGCGTTCTGGCAGAAGCAACGCGCACACATACAACTTACAGACAGAAAACAGACTGAAAACTTATTTCCCTCGGCGGGCACAGCACAGCGGCGCACCTGTGTCCGTGCCTGACGCGGGCGGCCGCATCAGCACCGCTCGGCCGCCAAAGCCAAAGGCGAATACTACGTGGGTGGGTCGGCCGTGGGGGCATGTGCGAGCCAATTCGGGGGTCGTAGGCAAGTAATTGACGTTGGCTTGCTGCATGCCGTACTGCTGCTGGCCGTACATGCCACCGGCGTACGTTCCTGGGGCAAACATCTGCGCTGCGTTCTGCTGGCCGTAGCCCCCATATGCCGCTGCCGACTGGGATCCACCGCCGTGCGGCTGACCGTACGGCTGCGCAAATTGTGTTACGTCATAATCGAGCTGCTGATGACCGAACGACGAGGCTGACGCGGAGGCAGAGCCGCCGTACGGGCCCCCGCTGGTATACGGCAACGTGACTTGTTGGCCATACATGGGCTGCTGCTGTTGAGCGGCAGGATGCTGCGGCGGCGGCGACTGCTGCGCGCTGTACGAAGCAGGGCTCGTGAAGTTGGACCATGCAACAGCGGGCTGCTGTGGATACTGCTGTTGATGGTACTGATACTGTTGCGCGTAATGCGGGTGATCCTGCTGCTGCTGCTGCTGCTGCGTGTTTGGCTCCTGCGATGATGATGGCTGGTGCTGGGCTTTCGGCTGGTGGTGGTGGTGGTGGTGCGGCTTGTGGCCGTCTTGGCGATGATGTTCGTGTTGGTGATGCTCGTGTTGGTGGTACTGGTGATGGTGGTGCTGATGGTGCGGCTGGTGGCCTTGTGCACCCGTGCCGCTTTGACGGGGCTCGACGGGACTTCCTGCCTGCGGGGCCGGTGGCTGCGGTTGCCCGGTAGCATTCCGGGGCTCACCCGGCGGCGGCTGCACATACTGCTGCGGAGCGGCTGCATCAGGTGCTGCCGCCTGGGACTGTTCTGGCTGCTGTTGCTGTTGTTCTTGCTGTTGCTGCTGCTCGTGCTGCCCGCGGATTGTCGATTCTGTCTTCGGAACGCCTTGCTGCGGCTGCCGCGCTTCCTGCGGCCGCCTTTCCTGCTCTGCCTGCTGCTGCTCTTGTTGCTGTTGTTGCTTCTGCTGTTGTTGCTGTTGTTGCTGCTGCTGTTGCTGCTGCTGTTGCTGCTGCTGTTGCTGCTGCTGTTGCTGCTGCTGTTGCTGCTGCTGTTGCTGCTGCTGTTGCTGCTGCTGTTGTTGTTGGTAAAGATAATAGTAGTACGCGTAATACTGTTGGTAGGTCTCCGTTGCATTGGCAAGGTTGTAGCCACCCGCAGCCTCCCAGGCCGCTGTGGCGGCAGCTACAGCCGCAGCCTGTACCTCTTCCGCACTCATCACGACAATCGCCCCGGCCGCCGCGCCCACGTCACCTGGCCCCTCGGCTGCCGTTGCCCCCCCCGCGACTTCCGTCATACGCTTCTGCGGCTCCTGCCCCTGGTCCGGCAGCTGCCCTTGCGGTTGCGGTTCTACATGTCGCCCCCTGTTAAGCTGGGTCGCCACAGTTCCGTCTGTAAGCGCCCCCTGCTCATCCGCCACTGCGGGCCACTCAGCACCCGTAGCTTGCCTCTGATGCACTGCCGCCTGGCCATCCTGCCCCTGCGCTTGCCCATGCTGCCGGCCCTGTTCCTGCGACCATAGCCTCTGCTCACTATCCTGACCTTCCTGCAACCGCTGAGTCTGCTGCGCCTGCCCATATCCGAATGCATGCCTGATTGGGTCCCCAGCTGCAAAGTACGCAGTATCGCCAGCCACAGCCACAGCCGCAGTTGCAATTGCATGTGACGAGGACGGCTGCGGGTTCGGGCTGGCAGCAAGGTCGTGTAGGACATGTGCCTGTCTGCTGCTGTCCGTTAATACCGACGGGGCCTCGTGCGGAGCAGAACCGCCAGGCACGGCGGCGGCTGCAGCACCTGGCCCCGGGCCAGCAGCTACCGACGCAGTGTCACCGGGCGTCGGACACCCAAACGTGCGTGAGGCCTCGCCTGCAGCCTGTGCTTGGGTTTCGCGGGCCTGGTCCTGTGCTAGCGACTCCACGCCGTACGTTTGCAGAGCTGACGCATGCGGCTGCCCGTACGCCCGCCCATTGGACGACCCAGGTAATTGTTCGTATGCAGGCTGCTGCTGCCGCGGTGCCGCGGGCAATCCAAACGCGGACGCGGACTGGTTGTAAGCTGTGTGCTCCTGGTGTTCGTGCGCTCGGTAACCTGGCTGTTGGAAGTACGGCGGCTGTTGTTGACCGCCCGCAGGGCCGGCCGAGGCAAGTTCCTGCGCGGCGCTGTGTCCGTGCGGCGCTGCGACATCGTTGACCTGGTCAGTAGGAGCCGCTGTAACGGCTGTAACGCCTCCAGGAGTGGTGGCAGCACCGGCGGGCGCTGCCAGCTCCTGTGGTGGTTGCTGGTGCTGCTGGTGTTGGGCACTGTCACTGATCCCTCCGTCGCCTCCGAAAGTGTCCGGCAGGTTGTCAAAAAAGTCACTACCGTCTAGGTCCCCTGTCGAGGCCCCCTGGGGGCTCTGTTGTGCGACAGGAAGTGGTGGTGGCGGTAGCTGCTGCTGCTGCTGCTGCAGCGGTCTGAGTGCAGTGGAGTGGCTGACACTGTTAAACTGGGCGGCCTGCTGAGTCTCCGGCTGCTGCTGCTGATGATGATGAGATTCTTGCTGTTGTGGCAGCTGCGGTGGTCGCGAGGCCAGCTGCTGCAGAGGCTCCAGCCGTTGCTGCTGCTGCTGCTGCTGCGAGGGCGGCAGCTGTTCCAAGGGTGAGAAGAACGGCGCTGGCAAGCCTGCTATCGCCGCCGTCATCGAATCTGCTCCTCCCCCTACGACAAGTGCTCCCTCTGGCGCTCCATTGACCCCCTGGGGCCGCGGCGTGTCAAAGAAGCTCGTGCCGTCATCCTGCGTGGCAGACAAAACACCGCCAAAACCTGCGGCACGTGTGGCGCCCAAATCCAGCGAGAACGCGATCGGCTGGGCGATGGCATGTTGCCCGGCATGCCGCTCCGCTAGACCCTGCTGCTGGGGCTGCATTTGCGGCAAAGATCCCTGTCCCAAATAATGTTTAACATGCGGACCAGTATCAGCAGGTTGCGGGCGCTGGGGCGGCTCACGTTCTTCATCACCGTCATCCAGGGAGTCGAAGAAGGAGGCCGCGTCATCGGCTGGCACACTTTGCAACGGCTGTGGTGCAAACGCCTCGCCCGAAGGGGCGGTCGCAGTGGCCCCTGGGCCAGGCTCCCCATGGGTGCGTGGGGCGCCGGCCGCCGAGGCGGCAGCAGTAGCGGTGGCGGCCATGGGTGCGGCCACCGCTGCCGCAGCTGCCGCCGGAAGCTCTGCTGCACCCAGCGAGTCAAAGAACGATGCTCCCACGTCCACGTCTGTGGCACCTGCATGATGGGTTTTACTGCCGTACTGCCACTGCGGCTGGTGTTGCTGCTGCGGCAGCCATTGCGGTTGCTGCACCGCCGGTATGGCGGGCTGCTGCCATTGCCCGCGTGGTTGCGTCCACTCGGCAATTTCCCCGGCAGCGGGCACTTGGAAAGGGTAACGGTCCTGCGCACCACCCGCTGTCGCTGCCGCTGTCGCAGTAGCAACAGCTTCGCCACTGCCGACGCCAGTGCCGCTAAAGGTTTCATCTGCAGCCGCTACCCCAAATACGTCGTCCTCATCCTGGCCTCCGCTGCTCCCAAACAAAGCCGAAACATCCCCCACAACTTCCTGATATGTGCTAACAGGCGCGGGGTTCCTAGCGACCGCCGCTGCCGGTGGGCTGATAACTGCAGCCGTGCCGGCAGCCGCCACGGCTGCCACCTGTGGCGGCTCTACGCCCCGAGGCGACATCGCAGGCGAGTCAAACAGCGGCCGCGACGCCTGGCGAAACTGGGTTGGCCCAACAGCCCAGGCAGAGGGAGCACCGCTACCCCCACTGTCACTAGGCGCCGGGTCATCTGCGCCGGACGGCGCACCGAAGAGGTGTGACAGGTTACTGCGGCTGCCGCGGACGATTGTGTACTGTCCCGGCGTCTGCAGCTGCTGTCCCTGGAGCCCAACGGCTGCCGCCGCTGCGCCGGCCAGGTTACCTTCAGCTTCAGCTGCGACGGCAGGCTCGGCGGCGGCGATAGACGCAAAGATATCGTCAGCATCGCCCGTCGCCAGCGCACCACTGTCACCAGCTGGCCCGAAAGGGTTTTGTGCTGCGATTGTGAAGCCGCTGAAGAGGGGCTCCCGACTGCTGCTGCTGCTGGCACCGCCTCCAGAAGGTTGCTGCTGCTGCTGCTGCTGCTCCTGCGATTGCTGCTGCTGCGATTGAGTGTGTTGATGTGGTTGCTGCTGCACCTGTCGCGGAGGCGATGGCGAACACGGCTCTGGTTCGGTGTCGAAGGAGTCGGCCATGAGCTCGTCGAATGCATCGTCGAAGGCGGCGAGTTCCGACGGAGTCGCTGTTTCAGAAGACGCGATGGATGTGCGGTACAGCCGTGACATGCCCGGACGGGCCCTGCAACAACAAGCGCAGCCACAGGCAAGAGAACCGCAGCCAGAGGAAAGAAGGGATAAACAGCGAGATTCATAAACAGAACGTACGAGTGTGTGCACTTCTCCTCCCCTGCCTTTCGGCCCTTAGCCACACAAGTTAACTGGAAAGAAGGAAACGCCAGAAGCACGCGGGAGCTCGTTTGCATGAAAATAACGTCAGAACGCCGAGGCGCACCTGAGGGCGGCGCCTGCCACACCGCCAGAACCTCCCTCCGTCTGCCCCATTGGCATCTGCGCGAAATCCGCTTCCGACAACAACTCGGTAGCCGCGTCAAAGGAGCCTGGCGTGGACATATCCGTCACGAGGTCCCCCTCCGCGCTCTCCTGGCCGCTGTGGAATGCCACTACGGGGCTGCCGCCTGACACCGGCACCGCCGCGGACACCGGCCCAGGGGTCGAGGAAGGACAAGGCGTCGCGGTGGCAGCACTTCCCAAGTCGCCGCGCTCCTGCACTGACATGGCGCTGGAGGACGGCATCCCGACATCGCAGCCGCTGGCCTGCTCTTGCTGCTGCTGTTGTTGCTCCCCACGCGACGATGGCGGCGGCGACTGAACCGCTGCTGCGGTGTTGGCGGCCGCCAATATCCCCGGGTTTAACGCATCGCAATAGCCCATGCCCTCCACAGCTGCTGCTCCATAGCCGCCGCTATCGTCGTCACCGCCCGCAAGGCCCGCGTCGACGCTGGCCTCTGACGGTGCCGCCGCCGCATGAGGCTGCCCCGCTTGGCCACCTGCCATCTCCGGATTGCTCAGGGCCCCCGCCACAGGTGCCGCCATATCCCCCGCCACAAGTGCCGTCGCAAAGTCAGCATCGCTAAAGCGTTCGGGATCTGGGTCACGGTCCCGGAAGGAGCTGGAGACGCTCAGCCGGTGGCGTTGCGACGGTGTCCTGGACAGCACGCTATTGCCCGAGCCCGACAGCCCCGGCGGAGGCGGCAGCGGCCCAACAGATGGCGGAAAGTCTAATGGCAGGCTCTCCTCTGCCGACGGCGCAACCATCCCTTGCGGTGGCGGCGGCATCAGGAGCACCTGGCTCGTCGGCAACAACCCTAGGCCGGCGGCGCTGGTGAAAGTAAGGGAGTGGGGTTCACCGGCCCCATCACCTCCTAGGGGTTCCGCCTCCACATGTGAGCCACCACCACCACCACCACCGCCGCCGCCGGCCGCCGATGCACACGCAGCATCTGCAACACTGCCCGGAGCCGCGTACGACATGTCTGGGAAGGCCTTGTGTTGCTTGTCGCCCTCCTCGCCTGGTGAAGCAACAGCTGGGTCTTCGGGCAGGATGAACCCAACAGACAGCTTGCGAGTCGGCGGCAACAGCGAAGGCAGAGGTGGAGGGGGCAGGGGCGCCAAGGGGTCGGGGCCTGCCGCCGCGTCGGCGGGCTCACTGCCAGCCGCGCCCGCCGCAGCCACGCCCCACGCGCTCGTCGCTCCAGTCGACGCCGATGTAAAAAAGGGCGTCACTGAGAAAGACACCTCCCGTGTTGCCATCAGCTCGTTATCGGCAGCATCCGATTCTTGGTCCGCCGCGGTCGGTGGCTGGGTCGAGGGAAAGGAATAAGATGGAACCGCCACCGTTGAACCTGCCGCCTGCCCAGCATTGCGGTGCAACTCCGCCCCTTTCCCTTCACTCTGCGCTTCCGAATGGCGACCAGCAGACGTTGCCGGGAAGGCCCCCAGCAGCTTAGCATCACCGGCACCCTCGCTTTCCTCTCCGAAGCCGTCGAAGAAAGAGAGCGAATCGTCCGCCTGCTGCTGGTTGCCGGCAATCTGAAGCCGCGCGGATGTCGTCGCCCAGGATGGCGATGCGAAGGGCGGGCTAGCGGAGGCGCGCTCAGCCATCGCATGTTGTGCAGACGGCGGCGTTCCCAGCTGCGCCGACTGGGCTGCCTGTGGCTGCGGCGACTGCATTGGTAACGATGACGGTGGCGGTAATGTGGCCCCCGTAGCCAATAGGTTACCCGGCAGCACAGCATAAGGCCCCGTGGCAGTTGGACATGCTAATGTAGCCACAGCGGCTCCCGTGTGTGGACCAGGGACAGCCACTGCCGCGGGAGGGGCCTGATGCAGGGAAGGGTGCAAGGACTGGGTTTGCTGTGTTGGCGGCCTAGGCTGCGCCGCTGAGCAGGTTTCGACCAACTGTAGGGCTCCTAAAGGCGCCGGCGGCGAAGGGGGGAGGGGCGTCACAGGGATTGACTCCGACGTCGAAGGGTGGGAAAGCACTCCAGGCGCTTGGTGGGCGGAAGCCGCAACTGCATGTGCAAGAGGTCCGGATGTTGTTAGTGCTGGATTTGGCAACTGAGGAGTGGGGTTTGACAGTTTGGAAGGCGGTTGAGCTGTCAAGGGCTGCGTGCGTGAGTCTGCCAGTGGCGCCACGGCTGCTGCACGTGGGATGGAGGTGCCTTGAAGCGGTGGGACTGGGGTTGGGTCCTGGGATGGTGGCAGGGCTGCAGGCGGAACCGGCGGGGGCGGTTGCGCCGCTGATGCCATAGGAGAGCTAGGCCATTCAGGACTGTCATCCGATTCGCTATTTGCGAATCCGGCTCTGCTTCCCGTTGGAGCGCCGGCTGCGACAGGATGAAACGGGTCGTCGTCGTCGTCAAAGTCCAGGTCGCCCCAACTGTCAAGGTTAATTGACTGGGATTCCATGCGGTGTTGCTATCCAGGCTTTGACACAAGGAAGCGCATGAATTGCGGTTCCCAGCAGCTCCGTTTTTCGTGGCGATCGGTGGTGAATCCGATACCCTCAGCGACTCTGCGACATATGGAAGCTATCGTGTATTGATTTGTGCATCACGGTTACCATGTCGGGCAGTTCTATAATGTGTACTAGTGTATGAGTATACTGTATCCTTTCATGATCCACGCTTGGCTGCTGGATCAAGCTTATCGTAAGATTCACAAATAATTATTTTGCTTTGAAAGAAGTTCGGAATCGCCGATAGGAAGTTGCTTTGCAGGTTGTCGGGACAAGTTGGATCACGTATTGGCAATTTTCAGCCAATATCGACAACAACACCTATTGCGGACGTCATTCATCCGCAACACTTACTCTGTCACCACACACAGCTTGCACGGGACCACATGCGAGCAGCGACAGCTCGACAACGACTCAACCGGCAGCAACAGCCCGCGCGCCAGTATGTCCGTTCTCATGGCCAGCAGCTGCTTAGGTCTGCTGCGATCTCTGAATCATGGGGACCTTGCGTCGACGTCGCGTGGCTACAGCAAAACTCGGAGGTAGAGACTGCGGCGAACCTCGCCTCACCTCGACCATCGACCTGCATTTAAGGGCTTCCCAAGGCTAGTGCGAACCCAATCGTTATGTGACATGACATGGCTAACTCCTCGACCATTGTAAGAGGCGCCTGGCCACCCATCCGTGCCTTCTCTTCAGACTGATACTGGCTCATACAGCCCTCATGTCCTCTAATACCGGAGTCGTCACTGTGCCCTTTGTCCCCTTTGTCATAATCAACCAACCGAAGCACGGCCGGCTGCCTTTGTCTTTAGTGCCTTTCCGCGCCCTCCAATGCCAGGATGTACGGGTGTACGATGCTCGAGGTCATGTTCCCGGGCCCAATGAAGACATCACGTCCTGTTCGGCCGACTACGACGCATATCTCGATGGGCACATCCCGGTGCGCAACCTCGCCTTGGTTTGCGCCTCTGGTTTCTGTGTTCCCCTCACCTCTCACTTCCTCCTCTCAACTGGGGGAGTTGAGAGGAGGATCTCTACCCCGGATCTCCATTCGCCGCACCCTCCCTCACTTCCCTCACCTGAACCTCTCATCCCATCTTTGCAGATAACCTCAAACTCAGCATTCCACAAGCCTTCCCCTTTTCATACCAATGCATCCAGGGAGCCGTCTTCGTCAACTGGCTAAAAGACGGAGCCGCATGGCAAAACCGCCTAGGCGAAATCACTGACGGCAGCAGCAGCAGCATCGACAGCACACCCGCGAGCAACAATGCATGGGTAAACTGCGGTGAACTGGTGCTAGCGGTGGTGACAGATCCCGAAAGTTACCTGCCTTGTTTCGAAGCACGTGGCCTGTCTGCGGATCGGCCTGTAGTGGTGAGTGGATGACCTCTTTTTCCCAGAGCCCATTTGATGTCCATCTCTTGGCTTGCTCCGGGCTTGGTCTGCTTATCCGCTTCCTTAATTGCCATCCACCGTCCCCCCTTTCCTTCTCTCTGTCTCCTCCCGTTTGTCACACATCATGCCGATGGCACACGGCCAAAACCCGCGTGCGGAGTATGATCACCCACGTACCTAACCCCCAACAATACACGTGTACACCGTACCTGCTGTACCCGGCAGGTGTACGATGACGGGGCGAGCATGATCGCGGCGCGCGTGTGGTGGCAGCTATTGCTGTACGGCCATCCGGCGCCGTACGTTCTGGCTGGCGGGTGGGAGGCATGGCGCGCGGGAGGGGGCGGTTTGGAGCTGTACGAGCCATGTCCGCTCAAGGCAGGTGGCTTAACCGGTATAGCGCCAGAGAACGCTTCCTGAGAGCGCCACATGCAAGGGAGCATCACACATCACCGGCACCGCCAGCTTGTTCTGCGTCCTTTCAAATTTGGGCCAAGTGGTTTGGGTGAATTTTGGGTACAAGCGGGGTCTAGGTGGCTCCAATAGCCGTGTGGGTGTGGAAACAGGTGACATGCCCAAATGCATGTGACACGAGGCTAAGTCCCGTGGAGGGGTGTCCTCCACAAAATTCCATATCGTATCCCAAGGACTTTCCGTACTCAGTAAACATGCTCTTTATTGCCCCCCTAGCGGCACCTTGTCCTCTTCTTCATTAACGTTTCAGCTTGCGCTGCCGCCCAGCCCGCCCACCACGAAGCCCACCTCCACTCCACGAAGCCATACTGCTGCTTGCGCCTGCCAGCGTTTCCCAGTTCACTTCCCCATCCAGAGATGAGGACAAAGCAACAACATCAACCTCCCTAACGTACTTCCATGTGTAGTAATCCCTTGCCGTCTCCCTTGCGGCTGGCTGCCAATGCTCTCGTACGGCACAGCTATCAAGCGTGTACGACGCGGAGCCACGATTGCAGTACCGTGCCTCGCGTGAGGAGTTCATGTTGGCCGCGACACGGGGCCCTGGAATAGGAGTGGAAGAACCCCTGGCCACGCAACATACGGTGGCAGTGCTGCTGCTGTCGGAGGTGCGTCGACTAGTCGTGCAATCGTAAAGTTGTTCCTGATTTGGATCCGAGCGCTTGTTTCGCCGCCTGATCGACTGTTTTTGGATGCGGTGTTTGGCTAGGAATCCTAACATTTGCAACGATAGGTTTCAATGTACCGGTGCACCGACTCCTGTGCCAGTGCCGATGCCATGGGATACCTGTGTTATCGTCAGGCTTTGTTTTGTCCAGTTAAAGCCCTAACACACACACACACACACACATTGACGACGTCCTCGATTAGTGTGTGGCGTGTGTCCCCCTTGTCCTTCCCTCCTCTACTTCAAGTCCCCAGGTCCCCATTCCCCCTTCGCCACCGGGCCCGCCTGCAGAGTCATGATGTGGACCCCGGGTCACCACTACCCACCCGGGTCGATTCCTCCTCTTCCGCATCATCTGTTTCCACCTCAACCGTTTCGGCCGACTCTGGTGGCCATGTCGTCCATCTCCCTTTCGCCTATCACGCATCATTCCCTTCGCTGCTGCGCACGTGCTGCACAACCACCACCGCCATCCCCGCTACCACCACAACCACCAGCCGCTATATTCCATGGACATCGGTGGTGCTCGAGAGAACCGCAGAGGGGAGCGCCCTGGCCCGAACACTGACTGCCGCCCTAGGGGGCTTGCCAGTGGGCCCCGACAGCCCTTATCGGCTGCTGCTTGCCTCACCTGGGGATGCTGCGGCGGGGGCATGTGCAGTGGGCGCCCTACTGAATGCGGCCGGACACAAGCGCTGGGCAGTGTGCGAGGCCTGGTGATGCCGGATGTGGGGGTGTGAACAACGATACGCTTTCGCCTGTTTGCTGGTCTTCGTCGTTGTTATCAGTGGCCATGATTTTCACGGAAGCAATGTGAGGCACGCATTTGCTTGGCGTTGCATGGGAAGTTTTGCCGGCCGGTCCAGGTGGTCGGGTAACCGATTTTGGGGGGCTGCGATTAGTTTCCTCCGATCCCGCCTAGCAGCCCTCAACGTCGAGGCCACGGCCGCGGCCCTTCCCTGTGGGTGTAGGGCTGGCACGCATCAAGCGACTGGCTGTGGGTTGTGTGGGATGCGGTGCAGGGGATGCCGTGGTGAGGCTGCAGGGTCCCTGAACTTGAAGACCTAGGGCCGAATACTCTCGTTTGGGTCAGCTGTGGGTTGCACCGCCTGTGCTGCAACAGCCCACAACGGCAGCAGCAGCAGCAGCAGCATTGCTACTTGATATCGAGCGCCGTGCTGAGCGCTGCCAGCGGCACCGCCAGCGCCACTGGTCGCTGATCGGCTGTGCGGCGGATGGGCAGTGCACTGAACTGGGGCATCCAGGCGCGTCTGGTGTGCAGGGAGGTGTTGGGGCCGCTGGCGTGTAGCAGAGTGTCCAAGAAGACCACCTGTTGTGCGGCAGGAGGGAAGAGGATGGAGGGCACGGAGGGGACAGAGGAAGAGGAGAAAGAGGAGGAAATGTCTTATACAATATGTATATGCCAAAACAACAACACAACTGACCACGTCGTTACTGCAGACGCTCTGAGCAGTAAACTATCAAAAGAGGGAGGCCACAGGTAATAAAAGAGTACGAGGAGAAGGGTATGCGGAGTAGGAGTAGTAGCAGTAGCAGGAGGAGTAGGAGTAGTAGCAGGAGGAGTAGGAACAGGAGTAGTAGCAGTAGCAGGAGGAGGAAGACGGCGATGTTAGGGGGCCATGGAGGATAAGGATAAGGCGGATGGTGAGGTAGTGGTGGTGATGGTAATTGAAGGCGGATAGGACTTTCAAACCCTAGCATCATTAGCCTCAACAGCAGCCCGTGGACCCCAACCCCTGGACAGCTTGACAGCCGGAAGGGGATGAGCGCCGGCCCATAAGGCCCCTATGAAGGCCTGAACGGGAGGAGACAGCGTCCCGTCGTTGTGTTTGGAGATTCTGGCCGGCTGGTAACGGACAAGTCGCCGAAATCCCGAACTTCACGTCGCTTGCCCCACCCCATCCGCCCGTGGTTGGCCCCTCGAGGCTCGCTCTCACCACAGTCCCCGCCGGCACGAAGAGGTGTTCCGCCAGCCCGTAAGTACTGGGCTGCTGCTGCCGCCGTCGCGCGCCTGCTTTATCATGCGGCAAGGGATACGCCGCCGCGGAATCAGATGTCGCTTCGGAAAGTCCTGCTGTAGCTGTAGCTGTAGCAGCAGTAGCTGTAGCAGCAGCAACAGGACTTGGAGCTGCAGCGTGCTATCCAACCAAGTGTTATGTTAGTGCCACTGACACATCCGGACCGGTCGTACTGGCCGCTGTGCCAGAGGCCGGTACAATAACAGCATAACTATGCCTCCATATCCCGGCGAGGGCGCGGCCGTGACAGGCCCATGTGCGTCTTAGGCGGCAGCAGCGCCGACTGGGTGTGAAATGAACACCAATAATTCCTCCCCAGGAATTATTGGTGCTTCCTAGCGCAGTGGCTGCCTTTGGACCCACCATTATGACCGTCGTCTTGTTCTTCTTGTTGTTCCCCCATGGCGCTGCTCAACGCGAAGTGGCTTCCGGGCAACACGGCCAAAGCGCCATTTTCTGCAAACCAGCCGTCCAGACACCACATACACACATATGGACACCCACATACACACATATAGACACACATACACACATATACACACATACACATACACAGGGGAAGGAACCTGCACACACGTGTGCGCTGCGGTGTGTGCGAGGTAAAGTTGGGGGAATGACAGATGTGAGGGGCAGCTTCTAAGCTAAGATACAGCTAAAAGGGCGTTTCCTTCATTCCCACATGCGAACGATGCTCTGGACCGTACCCACAAACCCAGCGCTGTCGCAGGCTCCTCGAGGGTCTGCCCAGCACACACAAACATACACACGCACAAAGAGCACACATCCCGTCTGCACGCAAGACCACGAGCTCGCATAAAAGGGGAACGGCAAAGCCACTCGACGTATCAAGTGCAACCTGCTACCGCGTTTGTCAAATCCTCTTTGCCATCCACATATCCACCCCACCCCACCGGGCCTATTGGTCCATCCTTTCTACTCCTCCCTCCCGCCCGCCCTCTGCCCGTTCCCCCATCCAGGCATCCCTCTTCTCTCTGACATCTATACTACACGTCGCCGCACCCCGTCAACACCCCCCCCCACACACACACGCACCCGCCGTCATGTCATCTAGAGCGGTCCAGACCTGGGCGCTTCAGGACGGATGGTGAACCCGCGCAAACCACACACGCACAGGTGACGGGAAAGAAAAGAGGGTGACAGGGGTGGCAGGGGCGGCGGTTAAGGCAAGGAAGGGAAGAAGTGTCACCTAGCGGACCTCCAAACGCCAAACCTCAACATATTCAACACACCCACTTCTGTTCCCTCTCCCGGCCTCCTTACCCAGTTGATCTAAAGCGCTGCACAAGGACCCTATCTTACCACGACACGTCATCAGGAAGTCAATACCCGTTCGGCGATTAGGCGACGTTTTTCGCGGCCCTGTGCGCTGGTAAGTCCCATAACATACCTTCACATCTACCTTAAGAGCCCCGCATGTCAGTTAACGCTCTAGACGACGGGAGCTGACCCTTTGCCACAAGTTTGTTTAGGGACATAATACAACGCAGGAGCTCTAACATCCGAGCATTAGACACGAGGGAAACCCTAATAATGGCACTACCACCAACTACGACGGCTTGTAAAGAGACGCGCGTGCGAGTCAAATAGTGTTGTGTACCAGGTGGGCAAGTTTTGGTTGCTCGCTGTCCATCATCACCATCACCATCACCATCACCATCACCATCATCAGACTCCTTTTTCAGTCCCCCTCGCAGACGCCCATGGTGCCCCGGGGGAACACCCCACTTGAGTTCCAACCCCCCTTTCCGCCTTTCCAGCTCGACTCACCGACACGTAGGGGCTGTACTCGAACTCCGAGCGGCCCCGGCACCAGTTCGAATCCCGGTGCCAGCCGAATGCAGCTGCGGCACCCCCCCGAGCGGGCTTGAGGACGAACTGCTCGTTGAACAGGTACGGCCCAACACTGCCTCTGAACCCGTCGGCTGGGGCAGCAGCAGTTGCCGCTGATGGCACCGGTGCTGACGGCGGCGCCATCACACCGCCAACACCGCTGCTGGTGCCTGCGCTTCCGACCTTCCCAATGGTGACGGTTCCATCAGCGGGGGCGCCGGCGCTTGCATCCACGCCTGCACCCCGGTCGGAAGTGGTCTTCACGCAACCGTTGCCGGCACCGTTGTCGCAGTTTATGTCCTTTCTGCTACTACAATTAAACATGCTGACAGTGTCGCAGCAGGCAGCAGTGGCCCGCCCTTGAGGGTTGTTGTTAGAGGCCGCAGCGGCAGCAGCAGCAGCTGCGGTGGCGGCGGCGGCGGCCTGCAGGCAGCTGTCATAACGTTGCTGCCCCTGAACGAGGGGGTTCCCGGGCGGGCAGGGTGGGCAGCCGAGAGCCGACCGCGCCAGGCAGTGCAGTCGGGGGCAAGCTAGCAAGCCGAGATCCCCGAGCTGGACGGCGGCGAGGCTGCGTCCCGATGCGACCGGCACGGCCGCCATGCCTGTACACGACGATGGTGCTCGCAGTAGCTGCGGCTGCTGCTGCTGCTGCTGGGGCGGCGGTTGGCCAGCGGTAGTAGCACCCAGCCCTGGCAGTGATGCAGTAGTAGTGGCAACAGCAGCAACAGTAGTGGCCTCGGCTTCGGCGATTCTTGGGCTGTAGCTGGTTTTTCCGTACGGCCGTGTCACCTCGAAAACGCAGCCCCTGGGGGAGACGGCAGGGTCGAGTGGAGTTGGGACGCTGCGTGATTGGAGGGAGGAAGGGATTGGAGGGAGGAAGGGATTGGAGGGAGGAAAGGATTGGAGGAAGGGATTGGAGGGAGGAAGGGATTGGAGGGAGGAAGGGATTGGAGGGAGGAAGGGATTGGAGGGAGGAAGGGATTGGAAGAGTGCCGGCAGGGGTTGCTGGACAAGGAGGTACCGAGCCAAGTAAGCAGAGCGGTGGAGGGGGAAAGGCAAGGTTGAAGGGGAGGGGGAAAGATGGAGGGACTGCTCGGGGGTACGGCGCTTTGGGTGAGGTGTGGGGGCCATCCGGGAGGGGATGATCCCTAGGCGAGCGGCGCTGGGAGCGGGCGCTGTCAGCCGTGGGGCTGAGAGTTGCGCACTGATAACTGGTCCGAAGCGAGCTTGCCTGCTCTTGGCCACCGCATCACTAACACCAAGCGAGTATGCTCTTTCCTCTTCTTCCTCTCCTTCTTCCTCTTCTTCCTCTTCCTCACACGCTGAATCGACGTCATCGTAAGCGCCGCTGGCTTCGAGCACCAACTCGGCTTCCTGTGCGGACCAAAGCAAGTGCTGGAGTGAAGGCCTGACAGGATTACATCACAGGATATATCACGACAACAGGCAAATGATTGTTCGCCAGTCAAGCGAAACTTACAAACTGGATTTTTTGCAATTCAACGCTCTGGAAAAAACTCTCGAGGACAACATAACCGTCACGCAATAACTGCTGCCTCACGCAGCTATATTCGTGACAACTACACAGCATTCTCGCCCTAGCTCCTTCAAATTACTTACAAACACAGGGTTTTATTAAAAGGAAAGCCTTAAGGCAGGAACCACGGTACATGACCGTTAACGTCCGTACATCGTACAAGCCGTACAAATGCAATGATATGCGTGAAAGGCAAATAAGGATTGAAGAGGAGTCGAGCAGTGGCGAGCAGGGCGCCGCACATCTGGTGGGCGCTGGGGAGCGGGACAGACTCAGATGAATCCATCTTTAGCTTGCCTTTATCCGCGCGGGTCTCTACCTACTTAACTACCTACCTACCTACCTACCTACCTAGCTAGCTAGCTAGCTAGCTAGCTACCTACCTACCTACCTAGCTTGCTACCTACCTACCTACCTACCTACCTACAAATAAATGCCAGGGCTGTGCACGTTCCTTTACATGGTTGAGGGCTCGACACGCCAGGGCAGGACGCGTACGGAATGTGTACGGCATCTAAACGCCCCACGGTCCAATTGGCCCCAACGGCCCTGGGGGACGAACTGTGTTTCCCAGCCAAAGACGTTATCCAGTGAATGGGCAATTGCGCTCGTTAGGGATTCCAGTGGGTTCGATTTGCATGGTGATCAGGGCGTCATGGTTCGACACGCTTTGGGTTGATGGGTGGAGTAGGGTCTTTCCCATTTGTGATGCCCGCATGGGACAGTCTCTTCATGTTTGTCGTACACAACTTAAAGCATTTATACAGACGAGAGAGGAGCGCACGTGAGTAGTACTTTGGGACGATTTGCATTCGTGACATTAATTGTGCAAGGTGCTTTCAAACATCCTTCGGCGGCAGGGAATACAGGATGGAAGAACATTTTTACTAAGATTTTCAAATTTCTTGTGGGTGGTCACCATCCTTCGTCCATTCCATCCAATCAAGCCTTATTTCATGGCATATTTATAGTCGTATATCGTACAACAAAATAAAACGGCAGTCTACAGCAGGAAAGAATCGCGCACACGTACTCGTTGTAGACACAGAGCTCTCACGCACATCGGTCGCAAAGTCAGGGATCGTCTTGCGCTGCAAGAGGGAGAGTTGGCCACAAACAGGTACCGGCACTACCCGTACACACAGCCAGCCAAGGCCGGTGTCCCAAGGGTACATAGGAAAGCGACAAGAATATGGGCGTACGGATCCGTACATACTGCTATTATCCCGTAATGCTATTTACTATAAGCTGATAGTTTGCTACAACGTAGGTAGGCTGGAAGAGCGCAGCGCTTGACATCCCGGCGCCGACCAACAAATCCACTGCGCCAGCAAACAGTGTTCCCCACAGCAACCGACAAGTCCCGTCCCTCTCGGTGTATCTCTCTGCCTCTCCATCTGTCTGTTTGTCTGTCCGTATGTCGGTAACATGACCCGACATACATGCAGCGGTCACGGCAGTGATCAACCGGCAAAAAACCAATCCCCAGGGAACCTAGGGACCTACTCACGAAAGTCTTGTGTACACACTGCACACGTTCGTCGTCAGTATGTATGTCCGTCAAGTCCGCCCAACTCGACGTATGTACCAACAAGCCGAATGAGCACAAGACTCCGTCATACACGCCCTGCCGCGCCCAGCCCGACCTGCGGCCTCTGAGCCGCTAGTCCCGACCCCCCCCAAAAGGTGGGACTAGTATGGAAACCCGGCCGGCGCTCACCCCCCTTGTCCCCCTGGGAGCACCGCGTGTTGGCGCGGGTGCCTTCATACCCACATAGCCCCGAGTTCAGTTGGCAGGTTGCTTGTTGGGCTATCCCCCTGGGCCGACGCGAATCACCGCTGACACCGTTGGTGCTTTCAAACGCCTCTTGGCTTGGGTCGGCGTAGAAGACGGGGAGGTCGGGGACGGGTTCTCCCGGGAGCCTATCTTAAGGCCGGGGGGCCACGTGTTGCTGAGTGATGCTGCGGAAGGGCGGGCAGCGGGCGAGAGGGCGGCGTGGGTGGGGCGTGACGCGGAGATAGGAATGCGATGGGGGCGAGCGATCAGGGAAAGCTGCGTATGTGTATGTATGTTAGTTAGGACGTGTGTGTTTTACATTGGGGGGGAGAGGGGAGGGGAGGGGAGGGGAATTCTAAGGCGGCCTAAGCCACCATATCAAGGGGCGGCCTGCCCTAACCCCTAACCTTCCCGTAGCGCCTCAAGGCAGCCCGGGACGCAAAATAAATGAAAGACTCCACACGGCATGTTGTGCGAAGTTCGCAATCGACGCCGACGCGCACAAGGCTTCGGGCCTTCCGAGGTTTGGTGTCGTCTCGCTGTGGGGCGATATTCTCGTTCGCATGCTGCACTCACCAGTGCACGTTGCCGGCGTTGAGCAGCACATCGCGGCTGTAGACACCCACCACCGTGCGACCGGGGTACGCCTTGGACAGGACCTCCAGCGCGAGCTCGTCCGACTTGCTCTGTGTTGCGCGTTGCGTGTTGTGTGTTGTGTGTTGGGTTGTGTACGCGCACGCGCGCGCGCGTGTGTGTATGTGTCAATTATCATGTTGCCACGGAGGAAGGGGCGTCGGGCACGGAGCACGGCCAGAGCGGAGGCATCGGAAGGGGAAAGGGAAAGAGCAGAGAGGTCGGCTGGGCTGGGCTGGGCTGGCGAAAGAAGGCGCGGCCTCAACCGCGCCGCGCAGCTACGCAGACACGTCCATTCAGTAAAGCAAAAGTCAGCATCCTACAATTCAGGGACTCTCGTGCGGCCGCCATCACGACACGCCGCAAGGCCCCCATAGGTCGCACGTGTTTGTATATACATACACACGCACATACATGCATCCCAAGCCGCGTGTCTCATTAGTCTTTTGAATATCTCCATTTCCGTTGTCCCGGGGGGGTGTTCCGGAGATTTCAGCCTTTCCCTCCCGCTCCCGGTCCCGCCCTCGGGGCCCCGTCCACAAGCGCGCTCGAGACCCACACACCTGCGCGCCACCGAACTGCGGACACACAATGCCCCCGTTGGCGATGTAGTGGTTGATGTAGGATGCAGCCAGACGCTCTCCAGGAACGCGGGGCACGTAGCCCAGCTTGATGTGGTCGGGGTGCACTCCGTCGGCTTCCTTAAATGTCCGGAACATGGCCGGCGTGGGGGCGGGCAGCTTGATCACCTAGGGGAGGTTGGAAAAGGGAAGAGGGGGGAGGGACCAACAATGCGGAGGGACAGTGATGGGGAGGGGGGAAAAAAGGGTGGGAGGGGGTACAGTGGGGAAAGGTCACAGCGGAAGTGATGCATTCAAGGTAATCGCTGCAATGGTGCTCTGCTCGTGAAGCAGCAAACAGAACATCGCAGTAAAACATTACTGCACGACAACACCTTGGGTCAGCAATCTAATTCCTGGGTTGCAGGCCTCCATATATATATATATATATATAGCCGTACGGCAGATCGCCATTGTTGCCGAATACATCCCCGCGTGTGCGTGTCTCCGCTAGAGGCACACAGACGTGTAGCCGCAGCTGCACCTGAGGTGGGAGATCAGGGGCTCCTGGAGCTTACATTGAGTTTGCGGCCCAGAGCATCCGGGGTGTTCTCCAGGATCTCCAGGTTACGCGCCGACACCTCGTGCTGCGGGTCGTTTGGGTCATCGCACCAGGACAGCAGGATGGTCCCCGGCTCCGTGAAGGTGGCCATGTTGTCGACGTGACCGTTGACCACCTGGGGCCGACAGGAGGGTGGGTTTCGGAGAGGGGAAGGGAGAGGGGGAGGGGAAGGGAAGGGGGGAGGGGAAGGGAAGGGGGGAGGGGAAGGGAAGGGGGGAGGGGAAGGGAAGGGGGGAGGGGAAGGGAAGGGGGGAGGGGAAGGGAAGGGGGGAGGGGAAGGGAAGGGGGGAGGGGAAGGGAGAGGGGGAGGGGAAGGGAAGGGGGGAGGGGAAGGGAGAGGGGGAGGGGAAGGAGAGGGGGTAAACGACGGCGCAAAGGTCAGGTCAGATCAGATGAGATGCCGGTCGACGAAACGCTTCCAACATTTCCGAAGTCCGAACACGCAATATGGAGAATGTTCCTTCTTGCCTCCTAGCTAAAAGCTTCAATGACTAGCTCCCCACCGGATTGGTCACCTTCCAGCGCTATGCACACACATACATACACGTAAACCCAACAGCTCGTAACCCCTTGACACCTAATAATTTGCCTTGCACATACCAATACACGTACATACAATGGCAGGCGGCTGGCAGAGGTTAAGGCCTGACTTGCGACCTAACCAGGAACAAAGTTGATGCGCCATTGATCCGCTAGATTTGGTTGGATGCTGGTGGTGAGTTGCCGAACCCAACGAATACACTCTGAAGTCGGATGGGGTGACGGATTAGGGTGCCCCTCTAGCAGGGGAGAGCAGGGACTGCCCCGGGAAAGGGGGCCGCTGGCGAAGTTAACCACCCTGTAACTACATACATACAACACACGATTCAAACCCTAAACCGGACCCGAGGATCACCTGGTCATCTCCCATCATGCCCTTCCACAGCCAGATGATCTTTTCCAGGCCCAAGAACTCCTTCAGCATGTTCTCGATGCCTTCCTTGCCCAGGTGCGGGTTCCGCGAGGGGTGCAGGAGACACTCCTCAGTCACGACCAGCGTCCTGCATGTGTGTTGGCTCGGCATACAACGGAGTGTGGCGGGGCACCACCACGGCACAGCATGACGCAGCACAGCACACCAGCAGTGTCGCGAAGGAAAGGCGGCACGCGACAGGAAACCGCAACCGCAGTCGCAGTGGTGTTCACGCACTCCACCCCTCTCCCTCCCTCCCCACTCTCACCCCTGGCCATCTGAGTGGATGGATCCCCCCTCCAGGTGCAGAGGGCACTCGAAGGCCCGGAGACCCGCCCAGTCCAGAACAGCACGACCAGCTGCATGGTCCTTCTTCCAGTCCGGCATCATCTGTGCCAGACCATCCAACCGACCAACCAACCAACAACCAGAGGGCAGGACTTGGTTTCGGAGGCCAGGAGCCAGGGTTGAGGACCGGGCTCAGGTTCGCGCTCGTCCAAAAAAAGGCGTGCGTGCGTGCGCAGCATTAAGGGGAGAGCAAACGGGGATGGGGAAGGGAAATGATGCGATGATGCGACACAGCGGCCCTCTCAGCGACGCCGCCAAGATACCGCCAAGACAGGCAACAGGCAACGGGCAACGAAGTACCGACCACGGATATTGACACTCCTTGCACTCCAATGCGCCGTGACCCTCACTACCTCTCCCCCTCCCACCCTATCCGTCAGCATGCCTTACCGCAGGCAGCCCCATCTTCTTTTTGCCGGGCGCTCCGTAGCAGTCGTAGTCCCAGTGCACTCCCGCCACCTCTCGCTTGCTGGTGGCGGGATCATCTTTAACAATACACTGGAGCAAGAGGCGGGTGGGTGGGGGGTGGGGGGTTGAGGTGGGGGGTTGCGGTGGGGTGGGGTGGGGTGGGGATTGGGGACAGAGTACATCAGGGTGAAGCCCAGCTGTGGGTGGGAGGAAACGAGCTACAGAAATGCACCAAACAGAAACAAAACACACACATGCGCCGAAGGAAAACCACATCGCGCGTGTGGTTCCTGGAAGGAGAAGGGGAGCTTCACGATAGTCGAGGGGTACCTAACCACACGGACTCAAAAACAAGCAAGCACGTGGGCCCCCCTTGCTTCTCCGCCTCCCAATGCCCCGGGCGACTTCCGTAAGCAGCAGCTCATGCCCCTTGAGCACCCTGAGCAGCTCATCCCTGCCTAGGACTAAGGAAGCTGTGAGGGATCCCGCGACCAAGCAACCCGGCCGCCAGCGGCAGATATCCTGGCGGGCGGGGCTTACCTACTTCCCGCCCCCACTGGCCCCCCTCGCCTTCATCCTCCTCCTCCTCCTCCTCCTCCTCCTCTTCTTCTTCCCCCCGAACGAACTCACGGTGGGTCCCCAATCGCGCAGCCACCCATCCTCCAGAGGCATCTCCACCACTGTCACACCCGATACCCCCCGGAAATAGTTGCGGGCGGACTCGATGCTCTGCAGCACAGCACAGCACAGCGCGTGGCAACGGACAAATGAGACAGCGAAGGCGCAGCGCTGAGGCAAGCGAGGCGATGGCGAGTTCCGGGGGAGCGCGCAAGCCGCAAAGCGCGACATACATACAAACGGCAGCTACGGAACGTCCTCGGGGTTGTTATTTAAATCAAAGGGGGCTCAGGATTTAGGGTCTAATGTTAAGGAAGGGCTGAGGAAGGCGCTGCGTCCTTGATGGCATGGCCGCAAAGTAAAGGCATGATGAGCGCACAGCAGATTGCCGAGCGAAGGGGTGCGGTGTGGGGGGAGAAGACGAACCACGAGCGGTGTGGGGGGAGAGGGGAAGGGAGGAAGACGCAAGCCCAGGCCGGGGTAGTTCTGACAGGCCTGGCCGGCGGAAAGCCCAGTAGAAATGGAATGTGAGCTCCACAAAGTTCTGAGGGCTTGATGGTAAATGCGCGTGCTGAGTGCTCTTACCGATGGATCTGTGAACATCCATACTGGCTCGAACTGCGAGATGGCCTTGGCGATGGCTGCGTACTGCTGCTGTGCGGGCTTGGCGCCATCGCGCCATAGGTAAGGGCTGTAGGGCCAACCCATCCAACAGCCCACGTGCGGCTCAAACTCGCCTGCGAGATGGCCGTGCGGAGTTAGGACTGATCGCAATTACACAATTAGGAGTACACAAGAGTAATAAAGAAATGAGAATAGGGCTTGCGGCTTGGTGTGGAGCAGACGTTGGCCTGCTCGCATTGACAGGTGTTTAGTAAACCGTCAGGACCACTTGCAAATAGCATCGGGATTTGCACCACGAAGCCCGTTGCGAACATGATTTCCGAGTGAATAGTGAAGACATGACGGACCTGGCATTGTGTAGCCAAGCTGTTTTGGTGTGGCATCGCCAGCAGAAGAACTGAAACTGCATGATGGGAAGTTTGCTCCCCGCGCGCCAGCGACTGCGCCGAGACCTGTATGCGGGCACACATGACGAGCAATCATGATGCTTTTCCATATGAAGGGAGCCCCTCAACTATCGGCATCAAGCACTCGACCAACTTACCTGCCAGGGCCCTGCCGGCCAGTTGCCCCCCAATCCCGATAATCTTTGTAGGTGAAAGCATGGCTGATGATTGGAAGTTGCTGGATTATTTAGGTTTTTGCCCCGGGCCGTCACACTTTAGCTGACTGCAAATTAGACTGGAATCTTTTATACGCTTATATACCAAATTAAAATAGATAAAGTAAGAAAGGTACAGCTGCAGGAATCGTAGGGACCCTGGGAGTTTCGGTCACGTAAAAAGCGCGATGATCTAAAGGTGGCCCTTTCGTACCAACTTCCTAAGTCATCCACGATGGTCCTGCAGCCCCCAACGTTCTCACCATGGTCATGCAATTTTGACACATTCCAGCAATCTAATGGCAATCGCTGTCTTACAACCAGGCAATCTCTGCTCGACATCTATCTAGAAAACTGCGTGAGGGGACCCACGTTAACACCCTTGTGATACGCGGTTGCTTGCCAACTTCCTGTAAGCCCTGGCAATTAGAAGATGCATGTATTCATTTGTACAGCTGTAAATTTTTGTTATCTGTGAATCACGCAACGACTTCGTCTGCTTCGTCACAGCGTTCGACAACGAAGCCCTAGTCTTCCTCAAGCTCTATGCGTAGCTTGGATGCTCTCATGAGGAGCATTGTTATATCCTGAATATTATGATACGCTAGTTCACAGGGTTCGCTTTCAGAGGAGGACCCATATTTAGTCAGAAAAGGTCTGCCGTCAAGCATAACGCAGGATGGCCGGTAAGCATTACTCCGAACTATATTATGCATGTGTTATCCAATCCTATTCGGATTACACAAATCATTCTGCAGACGGCCAATGGCTGTCATCTTGCATTGTTCGTCCCCGTCCTCCTGCGTAAGCGGACTCGCTAATTGTGAGGGATTTTCTCGTGCGCCTCGCAACCTTACAATTTTTAAACCCGCACCCAGAGTATTGCACCGAAGACAACTTTGAAATATCGCCGGGCGTGTTCACGCACACGCTTACGAAAGCACAAGTCGAGCAGCAGTATGGTTGCTGCCAAAAGTACGTGTGCGGCATCGCCTGCCCTGCGGCTTTCGATACGAAGGGCATTGCGGTGCAATTTGGCATCCCGGTGGCTGTCGTTTCCCTATCGGTAAGCGGCGACTTCGCAGACGGCAGGACTGCCACCCAACTTGAACTGAGGTTCCCACCTGTGCCTTCTTTTCTGATGCCTACTTTGCGGACCTTGAAGACGAGAATTCGCCGCGTATGAAACTGCGAAATGTGCCAGGGCACGTACATAGGTCTAATAAACTCAGCCAAGGATACAATGTCGCATGGATGCGATGCGTTTCCGGTTTCCGGTGATAGGCGGGTCAGTGCACAATCGCCCGACATAACCCCCTTCCGTCTCTACGAATCCACCTAGCGTGCCCAACCACGGTACTCGCACGTCAGCAGTTTCCGTACCTCCGCTGGAAACTGCGGCCTCGTACGCCATACCTCGCCCAACTGAAGGAGGCGTTCCGAGGCAACCTCATCACTTCGACAGCGACTTCTCCTGCCTTTGTCGCCCCCAAACCCCTCCATTGCGCACATTTCGACATCCTGGGAGATACAATTCGACACCTGGGAGATATGATTGGCGTCGGAAATAACTAGATGTCTATGGTATCACAGCAGTAACAAGCGAGTAAACACATTCAAGGTTCTCGTGTTCCATGCACACCCCCATCCAATCCATTAAGTACGCCTAAGAGCGTGGCGGGAAAATTTGCAAATACTGTGGTATTTAGAGCACAATAGCCGCTTTTTGCTTCGCGCACTAGCACATTAAGCCGCAATGCCGCGATGGCGCTAGATCTTAACGTCGGGCGGCTATGCTCCGTCTTATGCTCGTGGTGCGTGTGCGCGAGTGCGTGAGTGCGTGTTTTTAAGTACATACGCTGCGAGTGCTTATCAATGTTTCCACACTAATATATGGAAGCCTGCGCAGAGCTGTATATGTGTGCGTCCTTATATGTTCGTGTGTTTTCAGTGGTTTCTGATGGCGCTCATCATTGCCCGCCTCACCATCAAGGGCGACGCGCGCAACTTCTTCGTGTGCAACAGGTGGGTGCAGCCTTGTTATCATTGTTAGCTGACAGGGTAGCTAATAAGGGTGGTGGTGTGCAAGGGCATTTCTTGAATCTGCGCCCACGCACCCGTACAACTCCAAACACCCAGCAGGCGGCCACATACACATCCCTGCCTCCCTTCTGTACTCCCACACAGGTCCCTCCCGATGTACGTTGTGGTGTGCGCTCTGCTAGCTCAAGGTCTTGACTCCAATGCAACCCTTGGTGCGTTTGTATGTATGTATGTATGTATGTATGTATGTATGTATGTATGTATGTATGTATGTATGTATGTATGTATGTATGTATGTATGTATGTATGTATGTATGTATGTATGTATGTATGTATGTATGACGTTGATTACACTGTGGGCTGAAAAGCCGGGGGCCCAGGGCCGAAGCACAGCGCGGGGGGCGGGTGCATACGGCTGGTTAGTCTCATGCACTCCGCCCCCGGGTCAGGCCGCACGGGAAACGACGGCCGGCACGCAACAGCGCTTGTTTGGCGCTCCAACTAGACGGGATCTATGCCCGTTGGTCTCCTAACATAAACGAAGTCGCAACTGGGGGGCTCTTCCTGCCGACCGAACGAACCGAGCATCTCAGAGAGCTCGCTACCAGGACTTGGGCGACCGGGAGCCCGACGAGTCTTCCCGGGCTGGGGAGTCACCAAGCTCAAAAAT